AGTTTTCATCGTTTCATCTGACAGACCCGAAGGAATAAAAAAATATAAACCTTTACAAAATTCGGCTCTTTAATGGCCTTGGCGTTTTAAAACAGTTAGGTATTTCCATTAAAACTTGTGAATGCACCGAGTTAGAAAGTAAAAAGTGAATCTATTGTGGGGAAGGAGGTGACCCTGCTACCACACGCTCATTGCTGCTGTCTTCCCCTTCACTGATATTAACTTTATGGATTTATGGGATAAAATTATACATCCACCACCTCCTCGTCGCCTCTTTACCACACCACCACCCCATCTCCTTCCTCCTCACCACCACCCCATCTCCTTCCTCCTCACCACCACCCCATCTCCTTCCTCCTCACCACCACCCCATCTCCTTCCTCCTCACCACCACCCCATCTCCTTCTCCCCCCACCACCCCCCATCTCCTTCCTCCTCACCACCCCCCCATCTCCTTCCTCCTCACCCCACCCCCCATCTCCTTCCCTCCTCACCCACCACCCCATCTCCTTCCTCCTCACCACCCCCCCATCTCCTTCCTCCTCACCACCACCCCATCTCCTTCCTCCTCCACCACCCACCCATCTCCTTCCTCCTCCACCACCACCCCATCTCCTTCCTCCCTCACCACCACCCCATCTCCTTCCTCCTCCTCCCCATCTCCTTCCTCCTCCACCACCCCCATCTCCTTCCTCTCCCACCACCAACCACCCACCCCATCTCCTTCTCCTCCTGTCCACCCCATCTCCTTCCTCCTCACCACCCACCCCATCTCCTTCTCCTCATCCTTCCTCCTCACCACCACCCCATCTCCTTCCTCCCTCACCACCACCCATCTCCTTCCTCCCTCCACCACCACCTCATCTCCTTCCTCCTCATCACCCCCATCTCCTTCCTCCTCACCACCACCCCATCTCCTTCCTCCTCCACCACCACCCCATCTCCTTCCTCCTCACCACCACCCCATCTCCTTCCTCCTCACCACCACCCCATCTCCTTCCTCCTCACCACCACCCCATCTCCTTCCTCCTCACCACCACCTCATCTCATCACCTCACCTCACCATGGTACAGCCTCCTTTGTATACACTGCTTACTCGTTAAATGAATCTAAACTTGTATAACGCTAAGACAATAATTATCCATCTATCTAATTATTTATATTTATTCGTCTATCTGTTAAATCAAACTATCCAAACTATCTATATCTATTCTCTGGATAAACATTAAAATCGGGTCTGGATAAACAATAAAATTGGTCCTGGATAAACACTAAAATGGGTTCTGGATGAACACCAAAATGGGACCTGGATAAACTTTAAAATAGGTCCTGTAAAAATTCTAAAATCGGGTCTGGATAAACAATAAAATTGGTCCTGGATAAACACTAAAATGGGTTCTGGATGAACACCAAAATGGGACCTGGATAAACTTTAAAATAGGTCCTGTAAAAATTCTAAAATAGGTTCTGGATAAACACTAAAATAGACCCTGGATAAATATTAAAATACGTCCACTACCACCGTCTTCCTTGGCTCCTCCACATACTCAGGTGTGTACTTTGTCAATAAATCAAGTCTCTCACACATATTCCTCATCGTCTAAATGTCAGTAAACTCAAGACTTCAAAGGGTTGGTGTTATTAAGCATTTCCTTGCATTACAGGGACAGTACTAGTAAGCAATGGTATAACCATCAGCAGTGACCATATAACTCCCTTGCGGGGTGAAAACTTTTTTCAGGTAAGTCTGGAAAGGCGAACATAGTGCCGATGATGTTGAAAAAGCAAGTGTCTTTTACCAATGAAATTACAAAGAAAAAAAACTTTAAATGTGAAAAATCTAAGATCAGTATTTTCACTCTAATTACATTCAGGAGCTTCCTGGGAAAAGAATTATAAATAGAACTGAGTATTCCTAATTGCCTTTTTCTCATTATTGCTCCATTCTCTTACTTACTGGAAAAAAAGACTGGCAGAGGGATCATTACCCAGGCTTGATAAAGATGTAGGAGGAGGTCACGAAGAATTTAAATTGGGAAATATATTTAAAGCTTTTTCGTGATATTGCAAATGCCACAGGAAATCCCTCACTGGGAAGAAATTGCATCGGGGAGCCTTAACTTGGTGATGCTAAGTTCTCCCGTCAGCCAGGTCATCAGACAGAGATTGAAGGGTTAATAAAGACGACAAACAGAAAAATAATAAGGGGAGGTAACTCATCGTATCATTATTATTTTCTTTTCTAGGAATAACTTGTAAATGACCAGGGATCACCTTAAGATTAGCCCTGTTTATATATCAGTTGAGGATTAAACGCCCTAACTCTACCTGAGGGGGTTACATTAGGAACTAGTGATGTTACTTTAAGTCATGTTACATTATGCTAACATTTTAGTGGTTAATTTTAATATGAATATGCTGGGGGGGGGGGGCTTATCTTCAGGTTCCAAATTTTTACCTAGGCTGATACGGTAAGCGACCAAGAGTAAAGTGCACTAACGGCAAAACTGTACACCACACATGATAGCTGCATACTGTTTACCTTCATATTGTAATTTCTAAATACAGTACTGTATCATTTTTTTCTAATGTACATATGACAAGTGAACTCTTAAACTAGCTCAGGTTGACAGTCAGTTGTTGTGTAAAGTCTTCATAAAAGCTCAGCATGTACACTCCAAAAAAACAACTACAGTATCTTTACAATTCCTGTGAAACAAAATGACATCACAAGCGAAGGGTTTTGTTAAAGACCCATGAGGCATATTGCTATTCACCAATCATATTGCAAAGAACTTATTTTATATTTGAATGAAATACCTAAATTAGACCTACCATAATAGGTAGGAAATCTCTCTCAATCATGCCTACTACCCCTAGCAGGGCATGATTGTTTCCATATTCATTGGCTCCCTCCCGAGATACTTTTTTTACCAAGTGTACATTAATAGTGCAAGTTCTCAAACAATGTACATAGAGCAGGTACACAATTTACATAATGCAGGTATACGATGGTAAAGCATAAGTTGATTTAAACCAAGACAAAAGTTTCTTGACCCATAAAGATGGCTTAAAATCTTATTAAGGTTGTGGGGTTCAGGATGTTTGGTTCACACTCAGGATGGAATGGAGAAAGGAAACTCACAATGTGCTCTCTATATACATGTATTGGATGTACAATGCAGCTTGGTGCTGGGAAGGCAGCATGGTTACAAGCGTGTTGTAGAGAGAGCTGGTTGGTGAGGATGCTCAGAGAAGGACCAGCCTGTGGGTCGCCATGCTCGCCAGCGGGAGAGAGGACCGCCAGGCAGGCGGAGGAGCGAGGGCCGCCAGGCAGCAGCGGAGGAGGATGTTGCTGGCTGGTTGGTGTAGGTAGAAAGAGGCAGGTCACCACGAGGTCAGGTCTTAAATAGCAGGGGTAGGCGTGGCTTAGTAGTTGACCCCCGCTCCGTGATGTATGGCGGCGCTGGTTGACTTAGACCACGAGGCATACACTGGGGAATTGGTGGGGTCAGCTACTCAGTGACAAACAGCATTTGTAGGGGAGAAATCCACTACAAGGTACTGGAGTCAAATACAGTATATGTAGTTGTATTCATATAGTCTGTTCTTTCTATATTTATAATATTTGATATAATTAACATGCATGTTTCACACTCTTGGATACTAAAGCTGTACTGTACTCCAAAACCAGTTTATCACGAATTTCCACAACCAGAAAAAGTCTATAAAGTACTGACATTTGAGTGTAGCAGCCGAGTGTAGCAGCCGAGTGTAGCAGCCGAGTGTAGCAGCCGAGTGTAGCAGCCAAGTGTAGCAGCCGAGTGTAGTGTAGCAGCAGCCGAGTGTAGCAGCCGAGTGTAGCAGCCAAGTGTAACAGCCAAGTGTAACAGCCAAGTGTAGCAGCCAGGTGTAACAGCCAAGTGTAGCAGCCAAGTGTAGCAGCCAAGTGTAGCAGCCAGGTGTAACAGCCAAGTGTAGCAGCCAGGTGTAACAGCCAAGTGTAGCAGCCAAGTGTAGCAGCCAGGTGTAACAGCCAAGTGTAGCAGCACTTGCATCCTGTCCCAAGAGTCAACCCGTAGTCCACCTAACTTTAAATGGATAACCTTACATTTACTTTACAGTTGAAGAAGAAAAGTGCAAATTATGGACATGCTGCCTCCTAGTGTACTGAAGATTTTACTAATCCCCTTTCTGTGGTCTGATTGAAAACCCTTTTGCTGTTCACGGTTTCTGATGCACTTCATTTTGATTAGATAAATGTAAAATAGTATTTATACTTACCCTCAGGTGGCTGAAATAAAATGGTAGAAGGCAGGTAGCCATATACAGCCTAGTAGGGAAAATTAGCACAAGCAATACCCAGGATGGTCCTTCCAGTTTTCTAAATAGCTAACACTAACTCCTCAACTTGTTCTTTATGCCTTACTAATGAATTGTAAGACAACAAGTTTGACAATTATCTTTCTCTAATTCATTGTTTCAAGTCTATCATAGTTTTGTCTTCCTCAGTCATTTTCTAATTTTCTTTAATAGCTGCTCTGCTTTACCATTTACCCATCAAAATTAAGGCTTCCTATGGTGTCTAACATTATTTTTTCTTTGCTATCTTTAATGATGTGGGGAGCCCTGAAGTTCATGAATGAAATTTATGGCCATTGGTCCAATGAACAAAAAAGATTCTTGTTTAATCCAAGGTCCTTATATAAGTTTGTCAAGTCCTATACAGTATTGAGATTTCATAGATTTTTTTTCTTTTCAACAAAAAAGTCTAACTACAATAGTGTACTGTTTGGTTTTTTGCACACACACCACTGTTTCACTTCACGTGTGTACGCAAGGAAAACTTATTTCCTCGAGCGAAGTCTTATGAACCGTAGCACCAGTACAGTATTGTTTACATGTTGTCTGGGGCATGTTAAATCCTGAGGGTGTCCTACCTAGGTGCTTCTGTTCTTACTACAATATTAAGACTGGAGTACGGTAAAAATAAAGTACACTAGAGTCAACGGAATTTATTAGACGTAAATACAGTCGATCAGGTATACGGTTGATACACTGCTGAAGAAGTGTACTTAGCAAGAGAAGAAAGATATGGATGGATGCGAGTTACCTACAGCATTGAACGAAAACATACGTCGCTGTTATTTTCCATTGGAAACACACCAATCACACAAGTAAACTTGATCTTTTTTTTTCAAAATTTCCTCCAGAAAATGCGTCAAAACGGTTTTGTTAGTATCGCAAAGTCTATCACATGGTTAAGTCCATGATGGCATTGACTATATCATTATTATTCTTCTTAAGAGCTCTGACAGCCTTTGCTCGTGAAACATTGGCTTGTGAGACGACAAGTTCAATATCTTTTTCTTCCAGTCCGGTCTCGTCTACCTCCTCATCATCCTCTTCCTCATCTTCCTGTATAGCAGCAGGTACCTGGAAAGAATATACATATATTTATACACACACATATACAGTACAGGTGTCCAAAAATGTATAAACGCTACAGTAAAAAATTTCATGGCGATTACGTTAATTCTTACATTACAATAGCAACATTATCCGCACATGAAACACAAAAACAATAATTTCACCCGATGGCCATGGAACGGCTATATGACATAAGTCTTAATCCTAACTACTGTAGTTACAATATACATAAGACTCTGCACTCATTAATTGGACTTCATTCTCTCTAACTATTGTTACATGTGTTCAACTATGGTGTTCCTCTTCCACATGACCCAAGATTTTCATCTGATTTACACATCACTTCAAACAATTCAGCACCACTCATCAACCGTATGTTCTTCCAGCATCAACCTGACACCACTTCATTGCTTTAAAAAAATTATTTAACTTTATAGATTCAGACAAATTAAGTTACCATTTCATTTATTTATAGAGATGTTCAAGCCTTCCAGTCACCAAATAAGATAAATCTAATATGACTGAAAAACTTTTAACTAGCACAAAATCTTTACAATCAAGTTTTTTTTTAATACAGCATTCTCTTGCATTAATCCAAGGTTCAGTAAAAATTATAAATGAAGGTAAAGCTTAAAACTAGTCTTCCCACATACTATAATTACTTCTTTGACTACTGAAAATGAATTAAAACTACAGCAGAAAACATTCAACAAATGGCAAATTATGAACCAGAAACTGCATATTTATATCAAAATATTTCTCCAAAAATAAGATTCAGATATCTTCAATTTTCAATATAAAGCAACTATGCAAAAGTTGAGCTAATCTATTAATGAAGAGCTTTGTAACCAGCTGTCAACACTTTAGAACTTGAAAACGTCCCACAATTACACACAAACACCATACCCAATCATCTTCCAGCTCTCTCTACACATTAATAAACACCAAAACACCTTCCTTCTCTCCCACACCTATGACACCAAAATCAATCATTTCTTTTACTTCACACATCTAGACACCATTACCAACCACATTTGCCTCTCCATACCTACTGACACAACAACCAATCACCTCTCTTCTCACTACATCCAATCATTTCCTTTCATCACACATCTACAGACAGTCAGACACCATTACCAATCACCTTCCAGCTCTCCACACACCTAGACACCATAACCAATCATTTTCCTTCTCTCCACATGCCATAACCAATCATCGTCATTCTCTTTCACAAAACTATCACACTACAGTACAGTATTTGTTCCTTAAAACAGTACAAAGGTAACCTGTCAAGGCTTTTCTTCCTACCATTTTTTCTCTATGCAAACCAAGATAACCTTCTTAAATCTCTCAACAAATACTTGTCAGTCTCAGGAGGATCAAGGTTTTTATAATGTACTCACAGTTGTGTGGGCAGCAGTATCAGCAGCAGGGTTCACAGTTGGTTCCTTGAACTTTTCAGCAGCAGCCATCTGGGCCTGCTGGCTCATGTCCTCAATCTGTGGAAAGTACGGTTAACAATTTAGAGCAACACCTAAAACACAGTTTCTCATTTGTAGTATTAGGCTTAAAACATGTAAAAATTTCTCCCAGCCTACACCCATCACAGGCCCTCAATCTGCCCCTTGCTCAACACGCCCACCAACTCTTCACCAACACAGATGAAGACCGTTTATTGCTTCACCCTTGTTTTAATGTATCATGCAAATATATCCACATCTTGACCATGAAAGTTGCTTCTCACTATTGTGAATCAGGTTCAATCCCTGCTTGGGTCAGATGTGAGGGGGTATTGTCCTTCCAAACATCACAAGGCACTCCAGTGCCCTCCTGCATCTAACAATTGTCCTAACAATTGTTCTAGGAAGTCCAGTTAACTGTTACTGAGAGAGCTGTCCAGTAAAACAATCCAAATATTACTGTTACTGCCAATTATGGTATAAAATATGAAAAACAATAAAATATAACAAAGCTGGAACAGCTTTAATATCAGTTGCATTTCCTCACAACATAATATTTTTAAATAGGTCTTCATGATGCAGGTTCAATCAAAATATCATTCAACAAAAAATTTATAAACTCAGACAATTGCAACAAATCCCAAAAATCAATTCATTTTACAACTACCCTGTATGCCTTATCACAACTCACAAGAGAAACTTAAAATTTATCACCAAAACATTAATTAAAATTGGAAGTGATTTTCCATATCAGCAAAAGGTTAATGTAATTCATATATAGGGGGTTACCAGGCTGAAGATGAAATATGGAAAGCATATTCCACAAACAATTTTTTTTTACACCAATACATAATATCAAACAAATATTAATTTAAAAGTTTATTTAGAAGTTTGTGAAATAAGTGCAAACTATGATTAAAAAATCTATTCTGGCAAGTGCAATACAGTACTGTATTAAGAAAATGCTTGGAGGAACAATAACTAGTCAGATAAGTAATGCATTGATATAAAAATTCAGCTTCAAGTCTGCTGCGAGATTAGTACTGAATATTTATTCCAGTATTACAACAGAGAACTTAATACTGTACCTGAAAAACCACAGTACTATTTCTCTAAATGCCTTGCATTAAAAACAATGCTATCAACTTTGTAAACTGACTAACAGTTTTAACCAAAAAAAAAAAATTGGTTATATTGAACTTATCAGGTGAAGTAGGATAAAGCTATGCCAGCCCCTCTAGTACTGTACAATGAAAGTGTATTCTAGAGTATAGTACTGTACAATGAAAGTGTATTCTAGAGTACAATGAAGATACAGTACTGTATACTCAAAAGGGTGAACAAGTCATGGGTACACAGGAATATATTCAAAAGGATTTTTTTCTGCATATATAAGTCAAGAAATAAAAGTTAAACATAACACCTCTAGAACCTTTGAAACCAAACCAATATCTTTACCTTAGCTTCACCAAACACAATGTAAGTGTCAGAGGCAGGATTTTTAAACACATCAGGCTTGTTGATGACAAAGAGGATATTCTTGCTCTTACGAATAGTGACTCTGTTAACACCAGGAACTTGTTTCAATCCCAACTTTGACATGAGCTTGCGAGCCTTCTTCTCTGATCGACTTTGTTTAGCTGCCTTGGCAGACTCGGTGACTGTTGGCGCAGAGGCAGATCCACCCTGTTCTAATTCAGGCAAAGATTCCTGTAAAAAAATATTTGCACTTAAATAAGAGTACAGTATATAAAAACACTTAAGGCTACATAAAATTAAATTAAAATAACTTTTTCAATACAGTACCATCTCCCAAAGATTAATCTGGCTAGAAAATAGAAAAAGATTTCTTAGGGTGTAGTTTATGTCCTTAATCTTAGTAGTGACCACAGCTGTGGAAATGGTCCAGCTAAGGATACAATACTGTAGCTGTACTGAAAAAATGCAAGAGCAAAACATCTAATGCAGTTTATTCCCAGAAAAGTACACCTGAACTTTTCAAGCTATTTTTTGCAGCTTACCAATGAAAAAATAAATACTTTATAGAATAGGGTGGAAATAATATATTAGTTTTTAAAGATAAACAATTGCATGTTGACTAAATAAACATATTGAATGATGGGAGCTAGTTCACATCAATGCACTAAAAAATGAAAATGACAATTGGAGCAATTCCAAATGATTGGGTCAGTTTGAATAGTATAGCATCCACCATAGCCACCATCTGCTTACCGTGAATTGTCGAAATCGCGATTCGCAAACCCGCGAATGGGAAGGGTCTACTGTATATGCAACATGCTGATACATTGCAAGAGCAATTTCTTCTTCAATTTCTCAGTAATAGAACAATAATTATATGAATATGGTTCCCTTTTCTCCACATCCTTGATTGTTATTATCAACAAGGAAAATGCCAATACACTGTATTAGGTCTATAATACTATGCTGTCACTCGGAATCGAGTATGGTCTATAACGCCCATATTCCACCAGTTGTCATACACCCAATCATGTCAACTTCAGTCAAGAAAATTTTTTACAGCAGTGAAGGATCTGATTTACCCAATTTCAAAAATGCTAAAATCCAGCAACTTCCAGGAGTAGTTACCTCATGTCCCCCAGCCTGACCTGATGTGACACACATTAGTGACATCCCTGCTTAGCAAACAACAGTGTTCTCACCTCTGATGCATCGGAGTCCGATCCTGAGCCAGCCTCTGGTTCCTCCACAGCTTTGGCTGCTGGAGGAGAGGTCTTCTCAATCTCTGTGAGCTCTGGCATTTTTATGGTAATTTTGGTGGTCAGTTAACACCTGAAACATAAATTATCATGTGAAAAACAGGAAAAGTGAAAGATATTTGTGATATATATAAAAAATATAAAGTGACAACCTTTCTCCTTAACAATGACTCATTTCAAATCTACTGTCAACACTGCCATTCATGCCAATATAACACTTCAAATAAACCAGCAGAAAGTGTTCATATTATTTCACCAACCATCTCGCTTCCATGAGTGTCAACAGTTACTACAGTAAGTCCTCGCTTAACGTCTTGGTTCCATTCCTGAAAACCGCAACGTTAACGGAAACAACATTAATGGAATCAATTATCCCCGTACGAAAGAGATAAAATACAGGAGTTAAGTTCCCCAGCCTCCCTTTGCCCCATAAAATACATTGTACATATACATAAATTCAATGGAATTTTTATAGAAAATGGTATATATTTAGAGCAAAAACACTTAAGCACGCACAAACGGTGTGGAAGCCTAACAAAGACTGGAGACGCTGTGACACTCCGCGAGAGAGTAGCGTGCCAAAATGAGAGAGGGTAATGCGCCATATAAAGTAGTCCATGACATCGTTATACCAAATCGTTGGGATGTTGTCCGAATCATGGGCATCTAAAGAGTAGCGACATTATAACGAAACGTTGTCGGGGCAACGTTAAACGAAGACATATTATATTTCTAAGTTTTCAGAACATTTTTTTTATTATTTTTTTTCTAATGCTGTTTATTTTAATGAGCGCTGTTGTAAACTGATACCAAACTCTTCTATAAGCAAATTATCAGAAGAAACAACCTAACCTAACAATGCTAAACCTAACACAACACTGCTGTACTTTTCTATTCAAGAGTTTTCTAACCTATACAGTACAGTACAATATTTTACAGTGTTTGTTTCATCTACTTTTCTATACTGTATTTAAAATGTTGCAACATTACTTGAGCGCGCGCACGCACGCACACATATATATATACATACTATCTTAAAGTTTAATTTTACAAATATTTTGCCTTTGTACAAGGTCAGATTACACAAAGCACATGTAACTACATTAGAAACTCATTCTCACATCAAAATCCCCCCCCACAATCATAAAATCAAATATTTACCACCTAATTATTCTTCATTAACTGAATAATAAATTCATCGGGAATAAGCAACTGAGAACTTCTTGAGTACTGTATATATTTCTCAGTGGTTCAATACCCCAGCTGAAAACTCCAATGGTTATAAATTTATAATACCTTTCCTGGACTATCCTTGGTTGAATTTACCACTGTTTGTTTACCAGCATTGTGTATACAAGATGAACCAATGTAAACTTCCATGATGATTTAATGGCAAATTTGCAGTTTCAGCCACAACTACTGTTCGACCACAGATTTTTTTTTTCCCGTGGTATTTGGTGATCCATCACCCGAACTAACCAACCAAAGAAACCTACCTAACTTCCTAGCCATCACTGCTATATTAAACAGTAGGTACTTATTTTGATATCTGGTACCAATGAAAGCAACTTTGTTGAAGCGCCATGGTGTAATTTTAAGCTTTTTGTGGACGTAGGGGTAAGTTCAGACTGAACAGGTTGGGGGTCGGCTGTAAACAGGCGACACGCGGTGACTGCAGATTTACGTTAATTTCTTACACGAATTTACTTTCTCGAATAATATCCATTTGCGACAGCAGTGGTATTAGAAAAAGTTTATTTTATTGACAAGATACTGTATAACTAATGGTAAACACAAAATTGCTCTAACCGAGTTGTGGCTGAAACTGTAATAATATCGATTTAATTAAGTTCTCTAATACAGTAATTATTGACGACTGACTTGAAGCTACTTTTTCATAAAAAATTATTATATGAATGCCACAATTTCAGTGGACACTTGTAGTTTGTGCAAATGTATTAAAAAATGGTTATCTCTAAATTAAACCCAAACAAACTTTAGTTAATGTGAAAAACAAGCAGCAGCAGCATTGTTAGAAGACCTCACCAACATAACCTGACCTTACTTCCAAGCTGTGGGGCTCTGCCCCCCAGACCCCCCCGGTATGATTAACAGAAAGAACTTGCAAATGGACATCAGAGCAGCCACCCGTACCAAATAGTTCACAAGCGTACACTGAGCATCAATGTTGATCCAGGTCGGGCGGCGAAGTGTTTTTAAATATGTCAATACGATCGACCGTTTACATCCTGGGATGAGACGTCACTGCCGCATTACTGCCGAGAAGACAAAGTAGTGTTTGCCTAGGAGCCTAATTGTCTACCAAAACGAAACATTTGCACAAGAAATGATTATCATACCAGAACTCACTGATGAAAATAGAGTACGAAATTAAACAGTAAAACAAACAACTCGTCCTCAGGTAAGTCGTTAATATTAACCACTAATACTATCAATCAATCCATCCTGTTAAATAGTTCTAAAAATTTGGACTTCCATTCATAAGAGCAACAGCAACACATACTTGCAACAGTCAACATGGTGGACATGCTTCAGTGGCCTACTCACAGCATAAAATATAAATACTGGACTTCCTTTTACCGTTTTTTTTTTTTTAATTTTACCTTTATCCTAATCTAATCACTAGAGTAGTACTGAAATACAAAACCTAAGTGGTCCCTAAGTTTAACAAATGTATGGCTGCCTTCCTGGAAGTCCAGACTGTGTCTGACTCCTCACCGGCAGTCCAACTGAAGAATCCCAAACCTACCACTATTTAGTGTGGAACTTAATTTGGCTCGTCCTCTACACGTCTCAACAATTTTTAACACATTTGTCTTAATGTAACACATTACATAGATCATCATATAACAATCTCAGAAACAATAACATAATATAGCAATATCAGATACAATATCATCATATATCTTTACATTTGGAAACACTAACATTAAACCCAACCACCAAATCAAGTACGCATATCAACACACACGTAGGTAACCACTCAACTACGTGTAACAGTGGCGGAACACACCCAGAACATCAAACGACATGGTGGTACACATGCAAAATATCGAACAACTGTGGAGCTCCCCAGTTAGGTTAGGTTAGGGTTACAGTATTTTTGTTTATGGTTTTTGAACACTTTTTACCTTGATTTTTATAGAAAATCGCTAGATTCAGAGATGGGAAGGAGGGGTTTACCTCAGAAACTATTGATTTTCACCAGAAATGAAGGTAAAGTTAGTTCACAACACATCAAAAACCATTGAAAAACATAGTTTCAACATCGATTCCGTATAATGGCAACAAATGAAATTTTACTCATAAATTTATGGGAAAATCGAAAACTGGCTACTATCATAAATTTACCAAAAAATATCATAACTGCCAAAAGCTAATTTTCATTAGAATTCTTATAAATTCATTCACAAAAATATGAGGGTACCGTGAATTTGACAACTACAGCTCATGGTAAATAATCTTGTTCCAACTATTTCAGCTATAAAGTAACATACCCTGTACATGATATCAAACACAACCAAGGAACATACTTGTATAAAAATACGTAGGGATATTTTGCCGTGACCGGCTAAGTTCCTTCCAACGTTATTTTACCGTGAGTGCGATCTGATTGGTTAAGTACTTTCTGTTTTACATGACGGGGGAGTCTGCCCCTGTTAGGATATTACAGTATGTAAGGTTAGGTAGGTTTCTTTGGTTGGTTAGGTCAGGTTCTAGTAAATGTCGCCTCTTTTATACTATTAAGTTTCTGTGCACAACAGAAATATGGTTAGGTATGTTTACAATGCCACGACTGACTCACGGCTAAATAAATGCCCAATGCCATCTGTCACGGTCAAATATAGTTCTCACCAGTATGGACGATTAGCCAATCAGAGCACACACACGGTAAAATAGCGTTAGTAGGAACGTAGCCAGTCACTGCAAAATATTCACTGGCATTAAAATATATAAAAAAAGGTTTGTATTTTGACACGATATTGACCTCCATTATCGTCACACTTATGTCCTATTTATATGTATAAACAAACGAGTTTAAGTGTATTCTGTTGAATGTACTTTAATTAATTATACAGTGGCATCCTTATGACAGCCCGTGATGCAACACACACGAGGAACTGTTGTCACATCCTGAGAATAATAAGAGAACTTCTGCAGAAGGCGCCAAACAGGACATTCCCGGGGACTGAAGAGAAAAATCTCAAGGTAATATTAATATTTAAACACTATTTCAGGATCTGTTGTTGAATTAATTCACACTTCGTGCGGAAACGACATGCTACCATTAACATAAAGAAGCAGCAGACAGCAAGAACTATAAACTAATTTCTCCCAGGTACCATTACAGAGTTCAGAAACGTCCACAGCAGATTTCAGTCATGTGATTTTCCATCGTCATTTATCCGCACAATCGATCACTATTATAGCCTCTGTTGCCATTATCCATTCACAATGATCTTCGCAGAACATTTTAGTAGTACTCCATAAGTACGACGCCATCTGTCATGGTCAGAAATATCAGAAAAATGGGACTTACCAGCGGCTGATCAGAGAACTGCACAGTAAAGGATCTATGACGACGGTACTGCCAACAATGTTGCCAAGTTTCCTCGGAAAAGTGCTAGATTCAGCGGTAATTGCTTCACTGGATGTTGGTGTTGAATGTATTATTACTTTTATACTCTTCACCACTGATCGGCTCGTTAGCCGCTTGGGCGATCGTTCACCTCTCTGTTACTTTTCTTTTCCCTTTGTTCTCTTCACTAAATGATCGGCTTGTTAGCCGCTTCGGCGATCGGTCACGTCTCTGTTAAGCACTGTTGACAAGTACTGGGCATGAACCGGCTCCTGAATGTACCTCAACCTGCTCCAGTGTTGATCAAGTCTGGTCTTGAAAGAGCTCACACTCGATGCCGTTAAAACACTTTCTGGTAGATTTTTCCAAGAGTTCACAACTCTCACTCCGAAAAAGTTTGCCCTCACAGTTTTCTGGACTTGCAGCTTCTTCAATCTTGAGCTGTGACCCCTTGTGGGGCGAGTGTCCGCCAGCTCCAAGTAAAGACACTCGACTGAGTAGTGCCCCTTGAGATGCTTATACACCTCAATTAGGTCACCCTTGCCCGTCTGTAATATAAGCTAGGCAAGTTCAGGCGCTCCAATCTCTCAGGGTAGCTGAGGTGCCGAAGTGCAGGCACCAGTCTGGTGGCCCTCCTTTGAAAAGTAAAAGGAAAAGTAATCAGAGACGTGACCGATTGCCCAAGCGGCTAACGGGCCGATCAGTGGCAAAGAGGATAAAATTAAAAGTATAAATATCTGAACGACCTTCTTATAAGACCCAATAATTTATTTGCCTGATTTACCTTCTTCTCGCAATGGCCCGAGAACTTCAGCTCATTGTCAACATACACACCTAGGTCCTCACATTCAGTCTCAAATAGTGCAGTTACTTCATCCCGTTGGAACATATGATACGCCTCCTTATCCCGTTGGTACGCCCCAGGTGCATCCTTTTACACTACGTGATATTGAATCTCAGCAGCCATTTCTTCGACCATTCTTGGAGCCCACAGAGGTCCTTCTGCAGTTCTTCACAGTCTGCTTGGTTCTTGATTTCCCGAAATAACTTGGCGTCATCGGCAAACATTTGTATGAAGGAGTGTACAACGCCAGGCATGTCATTTATGAAACTAACAAACAACAGCGGGCCCAATACACTGCCCTGTGGTACCCCGCTTGTGGTAGCCTTAAGTTAACGAAATTTCAAATGTAAAGTAGCAGGGCCAGGTCACTAGAAACAGAGCGTCCAGACCGTCAGGGCCAGGTCACTAGAAACAGAGCGTCCAGACCGTCAGGGCCAGGTTCCCGGCTCATTGCAAGAAGGTGAATCGGGCTACCCTGAGATTAGAACGCCTGAAATTGCCTAGTTTATACTACAGACGGGCAAGGGTGGACCTAATTGAGGTGTATAAACATATCAGAGGGAACTTTGAGGGACCTTCGCCCCACAAGAGGTCACAGGCTCACAGCTCAAGGTTGAAGAAGCCTCAAGCCCAGAAAACTGTGAGGGGTAACTTTTTCGTTGTGAGAGTTATGAACTCTTAGAACAATCTGCCAGAAAATGCTGTGACGGCACCGAGTGGGAGCTCTTTCAAGACCAGGCTTAACAAGCACAAGAGCAGGTTCAGGTACATTCAGGAGCCAGTGCATGCCCAGCACTTGCCAACAGTGCGTGACAGAGACGAGACCGATCGCCCAAGCGGCTAACGAGCCGATCAGTGGTGAAGAGGATAAAAGTAAAATAGTATAAAAGTATGAGCGATAAGGGTTAGGTGTAAACGTGACTGCTTACTATGGGCCAATAAGCCCGCTGCAGTTTCACCATTCTTATGTTTTTATGTTCACTCTGCTACCCGACCGGCTATAGTGAGCTTTACCAGAGGCGAATTATTAAAAATCTTTTGTCTGGCTACACACCATACTTTGCTTCCTTCACTACGCCTAAATTAACAAGGTAAGATTAGGTTTACCACGTGGCTTTGTTTTAACAAAGTTGGTCGGGAGTCACGTGACTGTGACGTCACATCAAAATCACGAATCAGATTTGTCATCGGTGCTTCCGGATCAATGTTACCAAAATACAGTAGAGCAGCTTCTCTGTACAGTACACTATGTCTATGAAGTCTTAAACAGATTTTATTCTGAGATATTAGATAAATTATATCTTATTTTTAAAAATTCACCTTATAATTATATAAAACGTTTTTTAAAGTAATATATGATAAATCGTAATACTATTCCTTAAAATGTGCAAGGTACAGTCGTACGATAAGGTTGTGATTAAAAGTGCTAAGGTCAGCACTTCTAGCCTTTACTTACCGTACGTATGTTATTGTTTTCGTTAACTATCTTAAAAAAGAAGGAAATTGTTGCACTTAATATGTCGTATAGGATATAACTATTGCAAGTTTAATTAATAGACATATATTTATAAGCAGTGAAGAAAAGGTAATAATGACAGGATAAAAACGCCATTAACCATAGCTTCTAATCGTTGGACAGACAACACCTTTGGATTCTTCGCAATCAAAAGTTGCTCCATTTTTTTATTGAGGAAGAAGTATTTAACAAAGAAATGGTTGCAATTCTTGTTTCCTGTCGTAAGAGTCACTCAGCCATGACAAGGTACATAACTTTCAAGCTAGGGAAGTGAAGGCAGTTATGTGTAGTGCAATTCAGACTACCACCTTGTCTACTGAAGGCTTCGAACGCAGTGTGATATATTTACATTGTCCCAAATAAGCCAAATATACTGCTACTTTTTCAAGTGGTCTACATATGGTTAATGTATAAACGCCGCTAACCCTGGCTATACTAGTAAAACAACTAGCCATGCGTATATGTGTTAGCGCCGCTAGCCTTGAATAAAAGTAAAACACCATTAGTCTTGAGCATAATTATGTAGTAACGCTAGTAGCTTGTGTAATTCAACGCCGATTATTGTCCAGAAATCACATTTTCTTAATTTTTTTATTGTTGATGACGAGTGTATTTACTAACTTGTAGTATATGTTACTTGTTGAAGGCAATGTAACACATACACCAGTGAGTGGGATGATCCATTCATTTACTGAGACAAGCGAACTTCTTCAGCCAACACTACCGTCCTGAGAACTTAGTTGTGTTTCTTTTTCCTACATTTTGTTTACCTTTTTCGTAAGAAAAGGAAGTCGGCCGCATTTTAAATCTCAGAATTGTTTCTGTTGAGTTTATTCTTTATGAATACAGTGTTCACACAGAAGGAAATCGGAGAACCTGGAGGTAAGACACGTGCCTCAACCCCTGGTTTGGGCCAGATGTGAGAAGTGGTTATTCCGCGTAAATGGCAAGTTTTCTCCTTTAATAACAAAGGCCATAACAAATTAACAAAGAACAGACCAACTGGTGGACCGGCTAGTAAGGTGAAGTGATAAATAAATACATCACTACAGTGTAGGTGTGAGCTGCCAGGTGTTTGACCGTTGGTAGTCGTTACGTCTCACCGTTAACTATATTAGTAACTTACTGGGCACCAGTGTAACACAACACCTGATAACAACCTGCGTAGTTGAACACTTTACCGGTAACGATGAACAAGCTATTTAGGATGGTAATCTTAGGGGCACCAGGCTCAGGTAAAGGCACCATCTCGTCCAGGATAGTGAGGGACTTTGGCCTCAAACACCTGTCAAGTGGTGACTTACTAAGGGCCCAGGTCATTAACAAAACCGGTAAGAACATGATTTTCTCCATTACGTTAACTTATGTGAATTGAAGTTAAATTCCTTTTCAGTTAATAAAACTGTGGGCCATGACACGTTACCCCTTAGTGGCAAATGATGTGGGTTAACCCCTTCTGTATAAGGAGTTTACTTGGTACTGAAATATCATTACAGTATTTAGGCTTAAATTATGAGTAATATTTGCAGTAAACAGCAACCACACAATTCCGGAAATTCACTACACCCAATCGATGGAACTATTTTTTTTTATATAATTTTCTTACATTACATTAGTTTAGGTTAGGTAACATTTTTTTTATCAGATTCTTTGGTTGCTGGAATCTGTATTTTAACCAAATTATGCTCGTGGCTCAGTGGATAATGTTTATGTCGTGCCCGAAGTATTATTGGTTTTGATAAAGGTGTAGATAACGGCTACCACCAGAAGGAATTGTCCAAATTGGTTTACATTTTTTCTACACATTAATACCATGATATTAAACACAAAAATGGAAACGACAATGCATAGAACCTGATAGAACCTGACCTAACATACCCATAGGTTGGGTATGTTAGGTCAGGTTCTATTAGGTTCTAAGCATTCTCGTGTTAATTTATGTGTTAAACAACTTCCCTTAATATTGAGGTTGATATACATCAGCAATGGCAAGGAGGAATTCGTGGAAGCGTTCACCATCATTTAAAGGAAAAGCCTCTTGAAGTGGGATTCAGCGAGGTAAACAAAAAAAAATGATGCAGGGAGGAGAATTGTGAAGCGGGATAGAGTAAATAACAATTTAAAAAAAAATACTTTAAAAAAATAATAGAAGGTTGTCGTTTCTTTGAATATACTTAAAATCATCAAAACAATAAGCATAGCAAAAATAAAAAAATAAACCAACAAATTCCTTCTGGTAGAACCCATTATCTACACCTTTACTATTGGTTTTCACTCAGGGCACACCTAGTACTCCCAGCTTATGATGCTTACCTTGCTCTACAGTTTGCTGTCTTTACTCTGCCTACAGCAGTCCACAAAGAACCCACTATTACGTTAGGCTTAGTTTCAATAGAACTGAATAATCCAAACCTAATGTTCTTGGAATTTTTTAACACTTTTTCATTTGTTTATCACTTATCAGCATATTGTAATAGCCATTCAAGCAGTAGGTGTGTTCTTTGTTACAACCCTTATTGTCCAGCATTAGTACAGGAGGAGTACATACTGTACCTAGAGAAAACATACTGTTTGGTAGTGTCACACTGGAAAACGCTGTCTTGATTGAACCCAGCACACACACGCACACTGGTGAGAAATTCTTTCACACTACAAGGAATGTATCATTATAACTCTGGGACAGTAGTAAGTGGCTTATGTTATTTGAAAATTATAAACCCAAGCTTATTTCACCTGAAAATTATACACCCCAGTTTATTTTACCTGAAGATTAACCACCCAAATGCTAACTGGGAGTTGGGTCAGGTTAGGTTAGGTTAAATGAAGTTAGATATTATTAGGTTAGATTAGCTTCAGGGTGGTTATCATCTCTTTAAGTGAAATAAGCTGGAGCATGTAGTATTCAGGTAATCTGTAGATTGTAAGCAGTTTTAGGGTAATTATTCGTTTTAGCACACCCTCAAATTTTTTCACGAGTTGTTTGATTTCTGATGCAATTTGATGTGTTTTGTTCAGATCTGACCTTCGTTTCCATGGGAAATGCGTCATTTTTTAAAAATAGATGCAAGTCATCCTAGATAAAAAATGGCTATTCTCTATAAAAAACGAAGGTGGGATCTGAACAAAATACATCCAAATACCTGAACATCAGAAATCAAACGTCTAGACCCCTAACTTTCACTAAATTAACCTACCTTAACTGATCCTAACCTCACCTAACCACTGCGGGGAGCCATAACCGAGGTGGGGGAGCCCAAACACCTGTGGGGAGCCCTAACCCCAGCGGGGAGCCATAACCTAGGCGGGATCCCTAACCCCTGTGGGGAGCCATAACCAAGGCGGGGGCCCTAACCCCTGCGGGGAGCCCTAACCCCTGCGGGGAGCCATAACCTAGGCGGGATCCCTAACCCCTGCGGGGAGCCATAACCTAGGCGGGATCCCTAACCCCTGTGGGGAGCCCTAACCAAGGTGGGGGGGCCTAACCCCTGTGGGGAGCCCTAACCCCTGCGGGGAGCCCTAACCCCAGCGGGGGGCCCTAACCCCAGCGGGGGGCCCTAACCCCAGCGGGGGGTCCCCTAACCCCTGTGGGGAACCTAGGCGGGATGGGAGCCATAACCTAGGCAGGGTCCCTAACCCCTGCGGGGAGCCATAACCTAGGCAGGGTCCCTAACCCCTGCGGGGAGCCATAACCTAGGCGGGGGGCCCTAACCCCTGCGGGGAGCCATAACCTAGGCAAGGGCCCTAACCCCTGTGGGGAGCCATAACATAGGCGGGGAGCCATAACATAGGCGGGGGGCCCTAACCCCTGCGGGGAGCCATAACCTAGGTGGGGGGGCCCTAACCCCAGCGGGGTAGAAATGGCAGGTGGAGATTTATTTATCTAATTTCTTGGGCGTTCCTCACTTGTGCGGTTTTTTTGAAAGAAACACGTTTTTAAAAGGCTTCAAGGGCTGAGGAATGTACAGCTGAGATAAAAATTGCCTAAAAGTAAGTGCTTCTATGTGATTTGAAGATGTGCTAAACCGAATAATAACCAGTTTTGGGCAAACTCACAGTATAACATTCATCATAACCAGCACTATTGTTTTAAAATGTTCTTATTTTTACACTTTAATGTTTTTATTTTCTATTTTAATACCAGACATGTGTGATGAAGGCACTGTAGTAGTAGTGCCTCACAGACAACTAGGAAAACAATCTTAGCATTAAAGGTATTACAGTACTGGTAGATAATGCTTGTGGTACAGAGTTGAAAAATGTATTGAGAGTTATATACTTGTACATTGTTGTTTTAACTTTTTTGTAGATATAGTGACAGCTAATTCATGACTTTACATTGTGATATGATGACTTACTTGGAACTTTAAGCTTAGTGGCATGTTAAGTAACATAACTTTATCCCGAGTGACATTGCTAACTCATAACTTGACACTGTATGAAATGATGACTGATGTAACTTTACACATAATAACTCATTACTTTATACTTAGTGCCATGTTAAGTCATATCTTTACATTGTAACATAAGGAGTTATAGTACTGTACTTAAATTTAGAATCTGTGACATGAAAACTCATTATTTTACACTAAGTAAAATGTAAACTCTCATAACTATACACTTGATGATATGTTGTCTGATATAACTTTGAATTTATTGACAACAACTCATTACTTTACACTTGACTGCTCACATGACAGTACAGTATAGTCTCGATTTACGCGGATTTGGTTTACGCGTTTGGTCATTTACGCGGCACCTTGCCAGACCGATAATTTTTATTTACACGGTTCATTCCATCATTTACGCGGGAAGTGGTGCTGGCAGGGTGCGCACAAGGTCGCCCAGTCAACAAAACATTACCGAGTTCTTCACCCGCCACCCACCACAGCCGGCCCAAGTCAGTGATAGTGATAGTGAGGATATGGACTTATATGGACTTTGAGGGGTTTGACAAAGAGGCCCTGCAGGCCTCTGTGGTGGATAGTGATACAATTGATACAAGTGATACAGGTGAGGGCCAATAATCTGCCCTCTGCCTCAGAACCAACCCTCCATCCCCGTGTGCCCAGCCATCTTTTCTACTAACGTAAGTGTTAAAAAACCTAATATTATTGATATTTTTCTTAAATATTAATTGTGTGCATACCACCATAAAATAAAGATGTTATTTTTACTACAACGTACTATTGTGTCGGAAAAAGTGGAGTTTGGGGGTCGGCTCATTCTCTATTTCAATTAATATCATATGATCTGTTATTTCGTTTACGCGTTTCTCGTTTTACGCAGACCTCTATGGGTTCAATTGACCGCGTAAATGAAGACTATACCGTACTGTGCAGTGTCATGAGAGAATAAATCAACAAACACTTAAATTTATGATTTTCAAATATGAATTTAAAATGGAAATAGAAATACTTGTAGCTAGTTTTTGTGAGTACTGTAGTTTTAATGGATTGCAGAGAACTGGGACATAACACTGCTGTGTTTTGTAAAAGAAAATCTACCTGGTATTGTACATGCAACAAAAATGATTAAATGAAAATTGACTGTGAGTAACACTGAAGGAACTCTTCTGCATTATAGTTCAAGGAAAGTATTGAAATTTAATGCAGTACAGTACTGTACTGTATTGTATAGATTTAGTGATGTGGAGCTCCAAAACTATTTTTATAGAGAGGGAAGATTAGTACAATAGGAACTTACACCTACAGTACAGTAATTTATTATCTCAATTATATTTGAACCTTTAATACACCAGTTTAATCTGAACTTAAAGTTGATTATACCTATGTGTACACTGCTGTACAGTACAGTTTTATTTAGTGTACAATACTGTACTCAACTGATGGTTCATTCCAGTTCTGAATTGGGAAGTGTATTGTATTCTTCAAACTGAATACTGTATCCCAATTAATCATATTTTATTAATACAGTAATGTATTTTTATACTCTAGTACATGTCTTTGGGAAGTATAACTTTTGTAAATATTTCAGAACTCGGTATAGCAGCCCAGAAGTATATGAAAGCAGGGAAACTCGTACCAGATGATGTGATGGTAAATTTGATCGCCTCAGAACTTGCAGGGCTAAAAACTTCTCCATGGCTACTTGATGGCTTCCCCCGGACCAGACCACAGGCAGAAGCTGTTCACCAGCACGAGAAGGTAGGCTATGGTACGGGTAGTGAGTCACACTGTACAGTAGTATATCTTTTGTAGTCATAGTTCTTTAATACTTTTATTATTTTCTGAAGATATGCAACAATGGTCGTAAAGCAAGGTTTGTGAAAGCCAGTTAATGTACCCTTTTAAAAGCCTTATATGTATTACATTTTGCTCTCATATGAATAAGTTTTTGTAGTGTCAGAAATATTCAGAAAATGAAAAGGCTTTGTTGGTGTTTTGTATTTGAAAATTTTTAACTGCTCATAAATATATTACAGTTTTATGTAGCAGTTATTCCATACTTTTGAATGTACAGTTTTGCAACTTTTTTCATTTGCAACCCAGTACTTTTTTCTATGAACTGTATACTGTACTGTACAGTACTTGCATATTTTCTTTTTCTGGGTAATATTGTTTTAATAGGTAAATGTAAGTGACTTTTAATTAGTCAGATTGTTCTCCCTCCTCATGAGACTTATAGACATTATTATTATAGTTCAGCATGTGCGTAACAGCTTCTTGTGTCTTAAGTGATGGTGGTGCATCTGTTATCGTAGATGCAAAATATTCTGACTTTTAACCATTGCTTAGGGTGGTCAAGCAGTTGATCTCAATCAGCCATGAAAATATTACCATTGAAGAAATTAGGCATCTCTTTTTTCCCCATTGATGTTTCAATTTTGATCATATAGGCACATGGTAATAACTGCAGTCTGTCACTATTATCAGACTTTGCCTAGATCTCCAGTGATTTCTTGTGTTGAATGTATCTGATTTTAAGTCTTGTATGTTTCGTTTTTTAGCTTCTTCAAATAATTAGCTTCTTGAATCCTCCCCCTCCCCTCTTTATACATATTTGGTGTCGAGACTGATGTGTTTTGTCATTCTTATACCCTGTATACAATATCAAATACTGTAGATATTTACTGTGTACGTATCTATTATATACTGTACTACCAGAACCCATCAGAAGAATAATGCGGTGAATGTTGCCAGTGTTGTTGTTGACTCTGCAGTACAGTAAATTAAAGAATGGAGACACTGTACTGTAATTAGGTAGGGTAGGTAAAATATTCTGGTCCTTTATTAAGAGCTCATGATTTATTTGTGCTGGGTTGTGTGACTTGATTGAGGGTGAACCGAATGAAAAACTTAGGGTCTTGTTGTGGAAGGAAAACCATAGAAGAGTAATGTGCATGTTACAACAGCTTTAAAGAATCAGTGATGGGGAATGAGAGAGTGTCTGTGTTACTCTTGATTCTAACTACCCTGGCCTGAAGTGGAAGATGTTTTGGATGTGTAAAGTTAAATATTGCTTTGTAATGTTATTATTTTACCTCGTGCAGCGATCATTTCCAAGAGTTTTCTATCGATTCAACAGATGGCTAAGATTATTATTTTGTAACAACATAATAAGTACAATTTCAACAATGCTCAGTACAATGCTTTTCCTCCTGTATGATGTATAAGTACAGAAAACATTACAGGTTGTACAGTATAGGGAACTTTACTGACGGGTAAAGGAACAAAAACTCTGCGTTACTACATTGTTTTCACTGTAAGGAATAACAGCAATTACTTTTCATATACAGTACTGTGCAGTACAGCAGTATAGATATTTTCTTGAAAACTGAGGCAACTGTATATCACCCAGGACACAAAATCCTTGAAAGTATTATATAACATCTATTTTGGGCATAGACGGAAGTGCTGTACAACAAAGGTCGCTCATTTACTGTACTGTATATGTTTTTTCTTAAACTGTGTGAGCATCATCATTCAAGTTGTTAGAAAGGGAGATAATGTTTTTATTTTTTTTATCTATAATGTATTGTTATTTTTTATAAATTCTAAACTATATACAGTGAGTAAGTATGATTTATGTTTCAGTATCATGTGAAACTTGTCAGACAATGAAGAACTATTAAGCTTTTCCCCTCACAAGGATTCTTTAAGAATATAAATGCGATGAAATTTCATTCACATTGCCACCAAAACCTTAGTAAAGGGTGATTTAATTCCAAGAATATAATATGAATAATTAATGGCTAATATTGTACTGTACTACTTAACTCTACATGCATTAGATTCTTGTTATGATACAAATATTTTTGCTATGAACTCTGATTTGTAATACATTGTTAATATTTTGAGTTTACATTATTTTCCTAAAGGAAATATTGAATCAGAAGATCCTCAACAGAGAACAAGGCCCGAAGGAACACAACCTATCTCTCTATAAAAAGTCCACAGTACTGTACTGTAATTGGCTCTCATTTTGTATTCCTAGGTAATTAACTAAGTGTAGATATTGATACAGTACTTGTACATTACTGTACTGGTGTGTGCTATGTATTACCTTATATACCGGGTACCTCATATCCTTGCTTGTTTGCTTGCTGTTTATTTTATTTGAATTAGTTGTGCATCCTGATCTTCTGCAAGACCTTTGTTGTGATGCTTGTCTCCATAGCTTGATCTGGTACTGAGCCTTGAGGTGCCAGATGAGGTCATAATTGATCGTATCAAAGGCCGCTGGACTCACCTACCTTCAGGAAGGATTTATCATACAGAGTTTAATCCTCCCCAGGTCTCGGTAAGTTTCACAACCCTGATATACTGTATCTCATTTTTGCAAGTTGTGTTCTTGTCTGCTGTAGACACTGAGCCTTCTGAACAATGCTTAATAACCTGGCAGTTGAAGCACCGAAAGAGAAAAATAACACAGTCTTGGTTTAAGCCAATTTACATATATTTTAATTGGGTCTTTAGATGCAAACATTGTTACTATCTATTAACATGATTACAGTATTTATCAATATGCTGTATCAGGGATCAATCTTGGCTGTTTCAGCATTGTTTTCATCATTGTCATGTGTTAAATCATTGTATGCAGTCGTGTCACGTGTTGAGTTTATTTTTTATGAAAGAATTAAGTAGCAAAAACTGTAAGGAAGTTGAGTTTCAGTTCTCTAGTGAATTAAGTACTGTACTATGAGAGCACACGGTCATAGTCACATTAGTATATGAGAGAGGCAGTGTCATCTGTTGATACACTCAAGGTGTATTAATGCACTACATCAATCTGACTGCAAGAAAAAGATCTATAATCAATAACATTGAGGAGCTTTTAGCTTGCCCTGACCTATGTTGATCTCTGGTATTTACACTTTGTGAAGCTTTTTAATTAAGATATAGTATTAGATATACAGTATAGGGTAAGTGTTATGTAATAGGACACATTTTTTGAGTTACCACTGTTTAGGTTAGAATTATTTGATAATTTTGTTTAATTTTCTTGGGCAATGTTACTGTATTTTAGAAATCTGTTACAAAGTACAGTATAAGGAAAGGGAGTAAAGATTTATTCTTGTTTATTATGTACAAAGCTTCCAACCATACTGACATGGATGGTAGTGTTGGCACAATACTTCACAGGGAATAAATACGAAGACAATAAACTTCTCATACATATAGACGAAGAAATTCATCACAAGTGCATTTATCACCTGAAATTTTACTCCCTCTAGCTTACTTTACGTTAATATTAATCACCCCGATGCTAACATAACCAACGTAACATTATGTAATACTTTATAACCTAATGTAATTTAATTTAATCTAACCTAAACCCCAGGTAGCATTAGGATGTTTAATCTTCATGTAAAATACAGTTAGTTGGGGGCAAATTTTCAGTAGATTTCTGTGGGAGGTTTGAATCATAGACCACGTTCTTTGTAGACTTTATTCTAACAGCGTCAGCTGGTGACTGGCAACCGGGCGCTGCCAAAGACAAGCCCCCATCTCAACATGGGAAAACTTATCGTACGATGGTACAATCTTACAATCTCCCCCCCAAGTTAAAAGGAAATGACAATGCACATTTAAACTAACAAAAGGAAAACAATTCATTCATAAAAACAATAATAATGCAGGAAAAACCAGTCAAACAAAGGGAAAAAACCCTCTAAACTGATTTTACATCACTTACACTACACCACGTAGTCCGTCAACCAGCCTGGAGGCCTACAGCCTCTCCTGGGCCTGGCCACGTTCGACTGGGGAGGGGCCGGGGGTGCGAAGGAGGGCGCAGGTACGGAGGGCACAGCAGAAGGGGGGTCAGGAGGCACAACTTGGTGCACCACCGGAGTAGTAGGCACAGGTGTGGAGCCGTTTCGCAGGTGGCGTCTGTTGCGGATGGACGCCCTGCCACTGCCACCCAACCTGACGGCATATTGCCTGTGAGGGCGGGCTTCCACCACTATGCCTGTCCTGTCCCAGAGCTTGGTAGCTGCGTCCTGCACACTGGGACCGATGATACTGCAGGTCACCCTCCATGCCAGGCCAATAGACAGACTGCCGGGCCCGCCTGAGCATTGAGTCGAGGCCCTGGTGCCCCACATGCAGGTTAACGGCGGCCCGGTGGCGGAGGGAGTCGGGGATGACGAGACGCACACAGCCCTGGTCAAAGGTGTAGGTGACCTAACCCCTGACCACAGCCAACCTGTCCCTCGCCGAGAAGTACGGGCGCAGACAGGCCACCTCCTGCGACTTGTGGGGGTGCCAGTCGCCCGCCAGCACCCTCAACACTAGAATCTGGTACACTGGGTCGTCCGCAGCTGCTTTGCACACGGTGTCTTCGTCCATAGTGATGCACCCATCCTGATCCAGTGCTGCGATTGTGACTGCACACACTGCAGCGCACAGGTCCTCCTCTTGGTCCATGTCCTCCGCGTCGGGCGCCGCCCTGAGGGAGGGGAAGCAGGATAGGGCATCAGCTGCACAGTTCCGCTTCCCTGGCAAGTATTTGACCGTGATCCAATATTGCAAGGTCTCCTTGAGCCTGAACAGGCACGGATTCGCCACATTCGTGAAGGCTCTGTCCCCTAGCAAGCCAACTAAGGGGCGGTGGTCCGTCACCAGAATGAGGTTCGGGCAGCCAAGGAGGAACAGCCTGGCCTTGTGCAGGCACCATACCACAGCCAGGGCCTCCCCTTCTACTGCAGCATAGCCGGCCTCGGCCGTGCTCAGATGTCGGCTACCACATAGAGCCAACCGCCACCCTCCCCTGCAGCAGAAGCAGTCACAGCATTGTTGCAGGACGACGAAGCCGATGCCCTCCCTGCTCCAATCCGTGACAGCTGCCGTAGGCCTGGATTTATTGTAGTACATCAAGCCGTCTCTGGCCAACTGACAGATGGTGTCCTGGGCCTGGTGAAACTTGTGCCGCAGCTGGTCATCCCAATACACCCTCTTGCCCACTGGCTTCTTGAGGAGCTCGCGGAAGGGCTCCATCACAGGTGCAGTGGCAAGGAAGGGAGCCAACTGGTTAACCAAGCCATGCCAGGACCTGATGTCAGTGATTGATGGCTGATCCGGCATGGGGAAGTCCTTGATGGCTGACAGACGTTGGGCAGTGGGCTGGTAGAGGTCCCACTCCAGGAGGAAACCCACAAACTCGGCTTCTCTCCTGTAGAACAAGAACTCTTCTGGTTTCAGCGTGATACCTGTGCGAGCGCAGGTCTCCAGAAAATCGTAGGTGTGCCAGAACGCCCCCTTCACACTGGAGTCATAGAGGAGAGTGTCATCCACGCACTTGTACTTGCGGGGCACATCCTGAATAGCGTCGTCAAACCTCTTGGTGTAAGCATCTGACGCTGAGCAATGTCCCATGGGCGTCCTGCAGTATCGAAAACGTCCCCACGGCGTGATGAATGTGGTCAGACGTCTACTCTCCTCCTCCAACTCCACCTGATGAAATCCCCAAAAGGCGTCGGCGACGGTTTTGAACGAGTGCGCTGGCACCCCAGACACCATGTCGAATGGTGCAGGTGTGTGGTGCGTCTCCCTCAGACAGCTTGCATTGAGGCGTTGGAAGTCCACAGTGCGCCTGGGCTGACCGTTTTTCTTGGCCACCACGACCATCCTGGCGCACCACTCCGTAGCCTCACCAGCAGGCACTGGCTGGATGACTCCTCTCCTGACATCCTCCTCCAACTGGGCCTTCACCTCCGCTTCCCAGTGTTTCGGAACGGAAGCGGGTGTGTGACAGGCGTAGGGGGTCGTGCCGGGCATCAGGTGGATACGGTGAGGGGGACTGGTCATGACTGGCAGTGGGCACCTGCTGATGTTGAATGCGGTAGATGAAAAGTGCGTGAGCAGCCATGCCTCCAGCCTGGCCACATTTTCCTCCAAAGGAGGCAAGGGTATCTCAACTGGCCTCGGTGGGAAACAGCTGCTCTCAGGTAAAGGGTTCGGAGGTAGATCGTCGGCAGTGTGCCGCTCCCCTCCATCGCCCACGGCAGCCACAGCACGTCTATGGAGCGGGAAGTCGACAAGCACCAAGTTGAGGCACTTGCAGGCCTCCAATGACAGATAGAGGGCCCTAGCTGTCTGCACGAAGTAGACCTCCTGGACGGTGGACCCCTCGTCCACACTGAGGCGGCAGGGGGCGGACCCCAGACACTTGAGCTGTTTGTTCGCCACGTCCCTTAGGCCATTACGGGCCCGAAGTTGCCCCGGACACAAACCGATGTCCCGGAGCAAGGATGCCCCTGCCATACACACCATGGCACCCGTGTCAGCTACAGCCAGCACAGGGGTGGCGGGGGAATTGCCCCCAGCCTGGGACACGAACACCTGTAACCTGGGGTGGCGGGATAGCTGGGCTGTTGCTTCTGTAACAGCACCAGACACATCCACAGGAGCACTTAGGGCTGACTTACTCATACATCACCTTTTGAAGTGACCAACCTTAGAGCAATTGCGACATGTAGCCCCACTTGCAGGGCAGTTACTTTTACCAGGGGCATGTGACACGCCGCAGTTACCGCACTGCCCGCGACTGGGGTGTGGAGGTCGGGCGGCAGCTACCTCAGGCTCACTGGTGACGTCATCACCAACCGCCACTGCCTCCGCTGCTGTTCCCACCACTGCCTGGCCAGACGTACGACACAATACACCAGCATCTCTCACTGCTGCCTCAAATAACATGCATTTGTTTCTAAGCACTTTAACACTATTATAACTCGAGTACCCCTGGAAAATTTCCCTTTTCAATACTGGGTTACTCAGGCCCACCATAGCTTTACGTAATAGCATGTACTCAGAGAGATCGTTATCACAGGTGGGACATTTAAATTCTCACTCCACTGCCTCTGCGTAGCAGCGTTGAAAATACCTTTTCATGGGCTCCTCTTCACCTTGTTTGCTGTTGAAAAACTCGTTCCATTTCACAACTTGGTTTGAAGATTGAAGAACCACTCCACTGATGGCGTCCAGGGCTTCCTTGGGCGAGAGCTGCTCCCACTGACCACTGGGGTATCTCGAGTCAATCACCCTTTGGAGTGCAGGGACGCAGTTCAGGCGAATGTGGAGTGTGGCCACCAGTTGTGACCACCCATTCAACAGCACCCATGACTCCATGGACCGCCTCCATGTCCTAAACGCAGCTGCTGGCATTTCTGCCTCACACTTCTCTGGAGCGACAGCTGCTGAGGGCTTCATGACCGGCATAGAAGCATGACCACCGCCAGCAGCTAGAGACGCCATCTGAGCCATCAATGCACTCATGGCCTGCTGCTGGGCGCGCGTGGTGTTCCCCTCCGGTGTAGAGAAGCCCTGGCGTCCCCTTGAGGGCGTCGAGAATCGTGGACGCGTTGGGGCCATGTCAGTGTTCTTGTCAGGGCTGTAATGGCGTGTCGGGCCCCGACATATCCTACTCACTGTGCGCCATGTGGGAGGTTTGAATCATAGACCACGTTCTTTGTAGACTTTCTTCTAACAGCGTCAGCTGGTGACTGGCAACCGGGCGCTGCCAAAGACAAGCCCCCACCTCAACATGGGAAAACTTATCGTACGATGGTACAATCTTACAATTTCATATCAAATACTGTATATATTGTACTGTACAGTAGAAAGAGACGAAACAATGAAGGATTTACAACATTTGTAATTTACTGTAATCTTTAAGTGATAATTTTGAACATCCATACCGGTACCTCATTAACTCAAAATTAATGATTTAACTGTTAAAAATTATCATTGCATCACATCATATTAGAGAAGTGAAATATTGTACTGTACTTCTCAGTGTTTCTATTAGTTCCTTTCTTCATGTACAGTGACCCCTCCGTTAATGAACTCAATCCGTTCCAGAAGGTCGTTCGTTAACCGAAAGTTCGTTAACCGAAACCTTTGTTTCAATGGGTTTTTGGGTAATTGGTTCCAGCTCACCGAAAATTTCCTAAATTCAACAAAAATGGTAGAAAAGTTCACTTACTTTGAGGTGTGTATGTAGAAGGCTCCTGGATGATGATGATGATGATGGGATTTAGAATGGGGGTGGAGGAGAAGGAAGAAGAGAAGGCATTGGGGTGGAAGAGAAGTCACCCCATGGTGCCATTTCACCCATAAAATTTTAGCTCTCTGGTGTAATTCAAGATTATTTTCTTTAAATCAACACTGCACTGCATTATATATTGTCAATATGTAAAATATATTTCAAAATGACCAATAATTTGCTTGGAAACACAGAAAAAAAGCGTTTAGTTGAAGAGAGTCTCAAGCAAGATGTTACCTCCTGTTTGCTGTGTTAAGAGGCTGGATGCCGCGCATTAAACTAGTCACTTTACCTTCAATTATGTTCAATAATTGTTAAAATGACTAAAAAATTGAATATTAAACTTTTAAAATTATTGAATAGTATAAACTTCTTGATATTTACTAAAATAGTAAGGAATTTAAGCCCAAGAACCGATTAATGTATTGGCGGACTGATATTAAAGCTGGTTGCCCGGTCAGTGCAAGCGAAAACATGTTGGGGTCGGTTTGTAAGAACTTCATTAACCGAATTTTTTTTCGTTAACCGAATTGAAGATCCTTATGGAAGGCAGTTCGTTAATCGAAATTACGTTAACCGAGGTGTTCGTTAAACGAGGGGTCACTGTATATGATCCTCAGAGCACTGGTTCACTTTAGATAAAAACTTGACAAGATATATGGTTACATTTTACTGAGAATAATATCTGTCTTATGTGCTATCAATTAGAATTGGAATTCTTAAGCTGTGTAACCCACTTTATTATTTTTAACCCCTTCCGCTGGCCGTATCCCCCACGAGGGGTAAATCGAGAAACATCAACTTTTCCAAAAATATTTTTTAACCTTTTTAAATGATAAAACAATAAAAAAGAAGTAAGAAAACTATATATTGACCCTCTAGAAACTTTCCTGGGGCAGCAGTGGCGAGGAAGATAAGGGGACAGCTTGTTTGGTGGCTTGCGCTAGTGGTCACTGTGCACTTAGTGGCCATTTTCTGCTTGCCTTTGTGTCCAGCATGGCCAGTATGCATATATTTACTGATCATAATACTCATTTCCAAAAAATAATTCATTTAGAATTTATTTATTTTGCATTATTTTTCATAAAAAGTGCTCGGCGACACACACAGTCTGTCGCCCGCCAGGCTGCCTGGATGTTTGGGAGAGCAAGTAATGCATATAAATAATTATCAGAATAATAATTCCACAAATAAATACATTTATAATATAATCATAGCATTATTTTCCAGTAACACTACATAACAATACAACTACACTACTTTTGGCGTGGGAGGTTGAGGTATGACTCTCCATGGCAACAGTTTAATGCGTACTGACCTCGCTGAACCCACCCACGCTACCCTGCATGTGGCGTGACCACCAAATAGTCATGCTGGAACCTTATAACCCGTGCTGGGCATTCAAACAATGGTGCAAAAAGGCGCACCTTCCGGAACGTCAACCGTGGCGCCCTAGATGGACATTCCAGAATGTCAACCGGGGCGTAGTGCTTAATAGAAGATCATTGTGCTGTGGTGCTCACTACTGTAAAATAAATTAAAAATTTTCTGTACATAATTGCTTTCATTAGTTTAATGCATGCTGCAACTCACTTTGTTGTATAACTCTCTTACATACAAGCACAACACATTTATATATGTTTACCTGTATTTGTGTGTTTGTACTTGTATGTTTTTCAGAACACTTTCTGTAAAAGAGTTCTAACCTCAAGTATTTTCAGGGTGTGGATGATGTAACTGGTGAACAACTAGTCCAGCGAGAGGACGACAAGCCCGAGTCAGTTAAACAACGTTTGGATCAGTACGCTGTCAACACTGGGCCTCTGAAAGGATTCTACAGAGATTTAGGAATCCTGCAGGAGTTCCACGGCACAGAATCCAATGAAATTTGGCCACGCGTTCATAACTACCTCAAGAGTCACCTGACAGCACTGAGCGGTCCTTTCTAATATGCCTTATTAATATTACATTGTGTAGCTGAGTTAGAATGGAGAGCTAGTGAACATTTTATGCACAAACTGACAGCAGGACATAAGGGATTGTATTTGTGTTGTAGTCATGGATAATAATAGATGTTGCTATTTTCTTTCCCATTGTTAGTACGGTACGGTGATATCGCCGTGAGCCGGAACAATTGGTGCAGAGCACTTCCTGGAATGAGAGATTTCTGGGTAACGAGATGACTCTCTCAAAGCCTGAAAAAATCCCTCGTACCCGGAAATTTCCGGGTAACGGAAAAATGTTCTCAGAAGTTCCAGAAATTTCCCATTGCATCATCTCTCAAACCCGGAAAAATATCTCTTATCCCCGGAATTTTACGGGTAATGGAAAAATTTTCTCGGAATTTCCAGAAAATGCACCCGATTTCCATCTTTAAAACCCGGAAAAGACTCCCCCATCCCCGCAATTTTCCTGGTATCGGGAAAATTTTCTTGGAATTTTCCGGAAAATGTGCCCCACGGAAAACCATTCCCAAAATCAGAATTCTCCGGAAAATTCTTGCTTTGCGAATGATTTTCCGAGAAAATTTCAATTCCGGGTATGAGGAATTCCGGCTAGCGGAGATATATTACTGTGGATACTTTATTGATTATAATATAGTTTGAAGGCTGTTGATTTGATGTGAAGGTTATGAAGAAAATGACATAAGGTGTTATGATATAGGTATACTATAAGAGAATTTATACAAGTTTTTATCTGTATATTTTATATACAGTACCTGGTAATTTGTAAATATCAGTATATAAGATGAATATTTTGAAGTTGTCTGTTAAAATATATATTTTTCTAAACCATACTGATTACAGGGGTCCCTGACTTACGAATGTCCAGCTTACGAAAACCCGCCGATAAGAAGACGTCCCATTAGGTAAATTATTTTAAGAATCTGACACTTTTTTGGGGGGGGGGGGATAGCCCACCCGGGCACTGGTCATCGGCCTACAACGAGGCCTATGAGGTGAAAAAACAAGAGTAAAAAGAAATTAAAAATAGAAAAGAAAAAATCATATTAATCTACACCGCGAAGATGCCGGAAAACCAGCTTTTTGAAGGGAGACAGATTGTAGGAGTATGGAAACACAGAAAAAGCAGAGCATTCCACTGTTTGGCTGTGTGAGGAAAGAAGGATGTACTATAACGGGTTATTATAGTGTGACCGACATCCACAGAGAAACGGTGGGCACCGTGGACAAGACGTGTGTTACCAGCCCACGGCCTTGTCGTCGGTGCACAGGATGCCAAATCCACCGAACATTGCCCGTTAAAGTACCTGTAAAAGAGTGAGAGTGAAGCAACATTGCGGTGAAGAAAAAGGGAAGAAAGATTATCAACTAAAAGAGGAGAGTTAATAAGATGAAATGCCTTAGATTCCACCCTATCTAACAGTTGGACAGAAGAAGAACCACCCCTGATAGGAATGTGTCCTCCAATATTGCAGTGTAAGGTGAAACATCGTATTGTGAATCCTTAATCACCATTAAAATAAGCAATAATATTGAGTTGTGTTCCCAAGTGTGACCTTTTCATATCTTTTGTGTGGCTTTTTACCCTCTTTTCCCCCCAAAACATTACAATTAATGAAAATTGCAAACTATATTCTTTAAATATTGTTTCTGAATGCACCTTATACAATATAAAAGAATAATAATATGGTCACACAAGAGGAGATGGAGCGTGATTCTTTTCGTTTGAGTTTACAGCCGGGAATCCCGGACGATAATTCTACACGAGAAAATTAAGAAAATAAGACCCTGGTTGTAGCTGTAGTAAAATTAATGGAAAAAAATGAATATAAATATCTTAAGTAATGTTATTTAATGTTAATAAATGGAACAATAGAAGTAGCTAACCACTAATGGTAAAGAAAAAAAAGTGAGATGGATTGGGAACGCCAACATATACTTTTGCATATACTTTTGCTTTTAAGGATACCACGTCATTTATCTTTTTAAGAATATGTACAAAAGATTCATTATTGTTTATTACTGAATATGTATTTGATCGACTTTATCTTTATATATGCAAAATGAACAATACAATTCATTAATAATACGTAGAATATTAAAACACACAAGAGGAGAAGAGACGGCATTGTTGGCTGTGTTTACACCCATAATGTCAGTATCCACCTGAAACTGAAGAAAATAAGACCCTGGTTGTTGTATTAAAATTAATGTAAAAAATATGTATGTTTTAATTAATGTTATTTAATGTACAGTAGAAGTAACCATTGATGTTAAAGAAAAAGAAGTGAGACTGATAGTGGAAAGCCTATGTATACGTGCCTAAATAATCTTACTGAGCAGAGTGCCTAAATTTTCTGTAGATGTTATAATAGTAGTTCTTTGGTGATCAAAATTATGGAATTGTATTAAGGTTGTGGAGGATTGTCCTTGTGCCAAATAAGTTTATATTAGATGCGGAAATGTTATGCATTATGACAAGGATGTGTTCAGTGCTTCCATTACATGTATGTATATCTGTGGGTGCTATTTTTTAAAAAGTGCTATTCATTAAAATACTGGAGATAATTGAAAGAATTCGTTTTCTCTTTCCCTCAATGTTAAGGTTATTTTTGTTACCTATGTAAGAGTTAAGATTATCCGTAATGCAATACTAAGTCTTCAGAAAATTTTTGTTGCCTCAATAGGATATAAGAATTAAGTTTAAGTGAGAGCTGTGATAAAACACTTTATTTTATTTATACTGTACTGTACTGTAGTTTAGTTACTGAGTTAGAATTAGTGAATAGGATCATACCCTCCAAAATTTGCCTCAATATAATATACAGGAAAAAGATGCAAGAAAATAGGCTGGGAGCCAGTGTATTTCATCTGAAGACTGCATACCATAAAGCTACCTTGGGGGGAGGGGGTTGGGATAAGATAGGATTGGTTAGATAAGGTTAAGTTAGGAAAGGTAATATTGTAGTGTACTGTAATAGGTTTGGTCAGGTTAATCTTCAGGTGAAATATACAGGGGAAAAATGTGCAATGATATAAATGTTTTTAATTGTTTTTTGTTTCTCATCAGAACTGTATATTTTTTACATTATCATTTAACATTTCATTATTTATCAGCTTGCAAGACATTCAGGCGGTTGGTCTGGTGTTTTCATTGTTATGAACGTTGTCTACAGGCGGAATTTGTGTCCCCGGCCAGGAAAAGGCCTACCGGTAAACCTTGCCCAGGAGCAGACTCAAACCCACAGTAAGAGATGACTTGTATCCTCTTCCCCATTTATTGGCTCGTGAGCCACTTGGGGGCATAAGTATTACCATTATACCACTACGACTACTACTACTTTGCTGTCACTCGGTATCGAGTATGACAATCATCCAGCTGTGATGCAATGATATGAGTTATTAAGGATGTCACCTAGGTTGGTGATTTCTGAGGGGACTAAAGTGGCCGATACGGGACCGGCAGGGTCGATCACAGATGTTACACATGTAGGGGGGGCTACATCTAGTTTGGGAAGGACAGTGGCAGCGTCTTTCCGACATTGGCACTTGTCTGCCTCGTTATGCAGTCGGGCTAACTCGAAAGTATTGACACCTTCTTGTATGGTGCACCCCCAAGCGTTACGGTGTGGAGTAATCGTCTCCCATGTGAGGGGGTCCATTTGGCACATTTTCAGATTGTCTTAAGACTATCCTTATACCTTTTCAGTTGCTCGCCAGCGTTACTTTTACTATTCGTAAGGTGACTGTAAAGTAGCTGTTTTGGCAGCCTACTGTCATCCTGGCAGGTAACATGGCCATTCCAGCGTAGTTGTTCATGGATAGTAGTAGCCTCGATGCTTCTACAGTTGGCGTCAGCAAGAATACTGGCACTTGTTCTCTTATCTTCCCAGCGAACTCAGAGGATGGAACGTAGGCTACGTTGGTGAAAATTTTCAAGTGCCTTGATGTGCCTACTGTATGCGAACCATGTCTCACTGCCATATAGCAGGGTGGGGAGGATCACTGCTCGATATATGTGTAACTTTGAGGATAATTTCAGCTCCCTACAGCTGAAGATACGGTTTTGGAGTCTACCAAAGGCTTGAGATGCACATCTGATCCGATGCTGAATCTCTTCATTGTTGTCCGCGGTGGTGGACAGTTGGGAGCCGAGATATTGAAAGTGGGTAACATTAGAGATGGTAGTACCATTAAGCTGGATGGATGGTGGAGGTGCGGCTGAACCAGGGGCAGGCTGAAAGAGAATCTGAGTCTTATGTACATTCACCTCAAAGCCAAAGTGTGTATACGCATCTGCGTAGGTGTTCAGGATCTCCTGTAGGTCGTGTTCAGTGTGAGCAACAAGGGTGAGGTCGTCTGCATACTGAAACTCAGTAATGGAAACTGCCGACACCTTTGTTCCTGCCTGGAGTCATCTTATGTTGAAAAGATCCTTCATCCTGTACCTGATGTCCATCCCGCTGGCTAAATTGGTGCTGGCACGAGTAAGGAAGGCAGCCAAGAAAATGGAATAGAGAGTTGGTGCAAGTGCACACCCTTGTTTAACCCCCTTTTGGATGGGGAAGAACTCAGACTGGGAGCCATTGTGTAGGACACTGCCGTTCATGCCATCGTGGAGTTGCCTCACAATGTCATGGTCACGTTGACTGCTAATCTGTTTTAACACTAATGATTCTTGTTATACTCCACGAACGCAAAACATGAGTGGGTTAGCTATTCCTAAGAAGAGACGTGTTTTCCCCCATCAACGTTTATACTCATGATCCCTCCCAGTAAGTCCCTCCTTCGAACACAGTTGTCAATACGTTATTATTCCACTTGCTACTGGCAAGCTCAATCTTGAATTAGTTTATGTAAATCAACTTTAGTAATTCGCCAGACCTTTGTCAACTGAGGGTCATCTTTGAATGAGTAACAGTTGGGTTGTTTGTAATTTCTGTCATTGCGTGAGTAGTGATCGCTGGCAACTCAGGGATATATTAGCCACGGAGGAGAGGGAGAGAGAGCGTCCTGTGACGTCCTCTCCCGTTTGTTCCCAGGTATGTAGCAGTGTTTTATAGCCATTCAGTTTGATTCAGTCAATTGTAGTGAATATCAGTGTTCATCAAAGTTCATGCTTTAACAGTGGAATTGTCATTCACCCAGTAAGAAGTAATATAAAGTAAATGCCGTCTGACGTCACTAGACGAGAGATGTTGTTTGTGCTTGAACCACCATGCAGCCCCCGTGACGTCCTCTCCCAGAATCCAGGGTATCCTCCTCTGAACACTCCATCGGCTGCTGAGCCGGTGGGTAACCAGCAGGGATCAATATATGCATTGATGTCGGTGATTCGACATGATTAACTTACTACAAATCAACATCGCGGGGCTGGACCTCAAACTCTCGCCACGTGTCGTAGTACAACCGACCACAACAGCGATCGTCAGTGTTACAGGCGCCATTGCTATACCCTTGTTACATGCCTTGGAGTTATATGGTCCACAGTGTTGTTGTATTGTGTTTGGAAATAATTATCCCATGTTGGGTAGTGAACCCATGTTGTAATTTGCTGGTATAAATAATAATAATAATAATAATAATTAACGGTTTATTGAAAAAGTTCTGCAGCCCGAAGGCTGAAAATATACATTGGACATAAATGACTTATTACATACATTGGTGGTTTAACAAAAGCCTTCATTAGAGAAAGGTAAAGGAACATACAGTGAACATTCAAATTAATGTAGGTGTTGAACAGCAAACACGTAGTGTAGTAACTCTCTCCCAGATGGTGTTAGGAGGGACCTCATGTGGTGTAGTAATTCCCTCACAGATGGTGTTATGAGGGGCCTCACGTGTAGTAATTCCCTCACAGATGGTGTTATGAGGGGCCTCACGTGGTGTAGTAGTTCCCTCATAGATGGTGTTACGAGGGGCCTCACGTGGTGTAGTAACTCCCTCACAGATGGTGTTATGAGGGGCATCACGTGGTGTACGAATTCCCTCACAGATGGTGTTATGAGGGACCTGACGTGGTGTAGTAATTCCCTCACAGATGGTGTTATGAGGGGCCTGACGTGGTGTAGTAATTCCCTCACAGATGGTGTTATGAGGGACCTGACGTGGTGTAGTAATTCCCTCACAGATGGTGTTATGAGGGACTTGATGTGGTGTAGTAACTCCCTCACAGATGGTGTTATGAGGGGCATCACATGGTGTAGTAATTCCCTCACAGATGGTGTTATGAGGGACTTGACGTGGTGTAGTAATTTCCTCACAGATGGTGTTATATGAGTGAGGTGTGGCCCCAGGCCTTCCTATCGTAGACGGATTAACACATCGCCGGTTGTTGGGTCTCACGGGCCGTTATCACTGGGTACCTGGGACCTCACTGTGTGAAGGTTAACTTGAATACGACTTTTACTGTTGAGTTGTTCTCACTGACTCAAGCACTGTTCACCAATGTTCACCTCTGTTTAACACTGGTTCCATTCCTTTCCCAAATGAAATTGTAACCCCCGCTATTTAAGACCTGACCTCGTGGTGATCTCTCTCTTTTCTACCAACAGCCGCAGCCAGCAACATCCTCCTCCGCCGCTGCCCGGCGGCCCTCATCCTTCGCCTGCCTGGCGGTCCTCTCTCCCGCTGGCGAGCATGGCGACCCACAGGCTGGTCCTTCTTTGAGCGTCCTCACCAACCAGCTCTCTCTACATCACGCTTGTAACCATGCTGCCTTCCCAGCACCAAGCTGCATTGTACATCCAATACAACATGTATATAGAGAGCACATTGTGAGTTTCCTTTCTCCAACCCATCCTGAGTGTGAACCAAATATACTGAACCCCACAATACCTTATCTACACCTAAAATTGTTATTCCGAGCTGTTTGATCACGTGTTCGTTGAATAATGACAAGCAGTGTATTAGTGTATGTATTGTGTAGTGATTGATCATAGGTGATTAATTTTATTAAAGCGCGTTTACATCAGTTCACTCTCATTTCCATTTAATACTCTAATAACAAGTTTATTTTAATTTATAAAATATTTATTCCTTTAATAATAATAATATAACAACAAATAAATAAAGGTGGCTTATTCACAACTGTCATGAGTCACTGTGTAACTCGAACCACTGAGCTCGACGCCGACACCGCCCTTTTAAGTGATGTCATACAGTTCCTCAAAATAATCAATAATAACGTCAGGTTAGTGTGTTATGGTGAATTGCATTAATTTACATACCAGAAAAATAATTCAAAAGTTTTTTAAGGCCAAACCATAACCACGTAAGTAATTAACCATAAATAGGTTCGATAATATTACCTAACATGGATGTGCTACTCGACAGGCATATGTATAGTCGTAAATTAATATTGATTCCTTATCAATATCGACAATGCAGGTAAATGTACAAAGACACTGCAAGAATACAGACACCGAGCAGGTATACAAACAATGCTCAATCCTTCATTAAATTAACTTTACATGTTATGAAACATACAGAAAAATGGAGAGTAAGTAATCTTTACATTTATTTTTACCATTGTTTGCCCAAATTTCTGCACTATATAAATTGCATACCACATTATACAAGTTGAACCAGTGAGAGTTGTGAAGGTGGAAGGCGCCTGGAAGCTTCACTCTGACTCAGCCACTCGCCACCACCCGGTAAGCCGCTCCTCATTGACACACAACATTGAAATAATTCTAGCCGCTAGACTGTACTTTAACTTTTAACCTCTTCACCACTTACGTGTAATTTAGTGAATATTTTGTGCTATTTTCTGCATGAGATTGTTATGTAAGTACAGAAGAAGAGGAATATGTGTGTCGGTTGCTAAAAATTTTTGAAGAATAGAGCAGAAGTTTTCCTTGTTATGTGCAGGAAGAAAGGTAGGAATTGTATACATAATGGTTGTTTGTTTGAAGTGTATGGTCATTTTGATGTGCATGGTAGATTATTTTGGTTACAGATGCAGCAAAGGTAATTTAAATTGTGAATTAGTACAATATTTGGAATAATGGTGGCATGTGACGAGTGCTTGACAGTACATTGAGAAGCTGTGAATGCGAGAGAGATGGGATAAACCTTATTTTATATTTATCAAACAAAATTATGAAGAGTAAAACCGGATGGGGTATGATGGATGTTTTTGGGGTATTTCACTTTTTGCCACTACACCATCTCTGGAATATTATAGTTACAATCCGTAGTTTTGACAATTCTAGGACAGTTTTCTTCAATGACATTTCTGGCGCAAATTACTTTGAAGTGAGATATTTAACATTTTATCTTGTATGTTCGTAGGTGGCAGTACACACCAAAAACAGAACAAGTGTGGGGCTCCCCAGTTAGGTTAGGTTAGGGTTTTGTTTTCCAATGGTTTTTGACGTGTTTTGAACACTTTTTACCTTGATTTTTAAAGCAAATATCTAGATTCTGAGATGGGAGGAGGAGGGGTCTTATCTCAGAAACTGTTGATTTGCACCATAAATGAAGGTCAAATAACATCAAAAACCATCGTAAAAACATAGTTTCAACTTCGATTTCGTATAGTGACAACAAGTTAAATTTTACCGTGATTTCTTTGTTGGGATATTTATGGAAAGAAACTTTGGGTAGGGTTAAAGTGATTGCCGCCAGTGTTTATGTCATGTTAATACAGTACGTAGTTTATATGATGTTCGTAGTGGATATTTGCCATGATCGGCTAAGTTCCTACAAACGCTATTTTACTGTAAGTGCACTTTGATTGGTGCTAGTACTTTCTGTTTAATATGATGAGGGGGGTCTGCCCCGGCTAGGAAGTTAAGTGAGGTTAGGCAGGTTTCTTTGGTCATTAGTTGAAAAGGCAAAAATAATACATAGAAATTCTAAAATGGGTCTCTTTTTCTTCTCGGCACCACGAGAACTCTCACTTTTACGCTTGCCAGCCATTTTAAAGGGAATTACAAACGAAAATTTTTTTCAGTACACAGCGCGATCACTAACGTCAGGACTCGAAAATATGTAATGTGAAAAATATTTTATACGACCACAGCGGTCGTATGTCTGGGTTATCGTAAGTCAAGTATGTCGTAGTCGAGGAGTATCTGTATGCGTGTGTATGTTGCATGTGTATGTTTATTTGTTTGTTCCTCTGAGATGATAATTCCACAAACATCGACATGGTTAGTCTTAATAAAAAAAATTAATGCATTTTTCTTGCTGAATACTGACCAGTGCTGTCAATCTTGACCCTACCAAAGGTGGGCAGCAATTTGAAGCAGAGCGAAAATGTGGGGTTAAAAACAAATAAAAGAACCTAACCTCTCATTAGGCAGTGCTTGCGGAATAATAGCCAAAACCTGTAAGCGAAGGTTCCATGAGATTGCATAAAACTAAATGGTGATCTTGCATCTCACGTTCACCATCTTGAAAAAAGTAAGGTAAAGCAGTTAGATGCTATTCTATTTCCTGATACAACAATAAATTTTTATGGAAATTAAAAAAAAAATGTTTCTTATGAGTTGTGAAGTGTACAGTACAGTAGTTAGAAAAGTAAAATTTAAGATTAGATATTGCAAAGCCTAGAGAAAAATTTTCATCAAAGCGCTGGAAACATTTGTACAAGGATAGGGTATGTTTATTCACGTTGATATAATTTTTGTGTCTGTCAAGGTATTTTAACTTCAATAGTAACTTTGAGAGGCTAGAGTGTAGATAACTGACCCATGATCCACTTTAAGAAAAAAAAAATTATAAGAAAGCTTCCTTCTTATCTTTAGAATATTCAGAAGAAGAAAATTGGGAGAATTGCAACTTTTTTACATTTGATCGTAAGTCCTTACTTTATTAAATGTCATTCTCATGGGAACAATGTACCTGGTGAAAAGTCTCTTAAGAATAAAACTTGTTATTTAACTGATGAATAGAAATAAATGGGTGGGGGAATTGCAACTTCCTTACTTTTTTGGTCAAACCTCATTTTTGTAGAGTGAAAACAGTGCGTACTACTTGGATTGTCATGCTTGCCTTTCTCCTTTTAATGTAACTTACTATTGTGCAGTAATATCTCCAATACCCGAAATTGAAGTTCTCTCAATTCTTGGTCTGTGAATGATTTTCCAAGTTGAAAATCAGCACATTTTCTGAGAAAATTCTGGAAAATCTCTCCAAATATTTTTTCCGTGTTTGGAAGCCAATTTCAAGGTTGAAAATCAGGCATATTTTCTGGAAATTCTCCATTTGTTTTTTTTTTTGGTTTTGGGAGAAAATTCCAATGATGAAATATTGCGCAATTCTGGAAATGCTGAGAAATTCCAGGAACCAATTTTTTCCAGGTCTAGGAGCAAATTCCGAGGATGAAATAAGGTTTAGAGTCTCGGAAACCTTTCTCATTACCGAAAAAAAAAATCCATTGATGTGGGATTTTTCCAGGTTTAAGAGTCTTGTTACCCGAAAATCTCTCATCCCTGTTTGAGCTTTGTGCCAATTATTCCAGCTAATGCGGATATCGTAGTCTCTCCTTGACTTACGATGGGGTTCCGTCCTGACGACCAGGTCGTAAGGCGAAAATAATACATGGAAATTCTAAGATGGGTGTCTCTTTTTCTTCTCAGTACCACGAGAACTCTCACTTTTACGCTTGCCAGCCATTTTAAAGAGAATTAAAAACGCAAATTTTTTCAATACAGTGCGATCACTAAAGTCGGGGCTCGAAAATACGTACTAATGTGAAAAATATTTTATTTGACCATGGCCGTCGTATTTCCGGGTTGTCGTAAGTCGAGGAGAGATTGTACAACTGTATAATGCACTTTCATCCTAGGATAGGATGGTTTTGTTGGTTTAACTTATTTATAATAATATTCAGTACCCATGTCGACGTCAAATGAATCTGTTTAATTGACTAGTACTGTATTTTAGAGATTCCATAATTTTCTCCTTGCAACTGCTCACTCTACCCACCAACCACCCTAATAAGATAACAATAAAATATTTCAAACTTTTGGGAAGTTAGATCAGGATGGTTTGTCTACAATAAATTATTTGCATCACTACGGGAGAAAACCCTAAGTTGTTTAGGTATGAAACTGCTAAGGCAATATAGCCAAATGAATAATGATAATAATGTGAAAGTTAGGGTGAATCCTTATTGCTATTACAGAGTATTTGGTATGGAAACTTAGCTCTTACCTGTGTTCGCCTGCCACACATAAAATCCACTTGCCATCATGGATTGATCACATACTCTATGTATTGGTATAGCTACAGTCTTATTATTACAGTCATAATATCAGCTACTGGTGAAATGGAGTTCCATCGTACGATATGTTTTCTGATGTGTTGAGGTGTGAGCTTGTCTGTGGCAGCGCCCAGTTGGAGTTCCATCGTACGATATGTTTTCTGATGTGTTGAGGTGTGAGCTTGTCTGTGGCAGCGCCCAGTTGGAGTTCCATCGTACGATATGTTTTCTGATGTGTTGAGGTGTGAGCTTGTCTGTGGCAGCGCCCAGTTGGAGTTCCATCGTACGATATGTTTTCTGATGTGTTGAGGTGTGAGCTTGTCTGTGGCAGCGCCCAGTTGGAGTTCCATCGTACGATATGTTTTCTGATGTGTTGAGGTGTGAGCTTGTCTGTGCAGTTGGAGTTCCATCGTACGATATGTTTTCTGATGTGTTGAGGTGTGAGCTTGTCTGTGGCAGCGCCCAGTTGGAGTTCCATCGTACGATATGTTTTCTGATGTGTTGAGGTGTGAGCTTGTCTGTGGCAGCGCCCAGTTGGAGTTCCATCGTACGATATGTTTTCTGATGTGTTGAGGTGTGAGCTTGTCTGTGGCAGCGCCCAGTTGGAGTTCCATCGTACGATATGTTTTCTGATGTGTTGAGGTGTGAGCTTGTCTGTGGCAGCGCCCAGTTGGAGTTCCATCGTACGATATGTTTTCTGATGTGTTGAGGTGTGAGCTTGTCTGTGGCAGCGCCCAGTTGGAGTTCCATCGTACGATATGTTTTCTGATGTGTTGAGGTGTGAGCTTATCTGTGGCAGCGCCCAGTTGCCAGTCACCATCTGACGTTCTAAGAGTAAAGTCTGCAAAGAACCTGGTCTATTAGTCAAACCTCTCAAACTACTGCTGCCAGTTTTATGTTTTGTTTATTTAACGGGAACTTTAATATCTATGAAATGTCATTTGTCTTGACACATGCATAATAAATAATCATGTATATAATATGGTGATTTTGTCCTGGTCAGCATATCATACCTGGACAGCATTTCATCATACCCACAAATGTTTGCCAGTGACTGATGATATATAATAAGTACTGTAATATAAACCAACCAAACCTACTTAGCCTAATTTATCCTAACCTACCTAACAACAAGTAACCTAACGTAACATACTTATTGTAAGCTGGAATTGCATTATATTAGGTTAAGTTATGCAAGTTAGAATATTCTTTTGTTATCTTCATATGGAAACATTCGGCTCCTTAGCTTGTCAACAGTTTGACTATAAGCATGGCATTTACGTGGGTAAGTACTGTATTTTCTCTTAACAAAAACTATAGAAAAACAAAATAGGAAGCTGCAATTCCTCCAGATTTATTAGGTTATTCAGGAGGTAAGACAGAAGTTTTAATTTTTATTTGCTAAAGCTACTCCTTTAGAGGAGTCAGTTAACTAGACCTAGACTATTACACTATTAGTAGTGTTTTTTTTTTTACTGAAAGTAGGTGAGGCTCTTCTGGAAGTTTAATGCATTTTCTTATAACCAGATCACGAGGAACATCTACTTGCAAATAAAGGAATTATAAAATGGCTGATCCCAGGATTAAGCAGCTGCGTATCAAGACTGGAGTTGTGAAGCGTTGTTGTAAAGAAAAAATCAGTTATGAGAAGGAGGCTGAGCAGATTCAGGACAAAATAAAGAAAATGCAAGAAGAAGGTTTGTAAATGTTTATTTCGATCACATGCAGATTAAGCACTCCCAACTTATTTCCCCTCAAGATTAAACCTGGGGGGGGGCTGTAGTTTAGTTTTAGTATGGTTTTGGTTTTTTTTTTTTTTTATTGGGCACCCCCCTACGTCCTTGTGTAAGGTGAAGCGCAGAAGCGTTTACAGTGCCCAACAGGGAAGCATGCTAAGTTCATGCTTGCCTTTATGTCTCATGAATTAAGGGCGTAGAAGCCTGAAGAGTCAAGGGCATAGAAGCCTGAAGAGTCAATGGTTTGCGTCAAGTTATTGGAAGCTCCAACAACTTGTCCCTGAATACTAATTCGCAACTTTCGACTTACAACAGGTACCTACTTTACTGCTAGGTGAACAGGGACTAATGGGGGCTAGGAAGTATGTCCAAACAACTTCCACCGGCCCGGGAATCGAACCCGTGACATCTTGCTTGCGAAGGCAAGAGCGGTACCACTCTACCACCAGCACCCCCAGGATGGTTAATCTTGGGTGAAATAAGCTGGGGGTACCTAATGTTTATGCACAGTAATCAGTTTATTTCTACACACAGTGTGAAAGTTTTCTTTGTTACTTTTGTATTTTATGATAATGCATGGATAAATGTTTGGTTTAGCTCCAGTCTTACTTTAATTTTTAGATGGGACGTTCACCATAATGTTTTGGTAAATCCAAGGAAAGAAGGAAGAATTTAGTTTGAAAATCATTTATCAAGCAATCAAAAAAAATTTCCAAACCTAAACCCCACCACCTAGAAGTACAGTGTTGAATTATGGGTTAGGCTTAGGTAGAGGAGTCCTTGTGTTCTGCTTCAGAGAGTATCTTCAAACTTATATGTATCCACTCTCCCCTAAATTATGATAGCAGACAACATAGACTGCTGAACCTGATGCCCTGGGTTATTTTTGGATAAGATTAATTCTATTTTGTTAATTTTGTTTCATATTGTCTACCATTATTCATGATTCAACCCTACAGACTCTTATTTATAAGACTGAAACACTTCACAAGGATATAGTTTTAACAGTTACCGTAACACGAGCCGAGATTTATCACTGTTCTCTTATACTGCCAGATTCTGGGGTCACTAACTCTAAGGGGATAACTTAACTCTATTCTTAATTTCTAAGGGTTGCTGCCACCAGACCCCCTCTGGGCAGTATGTAGCTCGTTAGGTAGCGGGCAGAGTAGACTTGGCATTGGGTTAGGTTTTTCATTGACCAGATCGATAAGGGGAAGGAAGGGTGAAACCATAACATGTCTTAACTAATTTATTCCTTATAAAACATACTGCATTCCGGTACAATACAAGTGAGTTGGCCTTCCTCAGAAGAACAACGATGATTTTGGTTACCCTGCTCGACAACAGACGTCTTACATTAATTGCGTGTCATCCACATACTTATTGCATAAATATCAGTGACCACCTTACCTCGGTCATCCCTTCTTACAATAACACTCAACATGTCAGACTGCTCCACCTGTATGGAATATCGCACCTTAGGTTATCATACATAGTAGCACCATCTCACCTCCCTGTAGCACCAGCTCATCACACCTGTTATACTCCACACCTGCAAGTATGGGACTCCTTTTAATTTTTTGGTACACATATCAGGCACCTCGTTCACGCACCGCCCTCAGTGGGTAGAGACGAGGGCTTCACCAAGAGACATACCAGTGCTGTTTTTACGCCTGGTATTATAGGTCGCTCCAAGTGACGACCGCAGAGTTTCTCAAGCATTATATTGTGTATTCCTACTCATTTGTGGTGGTATGCTGGGAATCCACAGGTTCACAGTGGAGTAGCATAGCTGGGAGTAGTCATCTCACATGGTGGGACGCTCACAGGGATAATGGCCGCTGTTCTGGTGAGTTCAGAGCGCGCGGGGCACCTAAGTTGCTGAGAGAGTAGGTGCCACTGAGAAATAATGCCTGATGGGCCATTATCACCCAGCCCAACACATCACTATTTCACTTTGTACATCAGGCAAAGTTTTAAACTGTAATAACTGCTATACAAGTCTCTTTTTTTTTAGGGCTGAATACAGCCCGATGAAGTTCACTGACCTGAGTTGATGAGAGAGGAGGTGCCACCGAGTCATGAGGTCCTGCACCTCTCACCGACGTAGGCCTACAGTTTCCAATCTTTAATTTTTAATTTGATTTCTTATGGTTCTCACATGAACACTTTCCTGTTTATTGTGACCTTATGCTTTATAGATACATATCTTAATCCTAAATTACACACTCGGGTAAGGTTCTGATTTGCTAGTTCCTGGATAAATTCATTGGGTTATAATATCAACGCGGCACACCCGAGGCGGCCTAGGCGCCAACCTGAACAAAGCCTAGCGTCGTATTTTCATGGTGTGGGTATACACGATATTCTCTTTGAAGCATAGCTTCTGGATCACTTCCAACACTTCACATAGTTCTGATACCTTTATCCTTTTTCCAGATCATTGTTCTCATGTATTTTCATCTGATATCTGCAGAAATTATGTTCACTAAACATTCACAGATGTAAATAGTATGACCTTCAAACCACAATCTATACTTAGCCTGGATCAACTGGACTTTCCCAATCATCTTATAGATACCTTGAGTTCTCCTTAATGCTATGATTACATACAATTAATATTATATAACCGTACTTGGGTACAATTCAACAAATGAATCAGTAACATTGAGTAGGCGAGTTATTCCTTATCAGTGTTTCCCGTTTTCTGAGGTTCTACAAGCGCGGTGGATTTGAATGTTATGTAGCGTAACATGAATTAGAGGGGGTTTTTAGGAATGACTATGATGTGCGCAGTACACTCTGTGTTGTGTTATGTGTTATATGGATATCCCTCGTTTAATGATGAGGGTTACATTCATGAAAACCTAATATTAAGCAAAATTATTGCTAAGGGACGGATAGCACCGAAGCACGGAGGGCGAACAACAGGGTGAATCACTGTAGATCACACCGAGTACAGTACAGTACTGTAGTCCTTAATAATAATAATGAATAATAATAATAAACAACAAGTCCACTGCCTCCACACATACACATCCATGCTTTACATTTTTCTTATTTTATAATTTTACGTACAATATATTATATCTTAATTTCCAAGCCACATTGGAGTATTGTAATGATTTGTCCACAACATTTATAGTTTCATTACATGTAACAGTGGCAACATGCCATCTCACTGGCCACCACATTACCAGTTTTCCCCTTCCCAGTGAGTCAAGCAATCACTAAACCGAATTTTGACCTAATATAAAGCGAGAAAGGATGTCAAAAATTTTAATCACTAAAGTGAATTAATGTTTAAGTGATTTATAACTAAACGAGGGATACCTGTACAGTATACTGTACTGTATATTAATAAGTACTGTAAATATTAATTTTCAACTTATATTGTTACAGGTCAGGAAGTGTACTACATCAAGAAGCAAGATCTCTTACTGCAGGAAACACAAACTGTCATTCCAGATTGTCAGAAACGACTAAATTCAGCTTACCAAGACTTAAAGGCTCTCGTGGATGCTGAGGTATGTACATCATCTTTTTATGCTCCTGCCACCCATAGCAAGGATTTAAGGGTTTACTTTTTCTTTCTGATCAAAGTGGGGCACATACAGTACAGTATTTTATTGATAATCTCTTGTTTTATTAGGACAATATCTGTGAATGACAGTGACTGAAGGGAAAGTCAGTGTATGTGTGTGCATTCATAGGTGCTTTTGAGTTTGATTACTCAAAATTATAGCAGAAAAGGGCTATAAAATTTGCCCCCCCAAAATGACCCTGTCTTTGTACAGTTCTCTCTACAGAACTTTATTTCGATAAACAGTTTTGATTGTTGCCTTAACACTGTAAACAAACAGGGAAGTTTCTAATAGTATCTCCTCAACACAGTAATTGAAATATATAATTTTGAGTAGAGACTACATTGTGGACAGGAAGATTGGAGCATTATGTGAAGGAAAGGACAGGAGGGGATAAGGAGAATAGAGAAGATGAAGAGATATACAGTAATATTGGGAATAACCAGAGACTTCTGTGATGGTTACCCCCTCATGTGGCCGAGATAGGGTGGTTTTGGGAGAGATGAGCAGGATTGTGTCAGGTACTGTACTAAAAGCATTGGAATGAATATAAGCTATAGGTAAGATATTCTGCTTTGTTAGAAAATAAGATTATATTGGTGCTACTATAGTGTGGGTCTACAAGGATATCGTTAGTCTAACCTGACCTAACCTAAATATCTTGTAGACTGCATGCTATAGTAGCACCCAAAATTTTATCGAGAATACAGTAACAGTGCAGTAATTCATAAATCTCCTAAAAAATGGATAAAATGTAGTAGATAAACTAATGTTTATTTGAGCTAAATAAAAATATTATGATGCTACTATAGCTTTGTGTGTAAAAGATATCTAGGTTAGGTTAGACAAGATATCTTTGTAGACCGCACACTATAGTAGCACCAAATTTTTTAATCAGGTGCCACAAGTCAAAAGCATAGGTACAGTTGTTGAAAGATAATATTGTTTCCTTGTTGATTAGGCAGTTCAGTTCTGAGATGGATGGATGGATGTACACCTTTGGCTAATATAACTTCTAAGTAACAATTAAAAATACACCAGTTTGTTTTTGGTTATTTAATAGCAATACAAACAACATTTAATATACTGTATCTTGTAGAATTTTGGGCAGTGTAAACAGGTTTATTTATTATTGCAGACAGAGTTAGAAGAGGCTGAGGAATATCAAGCAGCCAAGACTGTAGTGGAGGAGACAAGTGCCCACATCACAGCATAAGTGTGGTGTGCAGAGATGACCTGTGTGCCATTATCTACTACATGTGCACAGGAATCTACTTATATGCTAATTTATGTTAATTAGATGTGCTACTAGAAATTCTTTTATCCTTATTTGTTGTGAAGTGAAAAGCAAATTGATGCGCAACTGAAAGTTGAAAAAATAGACGTATCTTTGTGAGTTATGAACAGACGTTACAAATACAGTATTTAGTTTGCGGATGTTTGATTGAAAATTGTATTTTGGGAATTATCTTGAAAGTGATATCAAAGTAACTTGACAAAAGTGATAATTGGATGCCTTAAACACAGCTATAATGGTTATGTCCTCTAAGTACTCTTAAATTTATATTCATTACAATTGATAAGTTACTTACCGTAGTTAAAGTTACTAACTCAGATTAGTGACTTTTCTGTTAGATGTGAGTGTATTGAACCAGTCTACAAAATATTTCCTGAAACTTGTGTTTTATATCTTGAAGGAATGTTAGAAATGCAATTTTTTATTACTGTGCTTCAGTTGAATTTGATTGTGTGTGTTGACTGCCATCATTGTTAATTATCACCATTTTTATTATTAATAGTAATAAGCCATCATAAGTTGGAAAAACTAGTGAGACAGAAAATCTGTATTGAGAGTTGAGTGACATTGAAATTATCACACATACATTGAAAGGTTAAGGTTTGCAACTTTATTAATAATTTTAAAATCTAATTAAAAAAAAATTGCAAATCCCACTTGAGGATGTCAGAAAGGTCAAACATGCCAGATCCACCTTATAAGACCTGGGTGCAGCCTTTACCTCCAGATCATCATCCCTTACCTGGATCAACCACTAGACCTGAACATGGCACCTACATTCCACAGGACCAGAGAAATGTTCCTCCTCATCCTTCATATGTGCAGCCACACCAATGTCATCTTTCGTCTGGCCCAAGAAGTGTAAATCATATTGTTCCCAATAATCCTCCACCTGTTATTACATGTCATTCCAATACACCAGGCCAACAACTACCACCACCTCCTACTACTCCCCTTAGTCAAATCAACACGGCTAATATTTATCACACTCGTATCCCCCCTCCATCTACTTTTTCAACGCCTCCACCCATTTTTTCAGCACCACCACCTTCATTCTCATCCACTCTGCCCTATTTTTCCAGACCTCCACCCCCTTTAACATATGACTTAGGAAACATTCCATTGTCTCATGATAGTCCAGTTATTCCTCAGAGTCACCAGTGTTCCAGTTCCTTGACAACTAAAAATTCATGTCCTCCATGGCACAGCGGTCCTCCTCCTCAAGTTAGTAATCTACAATCTGTACAACAAACATCCAAGGACTCAGCCAGTGGCAGCTTTATCTCGGATCCCCTTACCAAAAGCACTAACTGTGGATTCATTAGGGATGATAACTGTACTCCAGAAACATGGGAAGAAGATCAGAAATGGTTAAGAGAATTTCAGGAAAGAATGAAGAGTCGCCAGACACCACCACCAGCCAACACCATGTCTAGGGAGAGGACCATAAAGGTGATTCTTTGTATGTAATAGTACTGTACTGTTCCTATAGATTTTGTATTTTCTTCCTAATAAGCTATTTGGTGAATTAGATGTATTTGATGTTTGCTTCACTCAATCTGATAATGCAGTATGAAGATATGCATCAGCTGTTACTAAATCTTCTGGTTGGAAAAGCTTGGGATCAGATCGTTCTTACAGTTATTGCTTCTTGTGAAGTTTTAGTGATAATTTTTAGTACGCTAATATGTTTTGTCACTCCTAACTATTGTATTCTTATAGCCATTCAGATAAAAGCATTTACATTGTATCAATAAAACAATAATTCCAGAAGAGTCTTATTAGTGTTTATTTGTTACCATTTCAGTATTATTATTACCGCTTCTAACACCGTGTGACACCAAGGGGCCTCCGTATAATTCTGACAACTACTGTAACTGTTTTGGTCCAAGGAGATTTGTCTTTGGTAACATTTGGAGAAGTGGTATGATAGGTAAAGCAACGTTTTCAAGGAGAGAATTGTTGTTACTCGGTAAAATGCAAAGAAATAGTATAAGGGAACAAGCCCAAAAATTTTTGGTCTCTGATGTAGTCACGAACAAAAGTCCTGTCTCCTATTCTGCTGCTTCATGAATCCCAAGATTCAGACTCTTGAATCAGAGGCATTAATAGACAGAATAATGCATCAGTGTCTATTGCTTGAGGTTTACGAATATTTGAATCTCAGGGTTGGTGGAGCAGCAGAAGCAGCTACAGAACTTTTGTTACAACTGTACACCTTATGAGCTTCATGGATGTGTGTGTGCGCGCGCGCATGCATGTGCGTGCACTTTCTTTACATTGGATTGAAGCAAAAGGTTAACAAAAAGCATATACAGTAGCAGGTTTTACAGTGAGAATAGAATAGGGAAATATTAAATCAAGGGTATTATTAATAAAGAGGAAAAGTTAAATTTGTTTGTGTATTTTGTATGTTGGTATATTAGTGTGATCAGTGATGGGCGTTAACACAAGATCCCTTGTTATCCAAATGTTCGGCATCCAAAAATCTTATTCCTACAACTTTTTTTTTAGCCATTCGAAAGTGATCCTCGCTTTTCCGAAAGGTGGTCTGATCGAAAATTTAAATCACCCTTCAATCCTGACCATCCTCTGGTGAGGTATGTACCAACTGGACAGTATATTTTAATTTGAGATGTGTACGACCAGAGTGGACAAAGTGCCCCCCCCAAAAAATGGAGATCTCTGGCACTTTCTTCTGTGATCGGCTGCCTGCCAGCCCCGCTTGTAGTGATGCGTGGGTAGTTTTACTTAATAGCAAACTCGACTATATTACCACTTCAATACTGAGTAACCAAGTCTCAGGATCAAGAGTTGGTTCCCTATTTTTTTTTTTTAATAAATCTCAATTTTGACCTTAGTGGCGCATTATCCACTGGTCATAAACATTCATTTATTTTAGCATTTACCGTACAGTAGATAAGTACTAAATTACAGTACCTTATTTAGTTTCCCCCCATGAATCGATATCATGTCTTAGGTAGAATATTGGGTTTTTCAAGGAATCTAATCCATTCTCATAAAGAGGGATACCTCTAGTATTAAAAACAACTAAAAACTGTTAACTGAAGGGTAGGAGTGTGAGAGTTGGTCCAGTTCAGAACTACTGTACACCCTCGGTTTGTTGGTCATGAAAGTCGGCAGTGATAATGGAAATTTGTGAATTTTAGTGGTGTGTGAAAACAGTGAAAATTGATAATTTGCATTTTTTTGTATACAATACAGTGATTTCTGCTATAACGCGTGTTTTGATAACGCGAATTTGCTCTAACGCGATTTATGAATTAGGAACGATATTTGTATAACGCGAACGCTTGTTTGCTATAACGCGATTTTTGCTTACTATTTCTCCAATTTTGTGAATATAGTAAAGAAGAATATCAACAAGAAGCGTTCCGGTGATAAAATTCCTGGTGATGATCGTAAAAGAAAGGATATAACACTAGAAGAGAAGCTCGATTTTATCAACCTCAAAATCACCCTTCTCCCCCATCAAGTAAAGTGTTACATTTACTGTATGATTTCATTATTAGATATGAATGTAACATTTATTTAGACCGTGCTATCCTTTGTGTTAGGCTAACTACTAAATTTTTTCGATTTCGAGTAATCTGCACCTAACCCTATTTTCTCCATAAGCCCTGTTATTTCTATTAAGCGATTTTCTATAACACGATATTTTACAAGAACACAATTATCGCGTTATAGCAGAACTACCTGTACATTGGATTTGGTATACAGTACTTGATGAACAACTCGGTTTTTTCTTCATCTGTTTGTAGGTTTTTAATTCGCGGCCCTCAATTATTCGCGGATGACACCCTGGATGTACCCAAGAATGTCTGCGGGTAGTTGTGGCCATATATCACTGGATATACTATTATTGATAGTGTTTACTGATAGAATAGTGCTTAACAGTGATTAATCATGGCATTGTAGCTAAATTAGCTCATCATTGTAACCAGGCTACTGGACCAAGCTGTGAGGTGTTACGGTTTTTTTCAACTCGTGTTTTTGGGTAGATATACATAACCACCTTCATTTATTTTTACTTCGTTACATGCATGCACCATCCTACACACACATTGTGAAAAAATTTATACAGTATTACACTGCAATTACCGATATCCTCCATGTTGGGTTGGCTAGATGGCTACGAAAGAAATTATGTAAGTTTGATACAGTGGTCCTTGGGTTAAAGAACACAATTCGTTCCAGAAGGTCGTTCGTTAACCGAAACCATCGTTTCAATGGGATTTTGGGTAATTGGTTCCAGCTCACCGAAAATTACATACAAAGTAAAAAAAAAAATGCAGTTAAGTACACGTACTTTGAGGTGTGTATGTAGAAGGCTCCTGGTTGATGATGATGATGATGGGAATTAGAAGTGGGGGTGGAGGAGAAGGGAGAAGAGAAGGAAGTGGGGGTGGAACAGAAATCGCCCCATGCTTGGTGCCGTCATTTTACCCATAAAATTTTAAGTTCACTAGGTGTAATTCAAGATTATTTTCTTTAAATCAACACTGCACTGCACTAAATATTGTCAATATGTTAAATAAATTTCAGAATGACCTACAATTGTACAGTACTGTAAAAATGTAAAAATACTCTGTGTTCAAGAGACCCACAAGCAAGATGTTTCCTCCACTGAACAGAGATACAAACTGAGGCCTTGGTGGGTGAGTGAAGTGGCTGATGGGTGCACCAAAAACTAGTTCCCTGTACTGCAATTATGTTAAATAAGTGTTAGAATGACAAAAAAATTTTAATATAAAACTTGAAAAATTATTGAATAGTACAACCTTCTTGATATTTACTCAAATTTTAACGAATGTAAGCCCTAGAACCGATTTCTGTGTTGGTGGACTAATCTTCCAGCTGGTGAGCAAGCCAAAGTATGTCGAGACATTTTCGTAAGAATTTCGTTAACCGAATTTTTGTTCGTTAACCGAAATGAAGATTCTTATGGAAGGTAATTCGTTAACCGAGGGACCAACGTACTTCATATCAACCAAGCTTGTGCACAGTTGCCAATCGTTCTAGAGACAGTAATTTTTACAAGGAAAAAATTGCCATATGGCAACCCAGCCAACTCAACTTTAATAACAAAGCACTACATTGACCTGAGGGTAGACTCACATTTTTTGTACATTTTGATACATTTTGTTTTGTTTCTGATTATTTGAGAGGATTTTTCCATTATTTATTTGTATGTGTTTTGTGTGTGTCTCTACACATAGAATGCAGGTAAAAGAAATAATTGCCCTAAGGACAAACGCAAAGGGAATATACATTTCTTTACGTATGAGTAAAAATGTAATGTTTCCCTCCCCCGTCAGTAAATGATATTGTGGATTTGGCTATTTGCACCCATTTTGAGACCCAAACCTACACGAATTTTAAGGGCATGCTGTACAGTAATTGTTTTATCGTTTAGTCGATGAGGGATAGGTATTTTAGGGAGGGCATAGGAAAGATGTAATTAATTTTAGCTGTAGGGTGAAAATGGTAATATGGAATGCTCTCAGATGGATTAGATCAGTTTAACATGCACAAGTCAATAGATAATTTCAAAAGATTGGATCGTTATATAAAGTGAATAATAATAAAGTGGGACTTAACATAACGGAACGTCATTTCAGAGATGTGAAAATTATGCGAGCCTGTAAGATTTAGTTACTGCATTTTATCTAAATATTACAATGCGCATATATACTTTGTGCTATAATACAGTAATGTTCGTAGGAATATTGTACAGATTTTGGGGATTATGTAACTGTGGCCACCTTGTTCCAACTCCATGTAGAAAAAGGTCTACAGGAATGAAAAAAGAAACAATGGAAAGGAGCATGAATGGAGTAATTTTAGCTGCACTATAAATTAAGTTAAGATAAACAAGAACATGACATCTGTACAGTACTGCAATTTGAATCTGTAAAGTATGTACCAATTACCAAGACCATTATGACATGGAAGACTTTGGAAAAACTGAACTTTATTTATTAAAATTGTTTTTCAAGATGTACAAATTTCTTGCACTGTGCTGTACTTGCCAAAAACAAAATCTAGAAAACTAAGTTATTTCTAAAATGGGAGGCAGGAAAAATAGAAATAAGATACTGTTGAAGTCAGTGTGAAGGGTGTCATGAAAGTGGTCATGTTAATCCCTTTACTATGGGGGTGCCACTTTTAATATTTTATATGGCTAATGCCAAACGAATTCAATCGGCACAGAAAGAGTTAAACTTCCTTCAGTGACATACCATTTTGGTGGAGTAACCTTGATTGGAAAATTAAAAGATAACATTCACAATACAATTCAGTATTGTAACGAAATGCAGGAAAAACAGAAATACAGTACAGGGTATTATCGGCAGTACTGAAAATAGCACAATATACCCTACAGTATAATTGTGTGAGTTGACATTCTTCATTTAATTTCCTAAATTTGTTTGGTTTTAATCTTTAGTGTTAGCTTAGCCCAGAGTACTGACATTCCTAATGGCTAGCTCAATACACCACCAGCCACAGGATTGCTCCCAAGTCATGGGTTGGGAATCAGGGTATCTAAATACTGTGCCTAAGAGAGAGGTTCTGAGATAAGTCAAGATTGCATTGCAGTGAAATATTTATAAATAGAGAGGATAAATATATAGTGACAAGACATTGAATGGTCAAGAATGAACTACCAGTAAAGTTATGGAGGTAAAATTTGGTGATTGGACTGTGAGGTGTTACCAAGAATTTTTGTAGTCCTGGACAATTGTCTTTAATATCAGAGATGATGGCAGTATTGTAGCTGCTGCACTCAGTGTGATAACAGATGTGGCAGAGGTGTAAATGTTATATATTTGTACAGTACCCTGTATTATTTATTTCGATTTTTAGAAGAGGAATTATTTGTGGTCATGGTAAGATTGTCATCTGCCTTAAAACATTTTATTTGAATAATTCCTGACATTGGGTTAAACAGTAAACCAGAATTATTAAGATGTATGAATTATATACAGTATTCACATGTACATAAATGAGGACTAAACAAGAACTATATCTGCAGGGTTGAAGGGACTTCATGTGGATAATTAACACCAAGTACTGCAGAGGTCAATCAGAAATATGACTAACTTGAATACAGTACTGTACAGGATAAAACAAAAATATTACTGTACCTTAAGATGATGCTTTACTGCTCGGAAGGATTTATAGTTTTGAGGCGCAACATACGAAATGAAGCCCACGTTAAATGACGAACTCAACAAATTTGATGCTCACTGATTATGAGTGACATCTTTGGTTGTGAGTGCAAGAACGGCTTATGAAGAACACGATCATAGTTACTGTACGGTATTTGTCAGCCCCATAAGTGAGAGTACTGTATGTATATGAAAACTTGGGCCACAGTCAGATAATGACCAGACATATGCACTAACATGAGCTTAGTTGAGGTAACAGGTAGTACTACTGTGCTGTGCAGTTTATTTGCAATACCACTTGAATGCAAGTTGATTTTTCAGGTCAATGTTTCTCAGAATGTAAATGTGTTTTTGTCTAAGATGCATATTGCTTGAGAGGAACACTTACACTGATAACTCAACCTTCCATTCCTCAATTCATTGTTGGATGGTTGAGTTGATGTGTGGATTGTAACACCTCACATGATAGGTTGCAATCGTCTCTGCTCCATTTCTTAGATGGTCAATGGGGGTCTGCTGTATAGAGCCTATTTTAGGTAGCCACAACAGCTTTCAAAATTGCGAAAAATGTATGGGCATGTTAGCAAACAGATTAGAGGAAATTACCTTCCTGTGTGGTTGTGTTGTATATGTATGGTTTAATGTCTTATGATCTAGTTTCATGGTTTTGCAGTTATTCTTTCATCACATATTTTCTTTTTTTCTGCATGAAGTTGGTGGATGTTGAGAAGATGGTAACTGAATCACAAATGTTGGCCAGTAGTTTACGAGAGGTGGAGGAGAAGATGAACCAAGTAAGGGAAACTGCACAAATTGATGTATGGGAGGACCTGGCACAACAAGCGGAGAAGATAAAGGTATGTACTGTATGATATTTTTTATTCTAAGTGATATAGGAACATTATAGTACAGTAATCATATGGTATTTTTCCATCCCTTCAGTTAAAGCTAAAACAAGTGATCATCGGTTTCCAAGATGATAATTTTATCTGCAGTGTTCAAAAGTTAATTAATCAGCGAAGAATGAAACGTAAGCACGTGAAAAGAAGGAAGAAGGAAATACAGCTTGAGAAGGAACAGATTAAGAAGGCAAGACAAGAGGAGGAAGAGAAAATAGATGCCTGGAGGGAAAAATTAGAAGTCGAGGCAGAAGAGAAGAGGAGGGTAAGTGACTGTCAACCTTTATTCTTCTCTAGTGACCATGTGCAAAATTTTACTGTTACTTATCTATGTTGTCTGTAACTCAGCTTCCTACTGCATAATGTTCAGTTCTCTGTTATCATGAAATGTATTATTTTTTACTGAAAGATTATGTTTGTTGGATTTCATGAATATTAGACAACCCAGCTTTCACCTGATGATTAAACACCCGAGTACTAGCCTAACCAAACCCTCCATTTATCAATAAAGTGTTTAATCATCAAGTGAAATAAATTGGGGTTCCTAATCTTCTTGAGGTGCCTTTGTTCTCATAATTATCTTGGTACCGTACAGTATGCTGTTTCGCATATTTAGAGTAGGTGGCTCACAGTAATCACACTCTTTTCTAACCAATTCTATACCACTGCTGTACAGTGGTCCCTCGGTTAACGAACAGTTCGATTAACGAAGTTTCAGTTAACGAATTAACTTCCATAAGTATTTTCAGTCCGATTAACAAACAAAACTTCGATTGATGAAATCCTTACGACAAACACTTTTTGTTGTGCACGTCAGCTGATCGGCTAGTCCGCCAATACAGTAATTGGTTCTATATGTACAGTTGTTTCCAGTGGAGTAAATATCAAGAAAGTTGGTCTTGAATATTTCTGCATTTTTTATATTAAAATTATTGGTCATTCTGAGATTTAGTTAACATATTGTTAATATAAACAGTACAGGGAACAGTTTTTGTGCGCCCATCAGCTGGTTGAATCACCCAACAACGCTTCTCAGTTTAACTTTGTTTACAGTGGAGTGAACATCGATTTTGTTGGTCTCTTGAATATTTTTGCATTTTTACATTAAAATTATTGGTCATTCTGAAATTTAGTTAACATATTGATAATATACAGTGTAGAAATTATTATGTAACATGTAGAAGGCATTAGAACCAATGCACTGTAAAGAATATGGCATGTCATCATCGGTGACCGGATAAAACCCCAACGGACAAAACCCCAGTCTCGTATATAAAATACAAAATAAAACACTTTTAGGCTTAGGTTAGGTTAGTGTTGACAAATGACAACCCCGTTGGGGTTTTGTCATGGAATTGTCATCATCGACTGCCTCAACAATCAGCTGTTTGATATGTAAACAAAGCTGCCAGTAATACGACATACACACCTCAAAGTAAGTTAAAATACAGTATTCTATTGTTTTTTATTTATTATTATACAGTATACTGTACTGTACAGTACTGTATTTAGTTTATATTTAATGTTTTGCTAATTCTATTACCGTTATACAGTACTTTGTATGCATACTTTGTCTGTGAGTTGGAACCAATTACCCAATATCCCATTGAAATAATAGATTCGGTTAACGAACGACTCTGTGGAACGAATTGTGTTCGTTAACCGAAGGACCACTGTACACTATAATATATCAGAGAAGTACCTGGTGTTCATAAATTATTTGACCCATTGTAAACCTTAATACAGTAATATAAAAAAAATGTATAGATACAGTAGAACACTGCGCACATTTGTTAGTTTACGACAACACAAAAAAATTAAAAATTTCTCTGTATTCATCATATATAGTATAGTAAAACCAGCATATTCTGTGTATAATATTGTTGAGTTGACTATTAATTTTTAAAATGTATAATTTTTTTTTATAGACACCCTGTATTGTTATACAGTACATGTATTTAGAATAATTACCTAAGGGCTTCTGCATGTAAAATTGGCATTTCAAAAGTAAGGTAGCCAGTGCTTGTAAAAATATTTTAGTAGAATTTCATTTTATTAGGAAAAAGCCATCAAAGCAGAAGCTGATAGTATTTTGGGAGAAGTCCGTCAAAAACAGAATGACACTCTGAGAATGCAACAACTGTTGGAAGCTCTCATTACTCTACGTCTGACACGTATAAACAAGGGTGCTGCTCATGGGGATGTATCCACACCACAGAGGGATCAACGATTTGCTTCCACTATAAGTAAGTTCTGGAAGCCATTATAAAGCATATTTTTTCTTTTACTTTTAAATTTGTAATTTTGTATCAGAAGAACCATATCCAATAGTTGTGATCATCAGTGACTCATTTATCACAGGACAATAAGCTGATCTTATCTAGATACTGGAAAATTAGACGACATGATTTCACTGAATTTATTAGGGTTAAATTAAGTTATACAAGGTCCAACACAAAAATAACGAGACTGACCCTATAACTCGGGAACCAAGAGTGGGAGGGGAAGGACAAACAGACGGTTATTGAACATGTTCTAACCTGTCACAGAATGACAAGGCTCAACTCGATAGCTTCACTCAGTACAAGTGGACGCGTGTTGAAGTATAGACGTGTTCTTACGCTCGGTCGGAAAATGTCGGACTGCAAAACTGAGCAACAAGTTAACATCAAGTTTCTCGTTAAACTTAAGAAATCCGCGACGGAAACTTTTCAATTATTGACTAAGGCTTACGGTGAAGATTGCATGTCTTGTGCATGCGTTTTTGAATGGCACAAACGACTTTCAGAAGGCAGAGAAGCCGTGAAAGATGATGGCCACCCAGGCCGTTCACGCACAGCAGTTACCGATGACAACATTGAAAAAGTGCGAGATGTGATCAGAAAAGAACGTAGGTTGGGTGTTCGAGCAATAGCTGAGAAAGTTAATTTAGACAGGGAAAGTGTTCGACACATTCTAACGGAAGAATTGAACATGACAAAGGGTTGTGCAAAAATGGTTCCAAAATGCTGTCAGATGAACAATGCGCCAGCCCACAACGCTTTGTCTGTGAAGCAGTTTTTAGTCAATAAAAACATCACTGTGCTTGAGCACTCACTCTATTCGCCAGACCTGGCTTCCTGCGACTTCTACCTCTTCCTAAAAATCAAGTCCGTTCTCAAAGGAACCAATTTTTGTCGGTAGAAGAGGTGAAAGCAAAAATGTCGGAGCTCCTAAACAGCTTTACAGAACATGATCTACGGAATTGCTTTGAACTGTGGCAGCATTGTATGCAGCTGTGTGTCAACTCAGAAGGGAACAACTTTGAAGGCGATCTTAGTTGATTTTCTTAATTTGGTAAATAAAAAGAGTAACAGCATCAGTCTTGTTTTTTGTGTTGGACCTCGTATATGTACTGTACTGTACAATGTCTTCAGTGAAAGCATAAGTGGTTTTTCTACAATGATTTTATAAGAATTCTTAAGAGTCGGTAATACAGTAACTGCAATTCGCAATACGCAAATTAATTTATGCCACAGTATATTTTAATGCTTTTCACTGTATTGAAAGTAAACATATACTGTACTGTATTAGTATGCATATGTCTGTTAGAATGAAATAAGCTTCCTGGTTTTAAAAATATGATACAGTATTATTAATAATTTTTTTTTACAGTATTCAGGGCAGATTGAAGTGTGAAAAGCTTTCCTTAGAGGCTCAGATGATATTGTACATGGATCATCTTGTGTAGTAGGGAGTAATGTATTCAGTATTGATACGGTATTAGAAAACATTATATATTTTTTTTATCAATACTGTAGTGTAGTTGTACAGTCTAATACAGGTAGAGTATATACGTGGTATTGTTCCAGAGGGTATTGGTGATGTAGTGAGGAGCCAGATGAAAGAATATGAACTGGAAGAACAAACTCTTTGTGTCATGATGGAGGAAAGTGCCTCACATCAGTCTTGTGGTGCAGGTAATGTGTCATCTTTCTTCCAATTGTTGACATTTTCTTATTCTGGATATCTTTTTCTGCTATATTACAAGGCAGTCAGAACCATTAGTGAACACAGACTCTTTTATCACTTGCTGGAGTAGATTCATTATTGCTACTTTATTTCCCTTCCACAACAAGGCTTTGGGATGTCTAGTTGACTTACCCCTGTTGCTTCACTCAGTCATCCATCAATAGCATCCACCTACTCTGTATATATTTCCATCGCTTTTTCATTTTTTTATAATATAATAAGAGTAAATTAGTGTGCTCATAGCTGTTGCAAGGAGGTCTCTTGGAAGTTTTGAACACATATAAGGGTTAAGGGCCTACAATAACTTCATCACCTGGTAGTTTGGTGGGCTTGCTTTATCAAACTTTCCTGTTGCCCAAATTGCCCCACCCCCTCATGGGATATTTGTTTCTACTACAGCTGCTCCCCGACTTACGACGGGGTTAGGGATCAACATCCAAGTCGTAAGTCGAAATGGTCGTAAGTCGGAAATGCTTAAATAATACTACAGGTAGTTCTGCTATAACGCGATAATTGTGTTCTTGTAAAATATCGTGTTATAGAAAATCGCGTAATAGAAATAACAGGGCTTATGGAGAAAATAGGGTTAGGTGCAGATTACTCGAAATCGAAAAAATTTAGTAGTTAGCCTAACACAAAGGATAGCACAGTCTAAATAAATGTTACATTCATATCTAATAATGAAATCATACAGTAAATTTAACACTTTACCTTGAAAAAATATGAATGTAACTTGATGGGGGAGAAGGGTGATTTTGAGGTTGATAACATCAAGCTTCTCTTCAAGTGTTATATCCTTTCTTTTACGATAATCACCGGGAATTCTATCATCAGAATGCTTTTTGGAGATATTCCTCTTTACCATATTCACAGTTAATACCACAAAATTGGAGAAATAGTAAGCAAAAATCGCGTTATAGCAAACAAGCGATCGCGTTATACAAATATTGTTCCGAATTCATAAATCGCGTTAGAGCAAATTCGCGTTATCAAAACACGCGTTATAGCAGAACTCACTGTACATAGAAAATCGAAAATGGGGGTTTCTTTTTCTTCTCAGCACCACAAAACACTCACTTTTAAGCTTGCCAGCCATTTTAAAGTGAATTACAGATGAAAATTTTGTCTGTGTACTGACGTTGGAGCTCAAAAATACGTAATTTGACCAAATTTTTGTACGACTGAGGCAGGTCGTAAGTGCGGGTGGTCGTAAGTCGGGGATGAGCTGTACAGTATAAATTAGAAGTGTTAGTACAATAGAACCTGTATGGCATATAGTATGTAAAAGTGAAAATAGTACCTGTACCATATGTTATCAACATAAAACAAAAATATTTGTCATTTTGGAAAGCAAAAGTCAGCCCTATTCTGATACTTAAAGATAACACACAACTGTTTCACTTAAACAAACATTTACTCCAAGTAAGGTGGTAAATAGGTTGTGTTCTTTCACTACAGCTCACTAATATAATAAGTTTTTTGTGTACTCTTCTTAACCCGTACAGCGTCAACTGCGTAACAGTTACGCCGATATACTTTCGAGATAAATGAATAAGTACTGTAAAATCTATACTTATAATGCAAAAGTGAAATTAATAATTATAAAATCATAAAAAAAAAACACGTATTGGTGAAAATTATTATGAAAATGAGTAAATAATACGAAAAAGTAAAATATTATATTGATGTTCCGAAATCGAGATAGATGATAAAGAAAGAAAAAACAGCTACAGACAGTGAAGACTTACGGTAATTAGCATAATTCCACTCTAACTCGATGAAAAACGTCAACACCCGTAAAACTCTACAGGTTCTATGCTTAAACTTTCAACGCCGTGACACTTTCACCCATGGGCGTAACTACACCTTCCATGGTTCGGTGAGTTGCTAAATGATGTTTTTCCTTCGTTTTTTGATAGTATAAGTCTATTTCAGCCAAAATCCAAAAGTAAATTATAAGTCTATTTCAGCCAAAAGTAAATAAATTGCCGACGCCAGTCGAACATACAGGTAGTTGTGCTATAACGCGATAATTGTGTTCTTGTAAAATATCGTGTTATAGAAAATCGCGTAATAGAAATAACAGGGCTTATGGAGAAAATAGGGTTAGGTGCAGATTACTCAAAATCGAAAAAATTTAGTAGTTAGCCTAACACAAAGGATAGCACAGTCTAAATAAATGTTACATTCATATCTAATAATGAAATCATACAGTAAATGTAATACTTTACCTTGAAAAAATATGAATGTAACTTGATGGGGGAGAAGGGTGATTTTGAGGTTGATAACATCGAGCTTCTCTTCAAGTGTTATATCCTTTCTTTTACGATCATCACCGGGAATTATATCACCAGAACGCTTCTTGGAGATATTCTTCTTTACCATATTCACAGTTAATACCATAAAATTGGAGAAATAATAAGCAAAAATTGCGTTATAGCAAACAAGCGTTCGCGTTACACAAATATCGTTCCTAATTCATAAATCGCGTTAGAGCAAATTCGCGTTATCAAAACACGCGTTATAGCAGAACTCACTGTAATTATATTAACTTAGCTGACGCCGTACGGGTTAACATGGCAGTAAATGTTATATATAGTATAAGGTGATGAGCATTGCACTCTTGAAAAGAATGTAGCTTACTTTATCTTTCAGTTTGAGAGTGATTATTATTATTATTATTATTATTATTATTATTATTATTATTATTCAAAGGTAAGAAGGTGAAACTATTAAGACGTGAAGCAGTGGTTAAGAAACTCCTCTTTGGTGATTATCCTCCTCTTGACGAAACAACAACACAATCTTTCACTTCTGCAGATGACTGTTTAGAGACACTCATAAAAAGAAGGTAAGTTAATATGTAACAAGTGCTAGTTACTTTGTGTTGCACCAGTGTGCAAAAAGGTATTAATTTTTTGTCATTGAGTGTGTGTGTGTGTTAGTGAGTAACATTCTCTGTATCACTGTAGTGAGTAAGTTAATCATTTAGTAACTGAAACATGTACATGAGTACTGTAAAGAGCTTCTGACAGAAGAAAACTATGATCTCATATAATGCTGAGGCTACTGTAAATTTACAGTACAGTACTCTAAAATTCAAACAAGGATAAATTTCTTAAGGACTGAATAGGAGTAGTGCTTGTAACTCAGTATTATAATATTCTCTTAAAAGTTGGGATTGAGATGAGAGACCAAATATTGTATGCTAGGTATTAGAGTTTACAATCTTCAGCAATCATGATATTCGGTCATTATGATGCCAGACACATCATACTCATAATTTACTATGAAAAGTGAAAGTGTGGCTCATTAACCTGAAAGCTTATTAGGGATAGTGCTTATACTCCACAATGTACTGTATACTGTACCAAGTCTTTGATACACAAAGTGGCAGTGTAACCAGCACTACAATATTAACACATTCAATTCCCATACTGTAAGGTAAGCTACCTATTTACAAGTTGGCTGAACTGCTGATGCCCAGGCATTAAACCAGCAACAGGAGGCAAGTACTGTATCCACCCGAGTCTATTGCCTGGAGTTTTAATCACTCATTTTCTGTTGGAGGTCATCTAGTTTACAATCTGACTTTAAAAAAATTGAGTCACGAAGGACACCTCGCTATGGTGCTTGACAGGGAGGTGTGGTGGTAAAAGAAACTTATAATATTGGAATTAGTTCATTTTACCGTCACACCTCCCTATCAAACACTGTAGTGTTGTGTCCTTTGTGACTAAATTTTTTTAAAAGTCTGGTTGTAAACATGACCCCCGTCAATGGAAGAGGGTGATTAAAACTCCAGCCGTAAGTCTCTTCAAGATGTTGCTGCTAGAGCTAAAAAATACTTTGCTGCTTGTTGTAAGAAACACCAATAATATACTGTATGTGGGATAAGAGAGACTTAAGTAGAGGATGAATTGTTGGGGTGAGAAAATGGAGTCAGGGAGAGATATGGGTTAGAACAGTGGTTCTCAACCTTGTTTGCCCCATGCACCCCTTTCACCATATGTCAGAATGTCATTCCCCCCCTCCTTTCCAAGATTGTCTGCCTCAAAAAGTGCATTCCAAATAATATGCATATAATACTGAAAATCCTTTTTTTTTTCCATATTAGTACATATACATTTACAATTTTACATGGATTATTTTTATAGTGGAGTTTTACAAATTAAATGCCAATTGAAAATGTTGATGGATTTATAAAACTTGAATAAAAGTAAAATAGTTTTTTTTTTATTTATAATGAATTACTTAACAGACCAAACTGAAGCATAATGCAATAAACAAAAAGTTCAATAGAATACCAGGATATTGTAAATTTATAATTAATTTTATTCAGATGAAGATTACAGTCAATGAGAAACCTGTGATTGTTTTTTCTTCGCCAATTCTGGGATAGGCGGAGGAGTGCTTGAAAGGGCACAACGCAGGTCATTTTCTACCTCTAATCTACTACGTTGCTTCGTTTTAATTTGCAACAGAGTTTAAAAGCCTGACTCACAAAGATATGTCGACACAAACGGAAGCAATGCACAGATAGCTCATTCTGCCACTTTTGGGTAGGAATCGCACATCAAGGGCCAAAATTCTGTGATTGATTTCTCATCGAACATATCTCTTGCTCCCGAATCAGTTTCCCCCCCCCGAAAACCTGAATTCCCCCCCTGGGGGGAATTTCCCCCTGGTTGAGAACCCCTGGGTTAGAAGGTATGCCAAAAAAAATACTGGAAGATTGTGCTTCATCTAGGTGCAGGATTTTATATACAGTGGTCCCTCGGTTAACGAACGCCTCGGTTAACGAAATTTCGGTTAACGAACGCCTCGGTTAACGAAATTTCGGTTAACGAACTGCCTCCCATAAGATTCTTAAATTTGGTTAACGAAAAAAAATTCGGTTAACGAATTTCTTACGGACCGACCTCAACATGTTTTCGCTTGCACTGGCCGGTCAACCAGCTTTAGTATTAGTCCGCCAATACATTAATCGGTTCTAGGGCTTAAATTCCTTACTATTTTAGTAAATATCAAGAAGTTTATACTATTCAATAATTTTAAAAGTTTAATATTCAATTTTTTAGTCATTTTAACAATTATTGAACATAATTGAAGGTAAAGTGACTAGTTTAATGCGCGGCATCCAACCTCTTAACACAGCAAACAGGCGTTAGTCTCTCTCTGTTTTCACTGGAGGTAACATCTTGCTTGAGACTCTCTTCAACTAGACGCTTTTTTTTCTCTGTTTCCAAGCAAATTATTGGTCATTTTGAAATATATTTTACATATTGACAATATATAATGCAGTGCAGTGTTGATTTAAAGAAAATAATCTTGAAATACACCAAGAGAACTAAAATTTTATGGGTGAAATGGTGCCATGGGGTGACTTCTCTTCCACCCCAATGCCTTCTCTTCTTCCTTCTCCTCCACCCCCATTCTAATTCCCATCATCATCATCCAGGAGCCTTCTACATACACACCTCAAAGTAAGTGAACTTTTCTACCATTTTTGTTGAATTTAGGCAATTTTCGGTGAGCTGGAACCAATTACCCAAAAAACCATTGAAACAATGGTTTCGGTTACGAATTTTTCGGTTAACGAACACCCTGCTGGAACGGATTGTGTTCATTAACCGAGGGACCACTGTACTGGTATTTTCCTGTGTACACTGTAGGTAGAGAGATAAACTGTTGCTGTCGTGATATTATAAATACTACTGTATAATTTTATATCCTCTTTTGTAGGTGCGATTGGGATCAGTTCATCACTGATGATGACAACCCCCTTGCCTCTTCAGTTCCTCTACACTGGGTTAATCCACCAAGTCATCCCACAACTCACTGGGCACAGTTTCAGGTCCAGTAGGAACTATGATCTGCAAAACAAGTTTTAGATTATTTAAAGGTATTGTACCATTGAGCTAAAGACAGTTCATAAAATAAATTGCTTAACCTCTTCAGACAGAGGGACTTAACCTGGTACATCCTCTTACACCAATCATCACATCAACCTGGTACAACCTTTAATCTCCATAACAGTAGGAAACACTGGGAAGGTAAAATTGCTCTGATATGTATGGCATGTTTGATTCTAAAATGATCACTAGGCCTAGTCAGTCTGTTCTGTTTACTTGTTTGATGGTGGGCAGTGGACTGCCAGCTGAGTGATAGGGACATTCATTCAAACACACACCCTTCTGCCCTCCCTACCTCACACACACACACCCCTCCCTACCTCACACACACACACCCCTCCCTACCTCACACACACACACCCCTCCCTACCTCACACACACACACCCCCCTCCCTACCCACACACACCACCCCTCCCCACACTCACACACACACCCACCCCCTCCCCACTCCCACCTCACACACACACACACACCCCCCTACCCCACAAACACCACCCCACACACACCACTCCCCTCCCACCCCACCCCACACACACACACACCCCTCCCCACTCCCCACACACACACACCCACACTCCCCACCTCCCCACACACACACACACACACACACACCTCCCCACCCCTCCCCACACACCACACACACCCTCCCTACCTCCCCACACACACCCACACACACCTCCCACCACACTCCACACACACCACACACACACCCCTCCCACCCCACACACACACACACACACCCTCCCACACACTCCCACACACACACACACCCCTCCTACCTCCACACACACACCTCCCTACCCCCACACACACACCCTCCCCACCCCACACACACACACCCTCCCCACCTCCCCACACACACACACACACCCTCCCACCTCCCACACACACACCCCTCCCCCTCACCTCCCCACCCCACACACACACCCTCCCACACACACACACCCCTCCCCACCACCCACACACACACACCCCCTCCCCACCTCCCACACACACACACACACCTCCCCACCCTCACACACACACACACACACCCCCCTCCCCACACCCACCCCCTCACCCACCACCCCCTCCACCACACACACACCCTCCCACACCCCACCTTACCTCCACACTCCCTACACACACCTCCTACCTCCCCCCCACACCTCACACACACACACACACCTCCCCCACACACACACCCTCCCTACCTCCACACACACACACACACACCACACCACACACACACACACCCCCTCCCCACCCACACACACACACACCTCCCCACCCCACACACACACACCTCCCACCTCCCCCACACACCCCTCCCCACCCCACACACACACACACACCTCCACACACCTCACACACACCTCCCCACACACCCCCTCCCCACCCCACCCCACACACACACCCCACCCCCACACACACACACACACACACACCCTCCCTACCTCCCACCACCACCTCCACACCACACACCACACCCCTACCCCCACACACACACACCCCTCCCACACACACACCACACACACACACCCCTCACACACACCCCACACACACACACACACCTCCACACACACACACACCCCACCCCACACACACACACACACACCCCCCTCCCCACCCCCACACACACCCCTCCACACCCCTACACACACACACCCCCCACCCACACACACACACACCCCTCCCCACCTCCACACACACACACACCTCCCTACACACACACACACACACACCACCTCCCACCCCACACACACACCCCCTCCCTCCCCCCACACACACCTCCCCTCCCTACCTCCACACACACACCCCTTCCCCCACCACACCCCTCCCTACACACACCCCACCCCACACCTCACACACACACACCCCCCTACCCACACACACACACACCCCCACACACACCACCTCCCCACCACACAACACACACTCCTCCCTACCTCACACAAACACACACCCCTCCCCACCTCTCACACACACACCTCCCTACACACACACACACACACACACACACATCTCACTCACACACACACACACACACACCCACCCACCACCCCTCCCCACACACACACCCCTCCCTCCCCCACACACACACCCTCCCACCCACACACCCCTCCCTCCCTCTCCCCTCCTCCCTCACACAGACACACACCCCTCCCTCCCTCACACACAGACACACATCCCTCCCTCCCTCACACACAAACACACACCCCTCCCTCACACACGCTGCCAGATTCTGGGGTCACTAATTCTAAGGGGAAAACTTAACTATAGTCTTAATTTTAAGGGTTGCTGCCACCAGACCCCCTCTGGGCAGTATGTAGCTCGTTAGGTAGCGGGCAGAGTGGACTAGGTATTGGGTTAGGTTTTTCATTGACCAGATCGATAAGGGGAAAGAAGGGTGAAACCATAACATGTCTTAACTAATTTATTCCTTATAAAACATACTGCATTCCGGTACAATACAAGTGAGTTGGCCTTCCTCAGAAGAACAACGATGATTTTGGTTACCCTGCTCGACAACAGACGTCTTACATTAATTGCGTGTCATCCACATACTTATTGCATAAATATCAGTGACCACCTTACCTCGGTCATCCCTTCTTACAATAACACTCAACATGTCAGACTGCTCCACCTGTATGGAATATCGCACCTTAAGTCATCATACATAGTAACACCATCTCACCACACCTGTTATACTCCACACCTGCAAGTATGGGACTCCTTGTAATTTCTAGGTACACATATCAGGCACCTCGTTTGCACCCCGCCCTCGGTAGGTAGAGACGAGGGTTTCACCAAGAGACATACCAGTGCTGTTTCTACGCCTGGTATTATCGGTCACTCCAAATGACGACCGCGGAGTGTCTCAAGCGTTTCCTTATTTATTCCTACTCATTTGGGGTGGTATGCTGGGAATCCACAGGTTCAGTGGATTAGCCGAGCTGGGAGTAGTCATCTCACATGGTGGGACGCATCCAGCCCATACGTGCACGAACTGATCGCTATAAGAACAGCCCAGTCCCAACCATTGTAAAAATTATCAATAACTTGTAATAAACCAGTGTATTCACTCCCAGTAAATCCTACTTCTTGTACTGTCACTGTTAAAATGCCCTGTAGTTTGAGCTTTTCCCCATCTAGTTATTATATATCTTATTTGTATCACTTATGTTACTTGTATATTATTTGTAAATCGAAACCCATTCCTCAATTATGTAACTGTATATTTTCAGCCTTCTGGCTGCCAAGCTCTTTCAATAAACCATTAATTATTATTATTATTATTATTATTATTACCCTTCCCTACCACACACACACACACACACACACACACCCTCCCTCCCTCACACACAGACACACACCCTTCCCTACCTCACACACACACAACCCCCCCTTTCCCTCACACACAGACACACACCTCCCTCCCTCCCTCACACACACACACACACACTCCCTCCTCACACACACCCCCCTCCCTCCTCACACACACACCCCTCCCTACCTCACACACACACAGAGCAAAGTGTTGACATGAATGTCATAAAATACATGTTATAAGCTGATGGTGCGTGAACACTTTATTAACGACAGAAAAATTATGTTACTGGGTCACTTGCATATTCAAACAAAGCACAACTAAGTCAAATTCACTTAATACAACGGGGTGGAACACAAAGTAATGGATATACCTGTTCACCGAGAAGTCGAGGGCTTGATAGCGAGTACGTATTATATACATATGGCATCACGAAAATTGTGACCAAGTCCCAGGTTGTTGATCTGACTTTCTGCCTCATTTACACACAATTGCAGGGTCTGAATTATTTCTCTTACTATTGACAACACAGGTATATTGTTTCTCACTTGATTTTTTTTTTTCAATTCTTTATTATTATTATTATCATTATTATTACATTATCGCCCCCCAGGCCCTGATGTGGGTCAGTGACCTGTGCCCGGGTGGGCTAATCCCCATAAAAAAAAAAAAATTAGGGGTCCGGGATCGACGGTTAATCCGAAAGTCGGTTAATCGAGGTTTTACTGTACTCCCGTTTCTCTCAGCTTCTCGAAACCCCTGAGTTACTAAGTCAGAACTTTCACAGATATATTCATGAGATTCCTTCACTGTACACATTGGCTTGTGAAAATTAGGCGATGAGCTTATACTGACTTCGTACGATTAACTTTTTTAACTAAGCAGTGTTTGAACTTTCAAAGGCAAGAATTAAACTGCCGTCAAGTACTAAGAATGGCAGTGTATTGTGGGCAGAACTTCGTGAGGAGATAATGAGATTTTTCCGTTATATTGCAGCGATAAGCAATAGACAGTTTACATTTCAGAAGACTACAGTCTCTCCTCAACTTACGACATATTCGACTTACAACAACCCGGACATATGACGGCCAAGGTCATATAAAATATTTTTCACATTACGTATTTTTGAGTCCCGACGTTAGTGATCACGCTGTGTACTGACAAAATTTTCATTTGTAATTCCCTTTAAAATGGCTGGCAAGCGTAAAAGTGAGAGTTCTCGTGGTGCTGAGAAGAAAAAGAGACCCATTTTAGAATTTTTATGTATTATTTTCGCCTTTTCGACTTACGACCTGTTCGTCGGGACAGAACCCCGTCATCAGTCGAGGAGAGACTGTATTTACTTTCCATAATACAAAACTGACAAAAATTTCAATACAGTACTCTCATCTGATTCTCTGAGGTTTATAGATCAAAAGGATATGTCTTCAGTTTTGAATTGTTATCCCGTAAGTTCACAAGAAACATACTGATTACAGCTGGCGGTTGGGTCCTCAAAACACGTCTTAACACATGAAGATACCTTCAACATATACTCAATACACCTAGAATGCTTTATCTCACTGTAGGTATATCTGACTTAATGTAAAACATACTCCTTCACTCTCAGTTTCACATCTCTGAACACCATATGAGGTACAGTATTAAGAAATATCAGTCTCTGAGGTACATGATAGAAAACGGAGGACTAAGGCGTACTGAAGTAGCGAGAAAACAGACGTCTCAATTGGGGCACTCAACAGTTTCACACATGTTGTGTGGAAGGTGGCACACAATATGAATAATTAAGCGTTGAACACACTAGCCGTGCTATTGTGACCATGACTGTGTCTACACACACACATACATATACTATACAATACAATACAATACAGGTAAAAGAAATAATTGCCCTAAGGACAAACACATAAAGGTAATATACATTTCTTTGCAGACAAGTAAAAATTTACCCCCCCCCCCTGGTCAGCAAATGTTATTCGCGGGTTTGGATATTCGCAGCCATTTTGAGAACCTAACCCCTGCGAATTTTAAGGGCATGCTGTACTGTATTATATGGATAAACAACAATATTTTGAAGAGTAATTGAGCAAGTCATTACAGCTGCTTCTGTATGTATAACCAAAATTCCACATACAGTTGAGTCTGCATTTACGCGGTCAATTGAACCCGTGGAGGCCCGCGTAAAACGAGAAACGCGTAAATGAAATAACAACATATAGGATTAATTGAAATAGACTGGGCCGACCCCCAAACTCCACTTTTTCCGACACAATACCTACATTGTAGTAAAAATAACATCTTAATTTTATGATGGTATGCACACACAATTAATATTTAAGAGAAATACAGTCGCCCAGTTAATGTCCATTCAAATAATGGACTCAACTCCCCCACCCCCTCTTCCCACGCTTGCTGGCTCCTCCCTCTCTGAAAAATGCTTGGGTGAAAACACTAGAATTTAAGGTATAGTAATAAATAATACCTAGTTGAGGTTTATAAGCATCTCAGGGGGCACTACTCAGTTGAGTGTCCTTACTTGGAGCTGGCGGACGCTCGCCCCACAAGGGGTCACAGCTCAAGATTGAAGAAGCCGCAAGTCCGGAAAACCGTGAGGGCAAACTTTTTCGGAGTGAGGGTTGTAAACTCTTGGAACAATCTACCAGAAAGTGTTGTGGCGGCACCGAGTGTGAGCTCTTTCAAGAGAAGACTTGACCAACACTGGAGCGGGTTCAGGTACATTCAGGAGCCGGTGCATGCCCAGTATTTGCCAACAGTGCGTGACAGAGACGTGACCGATCGCCCGGGCGGCTAGCGAGCCGACCTTTTGGTGAAGAATATAAAGGAAAAGAGTCGTGACCGATCGCCCAAGCGGCTAACAAGCCGATCAGTGGCGAAGAGGATAAAAGATTGCTGGATTCTTTGCAGGACAGGGAATATTTTGAATGTAAATGTCATATATTTTGCACAAAAGATAAATGTGTGCTAATTTTCATCATCTCCTTAAATTACATCTAAAATTTGTATGTCTATAGCAAATGTTAAGATGTTTATATTTAAAATGATCACCATCTTGTAAGGATTCCAGCAATGTAAATTATATATTTTATGAGCTAAAAACAGATAAATCTTCAGTAAATAAAAAAATTATACTTCGCCCACGTAAATGATGAAATTTACCGAGTAATTAAAACATTTCATTCGGGCAAGGTGCCGTGTAAATGACCAAACGCGTAAACAAAAACCGCGTAAATCCAGACTCAACTGTATTTCAATACACATTTAATCCAGAATTTAAGGAATTGAGTGTACACAATCTTTGCTTAATAAACATCAAGTTGATGTTATAAATATTTTTTTAGGCTTGATAACTTGAAGACGTTAATTATAAACCAAATTGCTTAGAGACAACGTGGTTGACCAAGTATTTACGGATGAGTTTTATTTTATGTTTTCAGAATAATAATAGTTTTGACAAATTATTTTTAAACATAATGTAGAAAATTTTTTTTTATCTTGAATTAGGGTACAGTACAGTATGGGAAATTTAATCGAGCACTTAATGTTATGATAGAGGAGTATGTGCAACATTACACATTCACGCATGTATTTTCACTTTATTCAGTATGAATTTATACAGCATGTAAGGAAACTATTACAAAGCTCAAAACGAACATGGGAAGCATTAGGGAATCGTTAGGTTAATACATAATTCCTCATCAATTGCAAAATTACTCTTCAGCAGGACACTTCGAACATGCTCAAATCCCATTAAAGTGTCATATAGGACTCTCACTCTGGTTAGGAATTCCTTAGAGGCTCAATGTAGATGGGAGCATTAATTCATAATGCCTGTCCTTGAGTTGTGCAAATGTGTGTATGATTTCATTGTGCCTGACATTCTCTAGCATTTCCTTTTCAATAGATAAGACAGCCAAATGATGCAGTTTTCTTGGCCCCATTGTTTGTCGTAGCCAGGAGTGCAGATGCTTCAGTGCACTGAAAGCTCTCCTGCAACTGCAGCTGTTGACTGGCACTGTCAGGGCAACTTGTATTATTGCTTTAAATGATGGAACCATCTCAGGATTTAATTATCTGTATACACTTATCATGTACTGAATGGCATTACCAGCCCCTTTTCTGCGGGCTAAATAATGCTTCGCTACTTTCGTTCCTCAAATTTGAACTCAAGGTGATCAGCCTCCTCTGTTACTTCTTTGCCCCCACCCCTGTCCCCTGATCCTGGTTGCAAGCCTATCAGACTATAGTGATATATGTCTCATCAGCAAATATGAAGGGTTAGCATTTTCTATAAGATAGTCATTGTGGGGATAAACATAACAGCTGAAAAGTTCCTTTACAAATAAAAAAAGATTGAATGGCTGGCATTTCTTGGTATTCATAATTGTTTATAAACTTTGCTCTCCCCACATTCAAATATATCTCTACTGTAGCATAAATACAAATAGGGAACGTACTATTACTGTACTTACATTAAATGGAATCTGACGAAATCACAGCAGGACAATAACACAAAAGCCTCTTGAACTTCCTTAAGTATAACTGACGGACTGGTGACACCAGCGTGCGGCACTAACTTCAGTAAGAGGGTTGCCAGGTGATGCCATACTTGCCAATTATAGTATTACCCCGCTTTAAGCGGGTTTTTTTTACGCGTTTCCATGTTTACGCGGTACTCTGCCAGACCCGGAATGCTCACTCTACGCGGTGCATGTGCTCCTTTACGTGGAGAGCGGCGCGGGCAGGGTGCGCACAAGGTCGCCCGGTCATCAAAACATTACCGAGTTCTTCACCCGCCACCCACCACAGCCGGCCCAAGTCAGTGATAGTGAGGATATGGACTTTGAGGGGTTTGACAAAGAGGCCCTGCAAGCCTCTGTGGTGGATAGTGATACAATTGATAAAAGTGATACAGGTGAGGGCCAATAACCTGCCCTCTGCCTCGGAACCAACCCCCCATCTCCGTGAGCCCAGCCATCTTTTCTACTAATGTAGCTGTTAAAAAACCTAATATTATTGATATTTCTCTTAATTATTAATTGTGTGTGCATACCATCATAAAATTAAGAAGTTATTTTTACTACAACGTAGGTATTGTGTCTGAAAAAGTGGAGTTTGGGGGTCGGCCCGGTCTCTATTTCAATTGATCCCATATGTTATGTTGTTCACTTTACGCATTTCTCGCTTTACGTGGGCCTCCGTGGGTTCAATTGACCGCGTAAAGCGAGGGTTCACTGTATCCCCAGAAATTTTGGATCTTGATCACATATTTACAGCTACCAGAGAGGAAATGGAAAATGTGTTTTCCAGCTTTTTTCAGTATTTAGATATGACACAATCTTTTTTTTTTTTATATCAGGATAGGTGGCAAATTATGCTTTTATCATATGTTGGGAAAAAAAGATCTGGGGCTCAAGCCCAAGTCTAATGATGCCACTGCAGTACACATACTCAGTTTTAGTGATTGTGAAGTGTTTTCTCTGCTTTAATGACAGTGAAGTATTTTGCACTGACTGTGAAGTGCTCTCCTTGCTTTCGTGAATGTGAAGTGCTTCTCTCTACTTTAGTGATTGTGAAGTGCTTTTCTCTGCTTTAGTGAGTGAAGTGTTTTTGCACTGACTGTGAAATGCTATCCCTGCTTCTGTGAATGTGAAGTTCTTTTCTTGCTTTGGTGATTGTGAAGTGCTTTCCTTGTGAGTATGTGACAGTGAAGTGAGCAGCGTAACTTTTGAAAATGTTTGGCAAGCATCTTGCTCACCATCTTTAAGGCCAGGACGAAGACCACACCTTCAGTCCCCACTCTTCAGACTCCCTAGAGTCTGTGTGGGACTCAGATTGATGTCTCCACTCCACCTTGAGAGTTCCCTTAGCCTCGAAGGGGACACCTGACGATGACCAGACTTGTTCATAGTGATGTGGTGAGTGTTGTTTAATTGTGTTGTAGTGCTAGTAGTAGTAATCTATGATTTTTTTCTCGGTGATACATGTGGGAGTCTGACTGGCCAGGAACCTATCCCATTGAATCCCACGTTATAAAGAACCTGATTTATGATATTTCAACCTGCAATGGGGTTTCAGGAATCTAACCCCATCATAAATAGCAGTTTACCTGTACAAGAGATTAAACCATTGTTTATTGCTAAATGTCTATACAGTGGTCCCTCGGTTAACGAGATTTCGGTTAACGAGTTACCTTCCATAAGATTCTTAAATTCGGTTAACGAGCAATCCCTCGGTTAACGAGTTTCTTACGAGCCGACCTCAACATGTTTTCGCTTGCACTTGGCGGTCAACCAGCTGTAGTATTAGTCCGCCAATACATTAATCTGTTCTAGGGCTTAAATTCCTTACTATTTAAGTAAATATCAAGAAGTTTATACTATTCGATAATTTTAAAAGTTAAATATTAAATTTTTTAGTCATTTTAACAATTATTGAACATAATTGAAGGTAAAGTGACTAGTTTAATGCGCAGCATCCAGCCTCTTAACACAGCAAAAAGGCGTTAGTCTCTCTCTGTTTTCACTGGAGGTAACATCTTGCTTGAGACTCTTCAACTAAACACTTTTTTTTCTGTGTTTCCAAGCAAATTATTGGTCATTTTGAAATTTATTTTACATATTGACAATATATAGCAGTGCAGTGTTATTTTAAAGAAAATATTCTTTATTTACAACAAGTTTAACTTTAAAAAACACGTGTTGACATTGTTCGAATCCAGCATGGGGCCTAAGAGATCAAGAAAAGCGATTTCAATCCAAACCAAGCAGGAAATCATAAAAAAAACATTAACAGGGCATTAGAACAAATGCGCTATGCAAAGAATATGGCATGTCGACATCAACTGTGTCGACAATTCTTGCACAGAAAGACAAATTTAAAGAAGTGAAAGTGAGAGACAAATCTACAAGAGTGTTTAAAAGTAGATCCCTAATTGCAGAAACTGAGAGGTTACTTCTCATCTGGATTAGGGAAAAACAGATGAAAGGTGATTCAGTTTCTACTGAATTCATTTGTGAAAGAGCCAGGGAGATTTACGAACATTTAAAGACAGATCAACCTGGTTCTTCAGGCACAGAATTTGAAGATTTTCGGCCAGCAGGCTGGTTCGAAAAATTTAAGAAAAGAAGTGACATTTTCAGTGTTGTTAGGCATGGTGAAGCTGCTAGTGCTGATAAGGAAGGGGCAGCAAAGTTTTTAGATGAATTTAAAGAACTGATGGAAGAAGAAAATTATCTTCCACAGCAAGTGTTCAATGTGGACGAAACTGGGCTGTTCTGGAAAAAGATGTCCAAAAGAACATTCATCACCAGAGATGAAGCCTCTTTACCTGGGCATAAACCCATGAAAGACTGTCTCACTCTATTGCTTGGTGCCAATGCTTCAGGGGATTTCCGACTGAAGCCTATGCTTGTCTACCACTCTGAAAACCCCAGGGTGTTCAAGCAACAGAAAGTGGTAAGAACAAAGCTTGGAGTTTATTGGAAGTCCAACCGTAAGGCATGGGTGACAAGACAGCTCTTTAATGAATGGGCTGTTGATGTGTTTTGCCCTTCTGTCAAGAGCTACCTAACCACCAATAAACTCCCTTTAAAGGCTCTTCTCCTCATGGATAATGCTCCTGGTCATGACCCTGACCTTGCCAGAAATTTGGAGTATCAATTTGACTTTGTGAAAGTGATGTTTTTGCCTCCAAACACTACATCAATCATACAGCCAATGGACCAGAATGTGATCAGCTACTTCAAGAAGTTGTACATGAAGAAAATGTTTAGGAGGTGTCATCAGGCAACTTCCAATGATCCTGAACTAACACTGAAACATTTCTGGAAGACACAATTCAACATCCTGGAGGCTGTAAAATTTATTGTGTCATCATTGCAAGAAGTCTCCACTAGATCCCTCAATTCTTCATGGAAACCACTGTGGCCATCAGTAGTCCATGATTTTGAGGGATTTGAGGAAGAAACAGAGTTGGACCAGGAGATTGTCTTCCATTGGACAGTCATTGGGCCTTGAAGTGGAGGAGGAGGATGTGGAAGAGCTTGTGATGTCTAATGAGGAGGAACTTACTCCTGATGACTTGAAGCAACTGGATGAGATGTTACAGGTAGAGGCTGACAGTGGTGAGGAGGAAATTGAAAGTGATGACCATATGTCAGCTAAACAGTTGAAAGATGTGATTTACCACTGGGAGAAGTTCAGGGAACTGGCTTCACAGCACCCAGAAGTGGAAAAACTGAACTAACTTTGTGTCATGTTGAGGACTCAGTGGTCTCCTTCTTTAAACATAAGTTAATGGTGAGGAGGACAGATGCCCCACAGACCACAATTGACACTTTCTTCAGTAAAAGGCAGAGGGAACAAGATGCTATCCCTCAGCCTTCCACTTCAAGGAGAGAGGATGTTCATGGTGGACAATCTGTCAGTCCAGAGGTTCCCAACATTTTCATGGAAAGTGACTCGCCTTCCAAGAAGCAGTAAAATGCTTCTCCTCCACCTCCACCTCTTCTCCCTTCTCCTCCTCCACCTCCCACTTCAAATTCACATCATCATCATCATCATCCAGGAGCCTTCTACATACACATCTCAAAGTAAGTGAACTATTCTACCTTTTTTGTTGAATTTAGACAATTTTCGGTGAGCTGGAACCAATTACCCAAAAACCCATTGAAAACATGGTTTCGGTTAACGAGCAACCTGCTGGAACGGATTGTGCTCGTTAACCGAGGGACCACTGTATATAATTGAATTACAGGGGGTCCCCTGGGTAACGAACAAGTTCCATTCCTGAGGACGTTATTCAGTCGGAAATGTACACAAATCAGAACACATACCCTATGTGCACTACACTATATCATAGCCTAAGACCTTTTATACATCTCGAATCACTTAATTTAAGAAAAAAGAAGAAATTGAATGACAAAATACAGTAAAGGAAAGTACAAATTAAAGTTTAACATTACCTGTACAAAAAAAACCTTGCGCTGGCTTATTTTCCACCCATATCACCAGGGCCGGATTTACCAATAGGCCAAGTAGGACATTGGCCTAGGGCCCACCGGTATCTGGGGGCCCACTGAAACTAATTTGTTGCGCAGCATGCCAGTGTATAACCTTGTTTCAAGTGTGCACCGAGTATTTCAGTATAATATATTCACAACCAAAAGGGCCCCTGTACAATAAGTATAGGGCCTGGATTATGGGGCCCCTGTACAATAGGTATAGGCCCACAGTGGTCTTCAACTGGTGAGCCATGGGGTGGTTCTCAGGTGGGCCACGGACTAGGCCCTATAGTAAAATGAAGAAAATAAGATAAAATAAGATAAGATAATAAAAAAATATATATACAGGTATACATTTTTTAAATGTCCGTGTCCCACCATCGATCTATCTATCTATTTATCAATCTATCTATACAGACATATACCGTATACGGGAGAGAGAGAGAGAGAGAAAGTCCAAGAAACCTTCAGCGCCTTGAAGTGTGAAGGACAGGATCGTTTCACGTTCAGTATGTGTCAGGGTTACTGTTGGTTTGCTGACAGCTTGCTCAGCCAGTGGTATCTTCTCAGCCTCAGCTCAGAGTGAATGCCTACTCAGAAATAAAGAAGCTGTTTAGCTTCTTAACGGAGTATGACAGAATGAAATATGATGATCTCAAAGCCCAACTGGAATTGGTTGTCAGTACCTATTCCAGTGACCTGGAAGCATCTGTTCTAGATGAGTTTTTGCAATTTAAAGACATTTTGTCTTTTGAATCTGACAGGTCAGTGACAAACATCTCCACTATGCTGAGGTCCAAAGATGGTATTTTGACAACTGCCTCTCCAAACATTAGTATCTTGGTAAGAATTTTCCTTACCATCCCCATTAGAAATTGTGAAGGAGAGAGGTCTTTCTCTACTCTATCAAGGGTGAAAAATCACCTGAGGTCTACCATGGGACAAACCAGATTAAACTCACTTTCATTATTATGCATTGAATCTGGCCTCCTACAATCCATTGACACAAACAATATCATTGACAAATTTTCCATGAAAAAAACTAGGAAGAATTTATTTTGAAATTCACAGTTTGTTGTACTTCATGTGCTTGCAAAATTGATTATGCTTCAAGTTAATTGAATTTCTTTCATTATTACCATATATAAGATGTACATGATATAGAACTAATTTGATTAAAAATAATGATGTGTCACATTGTGTTGAAATTCTTATTTCTTACATTATAATATTATGATATTATGTAATATTTGATGACATTTGGCCATTGCAAAATAATCAGCATGTTCAGGAGTACAATTACTGAGATTTTGAACAAAATCTATTTTTGGCCAAAAATCCTGTAAGGCATAAGACTTACAATTTTGTAATTTCTGGCCAAAAAATAGATTTTGTTCAAACCTCAGTATAGTACTCTGAAAAAAAAAAAAAAAAAAAAAAAAAAAAAAATTATATATATATATATATATATATATATATATATATATATATATATATATATATATATATATATATATATATATATATATATATATATATATATATATATATATAGAAACGCAAACATTTCTATAATTTGGGGCCCACAAGTAGGTAAATCCGGCCCTGCATATCACTAACAATCTTTCCATTTCAATTAACAATCCACTTCTATGTTTTGTTATCACAGTTATTTGCATTGGTATAGACCCATTTAAATGTTCAAGAAATTTGTGTTCATCTTTCATAATTGTTCCGACCTGTTTACCGACTGAAGCCCAGCACTTTACCAATGACTGAGGGTGTTTTGCCTTTTTCAGAACATTTAATTACATCAACTTTCACTTCCAATGTAATTGTTTTCTCTTTTTTTTTGGATGCACTACTATCACTTGCATCAGGTTTGCATTTTGGAGCCATAATGAAGGCAAGAAAATAGAGTTAATAAGAAAAAATAACAGTTTGTACTCGATCACACATAAGAACATAAGAAAATAAGGAGTCTGCAATAGGCCAGTTGGCCTGTGCATGGCAGCTCTTTTCGAGAGTTACTACCACTCTCTTATCATTCATGAATCTATCTAGCCTCCTTTTAAAACTTTCTAGCTGCCAGCACTTACTACAAAGTTGCTGAGCTTGTTCCACTCGTCCACCACCCTATTTGTGAACCAGTTCCTTCCTATCTCCTCCTAAACCTAAACTTATCCAACTTAAACTGCTGTTATTAGTCCTATCCTGCTCGGATATTATAAGAACTTTATCTATATCCCTTTATTGATTCCTTTCACCCACTTAAATACTTTTATCATATCTCCCGCACTCTTCGCTCTTTCTCGAATGCAAGTTTAGTTTTTAACCTATCTTGATATGGAGGGTTTCTAAGTCCCGAATCATTTTCGTCATTCTTCACTGCACCGCTCCAGTGAATTGATATCCATTCTATAATAAGGGCACCAGAACTGAACCGCATAATCGAGGTGCGGCCTGACTAGCTCAAGATATACAGTAGTTGCAATAAGACCTCTGCACTCTTATTACTTACACTTCTAGATATAAAACCTAATACTCTGTTTGCCTTATTTCGAACAGTAACGCACTGTTTTCTAGGCCGTAGGTCCAGGCTTACAAGTACCCCGAAGTCTCTTTCACAAGTCGACTTCTCTAGGTTGATGTTGTTAAGGTTGTATACATTGACAGTATTTGTTCTTCCAATATTAAGTACGCTGCACTTGCTGGTGTTGAATTTCATTTGCCATTTTTCTGACCACTTCTGCTGTCATGGTCACGTTGACTGCTAGTCTGTTTTAATTAATGATTCTTATTAAACTCTACGACCAGAAAACATGAGAGAGTAGCTGGTTAGTTATCCCCTAGAAGAAGCGTGTTTTTCCCATTCAATGTTTACAGTCATGATCCCTCCCAGTAAGTCCCGCCTTCGAACACAGTTGTCTATGCATTTTTTCCACTTCTCTCCTGACAGCTCAATCTTGGATTAGTTTATGTAAATCAACTTTAGTATTTGCCAGACCTTTGTCAACTGAGGGTCATCCTTGCATGTGTAACAGTTGGGTTTTATGTAATTCCTGTCATTGCGTGAGTAGCGATCGCTGGCAACTCAGGGGTATATATACCATGGGAGCGGGAAGAGAGACGTCCTCTGTCACGTCATCTCCCGTTTGTCCCCAGGTATGCAGCAGTATTTTATAACCATTCAGTTTGATTCAGTCATTGTAGTGGATTATCAGTGTTCATCAGTGTTCATGCTTTAACAGTGAAATTGTCATTCACCCAGTGTAAGAAGTAATATAAAGAAAATGTCGTCTGTCGTTTCCAGACGAGATTTGTTGTCATTGTGTTGTTCATGCTGCGTCCTCCGTCACGTCATGTCCTGTTTGTCCCCAGATCCAATTTGTGGTCCTCGGATCACCCCACGACTGCCCCGGAGCCAGTAGCTTCCCAGCAGGGAGCAATATATCGATCATGTCGTTGATTCGACATGATTGAAACGGCAGGTCCATTTTTGGCCGAGGGCCCCAGACCCGACTCGTATCGGAGTGTAACCGACCACAACAGCAGTCATCAGTTGTTAGAGGCGCCAGTGCTATACCCTGAGACATGCCTTGGAGTTGTGGTCCACAGTGTGGTTGTATGTGTTTGTTAATAATTATCCCATGTTGGGTAGTGGACCTATGTATTTGTTGATATCAGCATTAACGTGTTGTGTGTGTGTGCATCTCCTATGCACTACCAACACTCTGTGAAGTATCTTAAGTAAGGTTGTCTTATAACTGGATGTAATGAAAGTACCTCATAATGTGTGAGAAGTAAAGTTGTCCAATTGGGACTATGAATAAAGCCTGGTAACTGTAATGAATGTACCACTAGAAGATGTGGGTGAAATAGAAGTACCCACTTGGAGTGGCAGTTAAGTAAAGCCAAGAGTTGTCATGTAACTATGTACTGTGAGTAGGGCCAAGGAACTGGTCCTGCTATGTAATGTAATGTAACACCAATAAGAGTAATATGAGTAACTTGCAGAGGAGGAAAATTAAGAAAATAAGTAAATAAGAAATACTGAGTTTGCAGTTGAATAAGCTTAGAGTTGCACCTTGAAGTTATATGTTAATGATATCTCTTTTTCCCTTTGATTTCATATTAATAAACCTGTTCTTAAGAGTATTTTAGGAGTATTCATTTTTCCCCATAGTATTGCACCTTTATTTCCGTCCAAGTGACTTGATATCAGAATTACAATACCCATGTGCCTTAGACCCTCGACATGCTACCAAAAAGAACTAAGGTTATGCAGTAACCATTGAAGTAAGTAGAAAGAACTATTGACTTAAAGAACTAAGACAAGAGAAGTAAGAGTAAAAGATAAGGCAGAGTATGAGTAGAGAGAACCGCAGCCATTACATTGGTGGCGGCTTGTTTGTTTATCCCCCCCGTTACACTGCAGCTTATTTAAATCCTCCTGTAGTGCATTTGCATCCTGCCCTGAATTAATCTGCCTCCTATTTTGGTGTCATACGCAAACTTGCTTATGTCACTGCTGATCCCAATGTCTAGATCGTTCATGTAGATTATGAACAAGAGTGGGCCAAGTACTAACCCCTGGGGAACCCCACTGGTTACACAGCCCCACTCAGATTTAATGCCATCTACGCTGACCCTCTTGTGTTCTTTCGGTGAGCCATGATTTTATCCAATTTAAAACTTTCCCCTCGATACCATGAGCCTTAACTTTTCTCAGAAGCCTCTGATGCAGTCCTCTGTCAAATGCTTTGCTAAAGTCTAAGTAAATAACATCGTATTTTGCCGTTATTTACTACCTCGAAGACTTTCTCAAAAGCGTCAGCTCATTTGTTAAACAAGATTTTCCCTTTGTAAACCATGTTGAGAGTCGTAGATTAATTTGCTTTTCTAAATGCGATCGATGCTATTTGCTATAATTGATTCAAGAAATTTCCCCACTACTGACGTCAAACTGATCGCTGGTAATTTGACGCTGATACTCTGTCCTTTGAATATAGGTACTACATTTGCTTGTTTTTACAAGTCTGGCACAACTCCCCGTGGTTCTAATGATTTTGTAAAACAATTCTACAAGGGGTCCGCTAATCTTTCCCTACACTCTTTCAAGACTCGGAGAAATTTCATCCGCCCTGGGGATTTTGTCTTCTTTAATTTATTTATCCTCTTAAGAACATCCTCTTTTCTGATAGTGATATTCTTTAATTTCTCTTCTTCATTTCCCCTAAATATCAGTTCCACCTCTGGAATTTCCTCATGAATTTCTTCTGTGAAAACTGATAAAAAGTAGCTGTTCAATGCTTTGCTTATTTCTTCACTGTCATCGATCACTTCCTCCCTCCTGACTTTAAAGGCCCAACTTTGTCCTTGACCTTTGTTCTATATACCTGAAAATATTGCTTGGGATTCGCCTTGGATTCTCTTGCTATCCTGACTTCATAGTCTCTCTTTGCCTTCCTTACATTTTTCTTAACATTTCGATAGTTTATTATACCTATTTCTGAGCTGCTCCTCCCCTCCCTTTAATTTCTTATAAATTCCTTTCTTTATTCCTATGTCATGTTTAAGTTTTCTGGTCATCCACCTTAGCTCAATCTTATTTGACCTAATTTTTCTGTATGGTATAGTTTGTTCTTGTGTTTTACGTAGTATACGAGTGAATATATTATAGTCATGATGAATTGTGGTGTCACATGTGACCTCACCCCTTCCTACCGGAGACTGACCTGGCTGTTCCCAGGTGACCTCACCTAGGTACCTTCTTAACCCCTGATAATCCACCAATCGAAAGTTTGGGACTCTTACCATATTGTCATTGTTTCTCGTTTCCCAATTCAGGGTCAACCTGATTCTCTGTGATCACTGTTACCTAGTTCTTCCCCTACTGTGATATCTCTGATAATATTTTCTTTATTTGTTAATACTAGGTCTAATATATTGTCACCTCAAGTGGGTTCTGATAATATTTTCTTTATTTGTTAATACTAGGTCTAATATACTGTCACCTCGAGTAGGTTCTTTAATAAATTGTTTAAAAAAATTGTCCCGTACATGCTACTGAGGTGAGGATAAGGCGTACTGACGCTCCCTCAAGGTACGTGGCTGGGTGACACTTTACTTCCTACCTGCTGCTATGCCACACAAACTAGTTCTGACGTTAATACTATTAACCATTTGTACCTAAGTCGGATTCTTAAAATAATTTACCTTATGGGACCTCGTTCATATCGGCGGGTGTTTGTATGTCGGACGTTCGAATCGGGGACCCCTTGTAATGTTTATGTATGCAAAATGAACAATCCAATTCACTAATAATACATAGTCAATTAAACACAAGAGGAGACAGGATGCCATTGTTGTTTTCAGTATTTACACTTACAATGATTTTTCTCCATCTGAAACTGAAGAAGATAAGACCCTGGCTGTTGCTGTAGTAAAATTAATGTTATTTAATGTAAACAGAACAATAGAAGTAACCACTGGTGGTAAAGAAAAATGTGTGACATGGATGCCAGAAGGTCATAGTTTGTACATACAGTACAGGGTAGTACATACTCAAGTGCAAACATAATGTAATTTTTCTACATAAAAATATGAAAGCAACACTTATTACTGTACAGTAATACCCCGATTTACGCGGTCAATTGAACCCATGGAGGCCCGCGAAAACGGAAACGCGTAAATGGAACAACAGAACATATGGGATTAATTGAAATAGACTGGGCCGACCCCCAAACTCCACTTTTTCCTGACACAATACGTACGTTGTAGTAAAAATAACATCTTAACTTTATGATGGTATAACACACATATAATATAGAAGAAGAGAAATATCAATAAGAGAATAATATGCTGCACCAGGTAAAGAAAAATCAAGAGTTTAACACTTACGTCCAGGTTAGGTTAGGTAGAAAAAATCAGGTTAACACGTATATGAGTTAAGTTATGTTTTAAAAATCAGGGTTTAGCACCTTACCTAGGTAAGGTTAGGTTATGTTAGGAAAAAATCAAGGTTTGGTTTATACTTACGTTAGTAGAAGAGATGGGTTAGCGTGCAGGGAATAGGCGGCTGGTTCGAGGTGGAGGCAGACTACTGGCCACAGGTGAGTCACCATCACTGTCCTCCACATTTGTCAATTTCCTCCCCAGACAAATCCTCAAAATCACCCATCATTGTCATCTCTGTCACTATCACTGGCTTGGGCTGGCTGTGGTGGAGTTCTTGGTGAAGAACCAACTAATGCTTTGTTGGCCGGCTAGTGTTGATGTTGTTGAGGTACACCTTGATGTCACGGCTCCATAGTCTGCAACAGCTGGGTAGTGAAGACTTCATACCGATTATCGTTAGGGTCGTCGGAAAGGAGGAGCTTCAGTTTCTTAACACACTCGATGGCACCCCCTAATATTACCATGGATTAACTTGTGTTCTTCTCGGGATGGCGCACCACCTGCCTCTTCACTGGCGTGATAAGTCTTCTAACATCTCGTCCTTGAGTCACCTCAGGATCCCTGATCACCTCCAGGATGTCTTCGTTGGTGAATCTCGGGAGAAACCTGCAGCTGCCTGCGCTTCTCTGTAATCCACTGCTACTGCAACAGTCTGAACCTCACCAGTCTGGGTTCGGCTCTGCCTCCACCTGGGATACCTTTACAGCTTTGTCTCCGCTGGTGACGAACCGTTGCTACAGACAGCCATGCCTCCTCCAAAGCCACAGCTTTTTTGACATTAAATTTCCTCCCAAAAGTGTTTGAGAACTTCTTGCTCTGCCAACTTGTTGTTCCTGGATTCTGGTAGCTCTTATATCGGTGTCACCCAGGTTTACGCAACTCATCCGTTCAGGAGCTTAAACTTCTTTGCAGAGTATGCAGCTTTCACATTGCAGATTAATTCTTGGTCCATGGAAGCTTGGATTATTTAGCGTAATTGGGAAGGAGAAGACCACTTTTACGTTGGGGTGACGATCCAGCAATGGGGGCGAGTGTCCTGGTGTGTTGTCAAGCAACAACAAAATCTTGAATGGAACATTCTGTTGTTCCTGAATTTCTTCCGCGTCGGGGCAAGGCAGTCATCAAACCAGGAGAGGACAGAGCAGAGAACATCCACGCCTTCGTCTGCGGTCAGCCAAAGTGGACATTTAGCTTGGTTATGTCCATGTTCTTGTAGGCGTCGCGGCTTGCGGGCTGTGTGGATCACCGATAGCAGGTTACAGGAACTGGAGGCATTGGTGGTAAAGAGGACGGTGATGCGCTCCTTCTGCAACTTCCGGCTCCGACACTTGCTGGCAGACTGGACAACGAAGGTCTTGGAAGGTAGCTTTTTCCAAAACAGACCGGATTCGTCCATGTTGAACACTTGGTCATCGGTGTACTGTCCTTTCTCCATAATCTCACGTAAGAACGGAGGAAATCCCTAGCCGCAACACGGTCAGCACTCGCTTCTTCACCACCAATGTTAATGTTGGTCATCTTGTTCCTCTTCTTAAACCTGTGCAGCCACCCAGAGGAAGCATTGAAGGGTTTGGGCTCTGCAATTCACATCTTACGTGACACTGGTGCGTACAGTTCACGTGCGTACTCCTGAACTGACCGCGTGTCGACCACCATGTTCCATCTTGCCTGACGAATCAAGTAACACACAAGTAAATTTTCTGTCTTGAGAAGCACCTTGTTCTGGCAATACTTGATCATTGAAGCACCTGCAGACTTTGTGAAGTTCATGTGATCTTTTATCTTGGCTGCATCCTTCTTTATCGTCCGGATCGTAGATTCGTTCACACCATGCTGGCGCCCCAAATCAACTTGTCTTCTTCCTTTCTCCAACTCTTGAATAATCTTGTACTTCACATCGTAGCTTAGGGCACGTCGTATCTTCTTTGGCTTAGGGCGGCTGGGTCCAGGTAATGCAAAGTTTTTCTGTGGTGGTGGTGGTGGTCCGGCAGCAGCCATTCTTACGGAACAATAGATACCGGTATACACGGTGTGGCCGGGAGGGATGTAACTGACGCGGCTAGGTCAAGCGCCTTCTACCCGCCAGCGGTAAGGCACATCATATTACATTAAACCAATCACAGCTAGCGGCTGAGGGAGGTAAGGATGCGTGGCCCAATCACAGTCCGATACGTCATATGACGTCAGCGATAACGCAACAGAGGCATCCACTGCGCAACCTACTCATGCCACGTGCCCAACATGGTGGGAGGTTTGAATCCAAAAATGGCGGCACGGCAGGACCGCCAGCCGCTCTCCGCGTATATGAGTAGATGCACCGCGTAAAGTGGGAATTCCAGTTCTGGTGGGGTACTGCGTAAATGTGGAAACGCATAAATCGGGGTATTACTGTACATATATGTTTTAATTAATGTTTATGAGTGTAAAACAAAAATTCTACTCGCTAATTGTGTGAGTTTTTACTCAGATGACAACAAAGTGCCTAAATTGTTAGGTTTGTTCTCTTAGCCTTTGGACCAGCACTTCCATTACTTGCACATGTTGAAAAAGGCTGAAAAAATATAGTAAAATACCTGAGAAATATTTTATCTTGATCTGGAAACAAAAAGCCCGCCAAGCAGCGACTGTTTATGTTATTGACGTCACCAGTCCGGCAAGATCTGTGTGCAATTTTTTTCTTCTGTAAAATACAATTCATTAGTTATTATTTATGTGAAAATGTAATTGTATTATATATATTTTTTTTCATAAATACAAATAAAATAACAATGTAAATTGAAACTGGTCCTCAATTATCCAAGGTTTTAAATATGATTCATCATAAATTTAATTGTCGTAATTCAAGGCTTTCCTGTACATATCATCTCAACCACAGTCATGTAAGGTAAATGAAAGTAAATCTTTATTTCGAATAACTATTGTTTTTATATCTTTATTTATAAATTAGCTATTTGAGTTTAGATATTATTTATTCATTCAAAGGGATGTATGGTAAACCCTTGAGAACTCGGAATTTGATAAATCGTAATTCATTATAACTTGGAATGGCAGTAAAATATTCAATTGTAAATTATTTTTTACATAACTTGCAATATTCCGATATATGATGCTGCAATCTCAAAATGGCAAGACATGTGCGACCCTTGCAGGGTGTGTAGGAGGTTCTACTTCCACTCCACTCTCCCCTGTCCCCTTGCTCTGTGTTATAATTCTTGTGACCTTATTATGATTATCTTTGTTCCTCATTCTGTGTGCATATATAAAGAATAAAAATAATTGTATGTCTATCCAAAATTATGAGTTGAAATATGACTGCTTTGAGTGGTAACTCTGGCGTCCTTCCCTCTTGCACTGCTCCTTAAACAACTCCCAGGCATTTGCTGGTAAAGTTAGTGCTATAAGTGCTAACAATGCAGATTTGTACAGTACTATATAAACTGTACTGTAGTGAACCCCCATTACCTATGACACCTACCACATAGATTTCAGAAATAAGACCTATTTTTCCCCATAAGTTATTAAGATCAAAATATTATTGATCACCTCATGATGGCTTTTCTATGTCCCTAACCACATCGAATAACAGTCAACAACTGTGCTATATGTAGTCAAACATTTAAAATGTATAAATATCATAATTAAATGGACAGGGTTTCATGCGAAATTAAACAGTCTTTCCTCTTTTTTTTTGTATTTTATTGTTTTGGAATGCCTCGATAAACTTTGTAGCTAATCTTAGCAATAATAATCATTTTATATAATTAATTCAATCACTGGTAATCACACATAACCAGCTCTCCAGAGGAAGTTTATCAGAATAATTAATATTATACTGTCAACAAAACAAATATAACCATGAATAACTGTTCAACAGTGAGCTGTAAAAGCAATATTGAATTTTTTTTAAGAAAACTCAACACAGTGAATGAGGAGGTTTATTACAAAGTGCTAACATTCAGCCATTAAACTTTGTGTACCATTGTTCCTGCTCTGTATCACAAATATTCTAACCACACATACAAAAAAGATTGATGAATGTCATCTTAAGTATGGCACATGAAAGATTCAACTTAACTCAAACGGAGATCTGCTACAGACTGCTCCAACGACTGCAAAGATAGATAGATATTATTAGTACAGTACTAACTGTAACAGCTTTCCATATCTACAAAAATACTTATATGTCATCTGTTAAAACTGGATGTGAGAGTTATTAAAAGATAAGATCCACAAACCAAAGACCCCTGTCTTGTGTTGACATTATAACAACCATCAGATCAGATCATTAGTGATTACTTAGGATTTGGTTACCAATATTTTGAAGTACTTTTATCAAAATAAATACAGGGGGGCCTCATTATAACTGGTTAATAGGGACCAGAAAAAAGCCACTGATAATGAAACCACTTGTAAAGGGGAATTAATTCCCGATAAGAAATAATAGGAATAGGGTCTAATCAGGACCATCACATTGTAAGTGATGCTCATAAAGTTTAATTTGGTATATTAAAAAAAAAATATATATATATACACACACAGTCATGCGCCGGTTAACGTCCACCGAACAATGTCCGATCGCATATACGTCCGTCTACGATAGGAAGGCCTGGGACCACACCTCACTCATATAACACCGTCTGTGAGGGAATTACTACACCACGTGAGGCCCCGCATAACACCATCTATGAGGGAATTACTACACCACGTGAGGCCCCTCATAACACCATCTGTGAGGGAATTACTACACCACGTGAGGCCCCTCATAACACCGTCTGTGAGGGAATTACTACACCACGTGAGGCCCCGCATAACACCATCTGTGAGGGAATTACTACACCACGTGAGGCCCCGCATAACACCATCTGTGAGGGAATTACTACACCACGTGAGGCCCCTCATAACACCATCTGTGAAGGGAATTACTACACCACGTGAGGCCCCGCATAACACCATCTACTACCACGTGAGGCCCCTCATAACACCATCTGTGAGGGAATTACTACACCACGTGAGGCCCCGCATAACACCATCTGTGAGGGAATTACTACACCACGTGAGGCCCCGCATAACACCTCATACTACACCAGTCTGAGAGGGTAATACTACACCACGTGAGGCCCTATAACACCATCTATAAGAATTACTACTGCGTGAGCCCCTCATAACACCATCTATGAGGGAATTACTACCACGTGAGGCCCCTCATAACACCGTCTGTGAGGGAATTACTACACCACGTGAGGCCCCGCATAACACCATCTATGAGGGAATTACTACACCACGTGAGGCCCCTCATAACACCATCTGTGAGGGAACTACTACACCACGTGAGGCCCCTCATAACACCATATGTGAAGGAGTTACTACACCACGTGAGGCCCCGCATAACACCATCTGTGAGGGAATTACTACACCACGTGAGGCCCTCATAACACCATCTGTGAGGGTACTACACACGTCAGGTCCCTCATAACACCATCTGTGGGAATTACTACCACGTGAGGCCCCGCCATCTGTGAGGGAATTACCACACCACGTGAGGCCCCTCATAACACCATCTGTGAGGGAATTACTGCACCATGTGAGGCCCCTCATAACACCATCTGTGAGGGAATTACTACACCACGTGAGGCCCCGCATAACACCATCTGTGAGGGAATTACTACACCACGTGAGGCCCCTCATAACACCATCTGTGAGGGAACTACTACACCACGTGAGGTCCCTCCTAACACCATCTGGGAGGGAGTTACTACACTATGTGTTTGCTGTTCAACACCTACAATAATCTGTATGTTCACTGTATGTTCCTTCACCTTTCTCTAATGAAGGCTTTTGTTAAACCACCAATGTATGTAATAAGTCATTTATGTCCAATGTATATTTTCAGCCTTCGGGCTGCAGAACTTTTTCAATAAACCGTTAATTATTATTATTATTATTATTTTATGCCACTCAGACTGACAGACTTGATAAGTTTTACCAACCATAAAGACAGTTGAAGCTTTAAACATCACTCACAATGCATCTTGAATATTCCACTGTAATCAGGCATATCCAAGTTGCATCAACAATTGCAATCCCAGTTGCAATATCAAATTCTGTGTCAATACTAAGGAATAACGAAGTCTCGGGTGCACTCTAAGATTGAGAGAAAACAGAGGACTCAGGCATCCTGAAGTGAGAGAAAATGGACTCCTATGATGGGGGACCAAATAAAAAAAAGCATAGCTACATGTTTTGTGGACTACAGTATTGAGCATACCCTTTTCATCACTTTGTAATAAACCTAGCCATGCCTATATGTGTTTCTAATATTTACCATAACATTATATATACTGTATATTTAGAAGGTCTAAATGGTCGTAAAATGGGAAAGTTGGGTTTGGGTGCCTGGAACCAATTAGAATAAATCCCATAGGTTCTGTACTTTCGTTATCGCGTTTTTCGTTATCACGCACTCGGCGTGGTCCCAATTAGGCGTGATAACCAAGGGATGACTGTACTGTAACTTATGCTTGATGATGCTTATTGTCACATTGGCCATGGCCATGTAACAATAAGCAGCATATACTGTACTGAACAGTATAAGTCGATTTACAAATGTTTCATACCAACCTTAAAGTTCCATATAACCAGCTGTGAGTCAGCTCCACATGTTGAAATGGCACTACAGCCAGACTTGTCACCAGAATATATAGCAGCACCAGTGATGGTGTTCTGGTGAATGGTAGCAAGAGTAGTGTCTGACTGGTCTGAGCGAGCAGTACGATCAAGGGACTGGAACTTTTTCATGGCACTGTGGAAACAACATTTTGTTTAATACTGCAATAAAAGAGATGAAAATGAAGATGTCAGAGATAAAATTGATTTTATACCTGTACTTTAAAATAAAGTTTTGGTTATCAGATTATACCAGTAATAAACGTTAACTGTTTTCAATACTATGAACTTCAATAATGTATTTAGTTATGAGATGAGGTGAAATTATTACAATAACAAAAGGTGCAATAACAATTTAAAAACTGACTGCTATCTTAGACTTATTTGAGAAAATCTTAAGTGTACACAGGTCTTATTCAAGGATATTTACACTTTAACAATTATTTTATTTACCAGCAGCAAAATCTACTCAGAAGTCAGAGTGGGGAAAGTGGTCCATCATAGCGTGCAATGATGTACAGAAGTTAAAAAGAAAAATTTTCTAGTTTAAAAAGTTGAATACAGAACTGTGGGTATTTAAACTGAAAGAACAGAATGAAACTACTTATAGCATAATAAAAATGCTTAACAAATATTCATATCAAAACAGAACCAGAGAGATGAAGTGTTTTTACACCAATAGCTAGTTGTCATTTGACGCATCATAATGTACAGTCAAATACAGTACCTGTAGTATAAATTACATATAGAATCAGAAATTTAACCCAAATTTTAAAATACTGGTAAATAAATTTTTACATCTGCATTTAGCTTGTCACCTAATTATACCTAAATAGCTTTTCAATTAAGACCAATACAGTCGACCCATGTTAATTCGGACTAATAGGGGGGGGAAGGGTGTCCGTTTTAGCCAATTGTCCAAATTAACCGATTTAGGGGTTAATATTGCATTATATTTTAGTCATTGTTTTCATCATGATTTTATCCCACTTTCCACTGTAATACGTACGTCATTTCAGCAAAAATATTACATTTCCGTGAATGCATTATATCAAGCACAGCATGAATAGAATACCATTGTAATATAACAGTATTTTAACCAAAAACTATTAAAAAAACCAGTAACATATCTTGAACATCGGAAGGTTAGGTAAAATCTTTTGTTTTTGTCATGTATTTTATCCTATTTTACATTAAAATACATCATGTTTCAGCAAAACTACTATTTATTTCCGAGAATATATTCATTCAGGCGCAGTTTAGGTAAAATATACGTGTGATGTAACAGTTTTTTAACTGAAAACGATTCGAAAAACACGTACCCTCTAGCCCTGTTCAAAGAGAGGACTGGGAGAAGCTGTTTGGTGCTGCAGACGATGACAAGGAAAATGATTTGGATGGATTTTAATGAAAATATTCAGAAATATGGTATCGTAGTATTTATTCAAGTCAATTAGGATAGAATATTATTGTAATACAACAGTTTTTTAACTGAAAACCAATCGAAAAGCGATTACGGTAACATCTTTTGAACGAAAGAAAGCGAAAGTCATTGTTTTCGTCACGATTTTATCCCACTTTCCACTGTAATACGTATGTCATTTCAGTAAAAATATTACATTTCCGTGAATGCATTATATCAAGCACAGTATGAATAGAATACCATTGTAATATAACAGTATTTTAACCAAAAACTATTAAAAAAACGAGTAACATATCTTGAACATCGGAAGGTTAGGTAAAATCTTTTGTTTTCGTCATGTATTTTATCCTATTTTACATTAAAATACATCACGTTTCAGCAAAACTACTATTTATTTCTGAAAATATATTCATTCAGGCACAGTTAAGGGAAAATATACGTGTGATGTAACAGTTTTTTAACTGAAAACGATTCGAAAAACACTTGTGCCGTCTAGCTGATACTCAACAGCTGGTGGTGCGTCATGCGTCGTTGTAAACAATAGGAGGTTGAAGTAGATTACCGGGTATTATATTAAGTGTGAAATATCAAAAAGGTTTTTATTACCGGTATTTTTTGTAGATCAACGAGAACTGTTATACCGTACAGTATTACCCCGCCTAACGCGGTTTCACTTAACGCGTTTTATCATATACGCGGTGCCTCGCCAGAGCTGAACTTTCACTTAACACGGATTTTTTCCACATATACGCGGTGAGTGTCCGGCTCGAGACGCTATTTTTAGATTTGCCCCACCCGCCACCCTGCCTGACTGCCTGTTTTAGCTCATAAAATTCATACAAATTACCCGGCCAGAATATAATTTACATTGCTGGAATTCTTATAATTTGGTGATCATTTTGAATATAAACATATATTTTGCATTAGACATACAAATTTTAGATAAAAAATTTTCTCAGAGTAACTATGTTATCTTTTGTGCAAAATATATGACATTTATATTCAAAATATTCCTGGTCTTACAAGGAATCCAGCAATGTCAATTGTATTATCCTAACTTTAGTTTGAGGTATTATTTAATACTAAATGTTAAAAACTCTGGAAGGGAGGATTGGTGGGGGGTGGGGGGGAGGGTTGGGACTGACCGCGCGGTTGGAAGAGGGGGGGAGGCAAGGTGGGGTACTTTGATTGACAGATAGTGTCGTGAAGATTATTTTTTTTTTATTAACTGAAGATATTTGTTTTAGCTCATAAAATTCATACAAATTACCCGGTCAGAATATAATTTACATTGCTGGAATTCTTATAATTTGGTGATCATTTTGAATATAAACATCATATATTTTGCATTAAACATACAAATTTTAGATAAAAATTTTTCTCTAGGTAACTATGTTATCTTTTGTGCAAAATATATGACATTTATATTCATAATATTCCTGGTCTTACAAGGAATCCAGCAATGTCAATTGTATTATCCTAACTTTAGTTTGAGGTATTATTTATTAAAATTTAGTGGTTTTCCCCCAAAAATTTCTCTGAGAGGGAAGAGCCGGCAGTGTATTGTGAGAGGGGGAGGGAGCTGAGTCCATTATTTGAATGGACATTAACTTGGCGACTGTATTTCTCTATTTCTCTTAAGTATTAATTGTGTGCATGTACCATCATAAAATTAAGATGTTATTTTTACTACAACATAGGTATGTCCCTTCAAAAAGTGGAGTTGGGGGTCGGGCCGGTTTCTATTGGAATTAATCCCATTTGTTCTGTTGTTCACTTAACGCGGATTTCACTTAACGCGGGACCCTCTGGGTTCAATTGACCGCGTTAAGTGGGGTACAACTGTGTGTATATATATATATATATATATATATATATATATATATATATATATATATATATATATATATATATATATATATATATACACATATATATATATATACAGTCAACCCTCACTTTACGCGGTTAATACAACCCACAGGGTACTGCGGAAAGTGAGAAACGCGTAAAGTGAACAACATAACATATGGGATTAATTGAAATACAGTAGAAGTCCAAAAATCCGGACTGCTTGGGGATTGGGTCGGTCCGGATTTTCGGATTTTCCGGATTCTCAGGCAGTACTTTTAAAATTCAAATTTAATGAAGAATAAAGAAGAAATGAACAGGTACATTTTGATAGTTTATTCATTAGCAAATATAGCATGCTTCATTTATCAAAACGAGCAGTTTTAATGAAAAAGCTGTGAATTCTAAATTTTATTCTTTGCCTTTTATATATCATAAATTGTAGACTTTCCAATGTCGTATGTTTCCATTAGAACAGTATTGCTCACACCACGTACTGTACTAGTTTCTTAATTATTTCAAGTTTGTCACTCAATTTCAACGTGTTCTTCTTTCTCTTCACACAACGAAGTTTATCTACTTTAGGAGCCATTATTATGGGCTTGTACAGTAATCTGTAAATGGAAAGAGTAGGACTCAAAATATTGTTATATTACAATGGTATTCTATTCATACTGTGCTTGATATAATGCATTCACGGAAATGTAATATTTTTGCTAAAATGACGTACGTATTACAGTGGAAAGTGGGATCAAATCGTGACGAAAACAATGACTTTCGCTTTCTTTCGTTCAAAAGATGTTACCGTAATCGCTTTTCGAATGGTTTAGTTAAAAAACTGTTGTACTGTATTACAATAATATTCTATCCTAATTGACTTGAATAAATACTACGATACCGTATTTCTGAATATTTTCATTAAAAGCCATCAAAATCATTTTCTTTGTCATCGTTTGCAGCACCAAACTGCTTCTCCCAGTCTCTCCTTGAACAGGGCTAGAGGGTACGTGTTTTTCGTATCATTTTCAGTTAAAAAACTATTACATCACACGTATATTTTACCTAAACTGCGCCCGAATGAATATATTCTCGGAAATAAATAGTAGTTTTGCTGAAACGTGATGTATTTCAATGTAAAATAGGATAAAATACATGACGGAAACAAAAGACTTTACCTAAGCTTCCGATGTTCTTGAGATGTTATTCGTTTTTTTAATAGTTTTCAGTTAAAATTCTGTTATATTTCAATGATATTCTATTCATACTGTGCTTGATATAATACATTCACGAAAATGTAATATTTTTGCTGAAATTACGTACGTATTAAAGTGGAAAGTGGGATAAAATTGTGACGAAAACAATGACTTTCGCTTTCTTTCGTTCAAAAGATGTTACCGTAATCGCTTTTCGAATGGTTTAGTTAAACAACTGTTGTATTACAATAATATTCCCTCCTAATTGACTTGAATAAATACTTGAATGGAAATCTACAATATTTTTTTTGAAACTACACGCGTTTCAGTGTAAAGTGTCGTAATAATAAATGGTAAACAATTTGCCTTCGGCACTCGTGTTTCAGTTTATAGGACGTAGAGCGTTTTTACTGAAGGTTTTGTTGTTCGCTTACCCTCAAAAACGTGGGTCGAACTATAAACGAGGAATATCATAAATTAACGATTTCTTGGTCAAAAAATCAGGGTCGACAGATAAATGAGGGGGGGTTATAGATGAGTATATACGGTATGTTGTCACAGTTTGATTGCTCGTTTTAAAGTGGAGACCACGTGGTCGCTTGTTGTCGCTGTGCAGCTGTGGTGCTCACGCATGCGCACATACACACAAAAGCCCGCTAAAAAATAAAA